AAGAATAAAGTAAAGGGCTTGTGAATTTGTTCTACTTCATGGGGTTAATCATTAGGGATAGGAGATCCTTATAAACAGGCATGTAATGATGCCACTTCAAAACCCTATTAAATACCTATCTAAAAAAATTATGTAAAGGGTTTGTACATTTGAACTACTTCCTGTGTAAATTATACACTTACGGCTAGAGTGAAGTATCGTCGTATAAATCCGAAGTAGGTGGAAAGTTGTATACATGTACAGCTAGGGCTGTGATATCAACTTTATTGACTCGGTGCCTTTGTGTTCATGTTACCAAATAAATTATGATCTTTTCGTCTTATACTTACCCCCATAGTGGCCATAGCTTGGCTCTATATTTCAAGCGCAAAATCTAAATTAAGCTAACATAAACTGTTAGCAAATAATAATTCTGCTTAAGCTATCATAGGATTATAGCCAGTATAAAAGTGATATAATCCTTTCAGTTTACCCAAAGTAGTACATTCAAAATGCTTACTTTCCACACTCGACTCAATATATTCTCAAACTGACCATCCAATTAAAGTTCAGTGATTGGATTTATCCAGGAAAAAAATGAATGGCTTTGCTTACATAATCTTTTTGATATGATTTTGGCTACCAAAATCCAGCTGATATCAACATATGAAACAGAACACAGTTATCTTATAATTATTAATGATATTTGCAGGTACAGCATAGCAAGTCACATACTTCTTAAAGGGGGTCTGACATGTTTGCTTCTGCTGAAAGAATGATGACTCTTACACACAAGATCTTTATATTTCCCCAGAACACCCCATACAAAGTCTCTCCGCATCTTACGTCCTATAATATTATATACATCTGATAATATGCTGGGTACATCATCGTGAAAATAATAGCGTGGACTGGAGGCCAGTCTAATAAAACTGCCTACATGATTAAAAAGATAGGTTACAAGCCAACGAAACATATATGCCCACAGTAGCTAAATCGTGCGAGCAGTCAACAAGGATTGTGGCATATTTTCCTTTTGTAGGTACATGTAATGGGAGCATTTACAAGACACTGATATCAAATTAATACAAATCAGAGGATAACTTTTGTCGTTAGAGCATTCACAAGGTTCAACAACAAAGTGAAACAATGGCCATAAGTTAAGAAATTATAAACGGAAATTGCTGAAATTCAATAGGTCTCTTAATTTTACTAATTTAAATAATGTATATAAATTTAATACACGCTTATTAACACGGTTCTAAAAAGTGAACTCTAGAAGTAATTAACAGAAATTTGTTGACATTAAATAGACTTCTTCTGTAATGTATGTAAACAACATATATAAATTTCAATAATAAATGTAGCCTTAGAGGACATGGTAATATACGATCACATTTCCATGTGAGAAACTTCCAATAGATAGGAACAGGTAACACAAACCAATTACAGACGGTTTGATGGGATCAGTTTTGACTAAGTCAAAATGGTGCATTTGATAGTAAAATAAGTTGATATGCAATAATAAATAGAATACAATATCAAAAGATAGGTTGCCAGACAACAAAACATACGCCCACAGCAGCTAAGGGTTCGTGCATATTTTTTTGTTTTTTTGTCAGAAATGAAAACATTTACAACACACAAAAATCTGATTACGAGTAACAATCCATTTGGCTTCTAGTTCTGCCCTATCCTAACATTTAGCATACAAAACATTTAATATCAATTGCGATATCATCAGAAATCGTTGAAAATCGATAGGCTTCTTCGTCTTATGACCTTAAACACTGTATAAATATAAAGTCAATCGGATATTAACTTTAGCCTCCAAAGCATCCACAAGAGTTTTGAAAGTGATAAAGGGCCATTAACTCTGGCAATAATCATCGGAAATCATTGAAAATCAAAAGGCTTCTTTATCTCATGACCTTGAACACTGTAAATCGTTGAAAGTCAATAGGTTTCATCTTCTCTTGACCTTAAACACTGTAAATCAGATATTGACTTTAGCCTCTAAAGTGTCCACAAGATTTTTCAAAGTGATCAAGGGCCATAAATTAACTGCGTATAAAAAAAACAATCGTAAAAATACTAACTTATTCAGGAATGAGGAATCAAATACAAACTTTGTATTTGATTCTTCATCCCTTTAGAAGTTAGTATTCAACAATGGTTTTTTGATATTGTATCCTATTTATTTTTGTATCACATTTCCATGTGGCATATAAAAGGCTTTAGCATAGATAAATGTATAGTGCTGAGTGCTGACAATGTCCATTGGGAATAACATTTTCTCATGCTTTTATCATAAGCATGATTATATTTCTATTGTAATGTATATACAGTTCCTCCCAAATTTTTGGGACCGAAATCGCGGTGACGCGACGAAAAAAAAAACTCTCCGAATTCTCTTAGATTTCGCGGTGAAATTTCGCTTTATTCCGCAGCGATTTATCTCTTAGATTCGCTAGGAATTCATCGTGTTTCGCTAAGAATACACTGTGTTTTGCTAAGAATACATTGCGTTTTGCCATGCTTCATGCCAGGAATTCGCGAGCCTATATTATTGTCTATAATAAATTGAAGGAGTAGTAATATAGAAATGCTGCCATGAAAACGTGTACATGTATAATGTACAGGCCGGTTTGAATAACAACAAAATGAGTTAGGTAATCCCGGGAAAACATTTACCGGCATTCTGTATCGGTTAGAATAACAAAAAAAGGAGTTAGGTAATCCCGGGAAAACATTTACCGGCATTCTGTATCGGTTAGATTTTTTTTTCTAACGCACTGTATACATGCATAACGTGGGCCAAAATGTATGCAAACAATGAACAACTTACAATTTTTGAAACGTATAATTTCATCTTCGTCTATAACTTAGATGTAATCAATCAATTATTGGCTGCTATCAAATCCAAACTTTAAATTATATACGATGAGCTTTTTCACATTACTTCATTACTTGCAGTTTCAGTTAATCTAAATCAACCATCCATACAGCACAGTGCCATAAATCACTCCACAGTGCGCTTAACAGTAAGTCACATGGTCAGAAACGTGCAGAGATTTTTCTACGACTGCGCAAAATCCTTAAAGAATATTCCTTGGTTGAATGCTTGTAAATGTACAGTATTATATGTATACATAATTTGTAAAATAACAAATACATGGCGATGTCACTTTTGTGACCTTCACAGTGTACCCCCTCCCACCCATATCGTTTTAATGCGTCATAATACATTATTATCATATACCGGTGACAGTCAAGATTTGCTAAATACTTTTCGCCGAATAACACAGCTTAAGAGTATAGTCCCAATCTTTTGGTACGTTTCTGACCACGTGACTTACCGTTAAGCGCACCGTGGACTGATTTATGGCACGGTGCTGTATGGATGGTTGATTTAGATTAACTGAAGCTGCGAGTAATAAAGTAATGTGAAAAAGCTCATCGTATATAATTTAAAGTTTGGATTTGACAGCAGCCAATAATTGATTGATTACATCTAAGTTATAGACGGAGATGAAATGATACGTTTAAAAAATTGTAAGTTGTTCATTGTTTGCATATATTTTGGCCCACGTTATGCATGTATACAGTGCGTTAGAAAAAAAATACGACCCTAGCTTCCTCGGCAACGGTTAACATACCTTGTATTCAACTGAAATAAATTACTTTTCAACATGCTTAAATTAGGATAATATCAGCACTCAAGCGATTCACTGTGTTCCACCGTGAAACACTGTAATACACCGCGAAACACCTATTTCGCGGTGATTTGGCTAGCTGGCGTTTCGCTAGTATTTCTCCAAGATTCTGCCGCGGAACAGGGAGTTTTTCCGCAGTGTTCAGCTATTCTAGTCCCAAACTCCAGCAATGTAGTGTAGAATATCTTATTTCAAGTTAGTGCGGAGACAAGACCAGAACAAGTAGCCTGGCTATCTTGTCGGAAAATGACACTGGAGTCGCAGTAAATATTTGTGTATTTGGCAAATGATCCTCTAAAATTCCATTGGTATTATTTACGTTTTAGACCCCTTTCAACGATTGATTGTTTCTGTCCCTCTTGAAGCACATAGTTCGGTGAATCACTTTCAACTACCACCATCACTAAATTCATCCCATTCTCAGCAACGGCAAATATTTCCTTTAAAATGTTGTCATGTAAATATTTTTTTTTCATTTTCGTATATAATGTAAAAAAATGATATTTTTAGCAGTCTGCTTTGACACAGATATTAGATTTAGAAAATACAAAACTATCATGGCATGCATGGAAAGATAACAACTGGCTCTCTCCATAATTTAACACAAGTATCAGACTCCATATTAATTTCAATATTTATGTGATATATCTATTTATTGTCATCACATGACAACCTGAAGATTTCCATTTTTAACCATATGAAAACATGACATAAAAACAGAGATCTTTGTATTTAATAGTGTAAGTGGTAATATTCGGCTTTTTTTATTCATTGTTAATATTTTAATATTAACAATGAAAACATTAAAATTGCTCACACTTTCTTGATGCAATTTGATATTGTATCAGTACATTTCATTGCCTTTTAATCTTCCATTTCCAATATCTCTCATTGAAAATGTCCGATTACGACAGTTGTGGTTTGTTTCATTTGCAATGTATTTTTAATAGAGCTACAATTTTCATTGAGAATGGTGATGTCTTAAAATTGAAAATAAATAATGCTGAACAGAAAACAGAACAAGATTATCTGGTATTAATTGTACATTACATGTTATTAACAAAACAATATTTGTAACATACATGTAAGAAACATAACCATGAACTAGTAACAACACAGTTTGTACGTGTTTCCGATGAAATAGAAAAATAAAAGATCTATTTCATCATTTTCTATTGCTAAATTATAAGAAGTTCTCTCTCTTTTATTCAAATTAAAAATCTTACCATTTCAACTCTTTAAATCTAAAAATAAATTTCACAAAATACAATGATACAATATAATAATTTCATATAAAAACTGTACCTGTCTTCACTTCATATATATTTTGTCTGGTTCATTGCACGATGAGCAAAATTGTCATCTGTTATTCTATCCCAGTCTCGCTGTGTTTGACCAATCACAAATCCTATCTCTCTTTGTCTTGTTTGTTGTTTATGTTCTTCAATATCAACCCAGCGAACCTTAAAAAAAGAAAGCAAATTAATCATAACTAAAATTTCATACAAAGGAAACGATTATCTTAGCAACAATTAAGAATGTTATTAAAAAAAATAAGATATCAGTAACTTCATATATTTCTTCAGGGCCAGAGAAATTTTTTTTCCCACTTTTTAACATGGCTTATTTCTGAAATAGGTATAATCTTCCTTATTGAATTTCTAACTATTTGTCTATCTAGGTTAAGCATGTGATCTGTATAATCCACATATTTAAGCCTATAAAAGCGCCACTGCATTATTAGTGTTGATCTAAATTGGTTTCACTCACCAGCAGCAATAAATATTATCTCTTCAAAATAAAGTAAAAAATATAGCCAGTTGTTATCTTATTTAGTCAGAAACTTTAAAAATTTATGTTTTATGTTTTTTCCCTTACCCGTTTTTTTCCTGGCACAGATGTCCTGTTAAAATAATCCTCCCCAGCTATTTGAAGATAATCATCCCAACCTTGAGGTGATGGAGTCCTCTTTCTTTTCCTAATACCATCCAATTTATCTGTAAATCAATTTCAAAATTTTGGAATACACAGAGAATAAAATTTATTATTTTTGGTTGATTAATTAAAATGCATTCTGTTAAAGGGGCATTGGGTAAGATTAGATAAAGAGCTGACATTTCTCTCTATAATAATTAGAGAGAGAGAGAGAAATGGGGTTTAACGTCCACTCGACACAAACTAGGTCATTTCGGGACTAACATATGGTTTAATTTTATTTCAATAATTCGCTTGCGCATAGGGGTCTTTAGCAGTGGGAGGAAACCGGAGGACCCGGAGAAAACCCACGAGGTTGGACAGGCGACCCTACTCCTTGTCACGTACAACCGGGGATTCGAAACCACGCCAGTCGACTCAATGACAGACTTTACGATACAGCGCGCGCCCGCTAACCATTCGGCCATCCAACCCCCCCTCTATAATAATTAAAATATAGATAATGAAAACAGAATATGCTGAAAATTTCAGTCAAATTGCTTCACTCCGAACCAAAATATTAGTGATTCAATTTTATGCTAGGCTCGGTCGTCATTAATAATGCTGGTATGATAATTACGTTATATTAGCAGTCACAAAATGTATTCAAATCCACTAAATATGGCATAGAGGGTTGGTTATGATCTGGATATGTTAATTAATATTGAATTAATAATTTAGATAATATTTCAGTCCTAAAGAAAGACCTGCAATAGGCAGATTTACTTCTTGCAAAATGCATGTTTAATTTACGAAGAATCAGGCTTTTGTATCAGGATCCTGAGAAAAAAGACATGCAATTACTGGCAATATAATAAAGAAATGTTTCTTACCCATTTGTTTTTCAGATGGCTCTGCTATTTCCCACTTAGATTTCTGATATGCCTGTTAATATAGCAAATCTAATACATAAGTAAATGTAATAACCCCCAAAAAACCCACAGTAGCAGTTTCCTAATCCTTAAAGATATTTCAATTTCCTCTCTACATCAAACTCACCTAAATCCCTTCCACAACCCTTCCATATTCTGGATATCTCTTTTCGTCATTGAAATATTTTTCAAGCTGTCCTCAAAATTCTATTTCTTTCATTGTTTGCACAGAATGCATGGCACCAGAGGTCTCGATAACTAGGTTCGCATCGCACTTTGCGAATCAAATTGCCTGTTGCTAATCAATTTGCTACAAATTAGCTAACTTGATTCACACAAATGCTAATCATAAATTTTACTTCTTTTATTTCTTCGCCAGTTTAGTCACGTTCATCTAGTATCTAATACCTATTACCATTCTAGGATAACTTGCTCTAATACATCAGACTTGTTCCTACGTCACTCCTTTTCTGACTTGCATACAGAGACAGGTAGTAAATTGGCAGCCATGTTTTGATATGGTGTTAATAAAAATCCCTAACGATGACATTCAGCATTAAAATGAGTAAGCTAGAAGATTTGTTAAGCTTTTCGTTAATGTCTAAGATTGCTCTAGCCAAATTAAAACATTGATCGTGCAAACCCTTATTGTTATCTTAAACCCAAACAAAGCGACAGTTTAAAATCTTATAATATAGGTTATATCAGATACAATCGTACCAGCTATGGTAAATCACTCATTTTTTATTTATTGCCGCATCAATTATTGTACTGTTAAATTCCATTATTGAGAAAAAATTACACAGTTTCGGATCTAATCCACAAGCTAAACATAAACTGTTGCATTTAATTGGTGCTGACATCTTTATTGCATACTTCAGCGTCCGATCATGTTTTTGTTTACATTGGTAATGTGCGCAGAAAGAGATGCGCACAGCCCGGAGGAATTCCATTTAGCAAGATGGCTGCAGCTACCGGTCTCTATATCGAAGTCAGAATAGCGCAGTGACGTAGGAACCAGTCTCATATCATTTAGAGCAGGTTATCCAGTCTATTACCATTCACGTCAATAAAAGCAAAGTTTTAGCACCCCCTACATTACTCGGAGTTACACCCCCTGATTTTTTTTTAATGACAGGCGTGTTTTGATAAAATTAAAATAATTTATTGATTTTCTTCACAAAATGGGATAGGTATTTATTCTTTAACTACATGCAAATACAGGCAAATATCATTGAATACAGCCACTGAATAACCTATGGTTGTATTCAATGGCTTGGACACATACTACTTTTGTCCAAAATGACGTCACTTTCAGAATTACGTCAAACTGCTAATCAAGTTCGAAAAGTTATTGAGACCCCTGCATGTCACATTGCTTGGTGTTGCAGAAAGTTAAATTCCCAGGCTAGAGATTTGTGATTCATCCCAATTACAATATTGAGAAACTTGATAAACAATGAAATAATAAATATAATACTGACTAAGTCAAAAGCCTTCTTATTACAAAATGTTGGGACATAACTTTTACGTCCCTTTTTGTTTGCCAATGGACAGATAAGAAGATAATATTATAAAGAAATCCACACCAGTTGATCTAAATTTTTCACTTTTCTACCTTTATATGGGTGTAGGAAATATATTCCCTCTTACAGCCATAGTTGTACTGTGTCGAATTATGCTGTATTGTAGATCAAAATTCACATGCCCGATAACAAACTTTCAATTACATACAACCTTGTATCGAACACTATCTTAAGAATATGTATGTACACATCTTTCGGTATTTGTAATGCACCAACCTCCTTTTGCAAGTTACTATTAAGGATTCATTTAATTATTTAAATGCAAAATATAGCTTGCAAATTAATATAGTAATATTTATATAGACGTGTTCAAGGTCACAACACAGTTACTAAACTTAAGAGCCTTTAAATTATTTAAGAATACTGATCAGATATCACAGTTGGTGTTTTAACTTTACTAAAATAAATATTTTTTTCACAAGATAATTATTTGTTAAATATTTATAATCAGACTGTTAATACCCGTTAATAGTGAGATCAATTTCTGATTCAAACATGAAATTAATAGCTTTAACCTTCATGACAGACATTACATTGCATCATTTTTGGGACCAATTTCAATTTTTTTTAAAAACAAATTTGATTTAAGATGTACTTACCTGCCTTGTTTTTAACAATTACTTTTAATAGACATGATACAAAGTTTGTTATCCATAATCATTCCAAAATACCAGATATGTATAAGATAATGATTTCTTGCAGACAACAAAAGAGATTAATCATCTTGGAAGTAAAACCGAAGCATTAAATTCCGACATCAATTCTTATTGATGTTTATTAAGTGTTAAATAATTGATTTATGAACAAAAGGATGACAGACATTAGTCAAAAACAATGAACAATAATCTAAAGAACACAATAACAACTGTAACAACAACAGTGAAATAAATAACATACCCCAATAAACTCTAATGATTCTTCTTCATCATCATCTTCACCACTATCTTTACTTCCAGATTTGCTGTCTTCCTCTTCTTTCTCATCTTCCATCTCAACCTGATATTAACATACTGATTCAAAAACTTATTGAAAATGTCATTCAAATTACCCATTATTTATACTAGGGTAGGGAAACTCTTCTTATAAAGAAATATGTAGCATAAAAGATACATGTAAGGGTAAATATTGCTAAATTTGTTCTTAAAATTATTGGAATGGGGTTTAACATGCCATTAATTTTGAGACTAACATATGATAATTTTCAATTTTATGGTTAAATGTGCCATGCCTACTCTCTTTTGAATTTCAACTGCCAAGGCTTCTTTTACTTGCATGACAATGTGTATTTATGTGCAGATGGTTTTAGTCTCATCTGTATGAATAGACTCACATTCCTTATTAACATTGCAGGGAAAATCCCTTACAAGTGAGAACTGGCTTGATTCTCTTCCAAAATGCCTTATAATGTTCATCACAAATTGCGACAAAGCCCCTATAGTCTTTTATATTTAGGTTCATTTTACAATTATTTATAATAGCCTTGTAATAGACTATACTAAATAAAATGGTCGACAATTATCCATATGGCCGTTGTTCTACTGGCAGTTGTTCTACTGGCAGTTGTCCCAGATCCATAGGACCACTATAAAACTACTCTTCTTCTAATACAGTCTTGTCAAGTTAGTTGCTTGAGGAATATTACCTATACTTCTATACTTTATTAATATTTTCTTTTGGTCCTAAACCTTATTACTGAGATTCAATCTTGCCTACGCTGTAATGGGTTTCCTTCATCCATCAGTTGTGCTTTCAGTAAAGATTTAATTCATCACAGCCTCGGATTATAATTAAGTATTATTAACTTAATTTCAAATTTGAATATAAAATGGTGCAATCCCAAAAGTTTAGATTATCTGTTTCAAATTATTTTCAGACGATAATTTGAGACATTTAGACAATAGCGGGAAAATCATATAATTTTACTTTAGACCTATGTCTATTAAATATTAACATTGGCATACTATATTTAGTGTCTAAGATAAGGTAGAATGGCTAATACTTTTTAGGAGATTGGGATGCATTAGCAACACCCATGTAGATCTTCCCCTAAATTTGATCAAGCTGACAATGTGAAATCAACAACCATTTCGTGTAGTAATGCAATGTGTGACTATTACAAGCATTGTTATGGAAAGGGATATAACCCCATTTTTTGTTGTTCAAAAAAAGTACAAACCTCAACAATGGAATCTTCTTGAAGTAACCACCTTATGTCTAATCTCATAAAATGTGAAGGTGTTAATTCCCAACCCTTTTTAATCTGCATATAAATAAAAAATCTAATGTAAAATTAAGAAAAAGACACATAGACTGCAATAAAATCTATCACAACTTTTAAAGTTTTTGCAAAGACAATTCCCTTAATAAATTATGTTAAAGATAGGTTGCCAGGCAGCTAAGTCCTCCTGTCAGTCAACCAGGGTTGTCGGTAATGAAAACATTTACAATACACTAAAATCTGATTAAAATCATCATCAAAAATCATTAGAATTTGTTTGGCTTCTAGTTCTGCCCCATGCTAATGTTTAGAATTCAATGATTTAGCTGTTCAAGTTAATTGAAATCATTGAAAGCCAACATACTTGTTCTTGAACTCTGTATAAATTTAAAGTCAATCAAATGATAACTTTGCACTCTAGATACCAGACTGACGGACAGGGAGACGACAACAATATGCGACGACATTTCAATGTGAGAGTATAAAAATCAATGATTTGAACATCTATTAAAATGTGGAGGAATAAGGTCAACAAAAGAAATAATAATAGTTACCTTCTCTACATCTTTCTGTTTCCAGTTGTGAATATTTCTTTTTATACATGTACTAACGTCTGCTTCAACCTCAACTATATACACCTTAGAAAAGAAAATTCAAATTCAGCATCATGTTTTAGCCATCTTTAAGACAAACAAAGACATTTTATCATGAAAGTTTAAAAATATCAATGTTCTGTAATTGTGTTTGTCCGAATCTCAAAAATTTATATGTTCAAATCACCCTGAAGATTCATCACTTCCCGAGGGACTTTTTCATGGTAAATACTACATTTTATGTGTTATCCAATCATCAAAATAATTTACATAAATGGTGGGTCTATAAGTTGAAAAATACACATGTAAAGCTTACTAACCTGAAAACCTTTTGACTTGGCATAACTCCAAAAATCTTCAAAATGCTTAACTTTTTCATTGACAGCATCCACAACGATAAAAGGGAAGAAACCATCATCAATCGTTTTTTTTAATGATTTGTATAAACTTTGACGATATGCCTCTTCTAATTCCCCTTCATACTGATATTCTAATACCTGTTTGATAGAAAAACAAATAATATATTTTACACTATGAATTAACAATTCAAAATCTCAAGACATTTTTGTTTCTGACAAATACTAATATTTCGTTTATCCTTGCAAATCACACTACTCTTACTGTTCAAAATAAATTCTCTCTTGTTTATCCCTCTCAGAAGATTCTCTCTCTCTCTCTCTCTCTCTCTCTCTCTCTCTGTGTCTCTCTCTCACATCCTTAGAATAAAACTTCTCTCTCTCACACCCACATCCTTAGAATAAAACTATCACCAAACCTTTGTTATAACTTGTTTTCCAGTTTCTGGATCTTTCTCTTTTTTTTCTACTTCAACCATAAAATAATCATCTAAACATAACATTCTAGGTGCCGCCCCTCCATTTGAAATTTCTTTATCCTACAAAGATATAGTGTAATCAAACCATCTGTGAAATTTAAATATAGAAACTTACAGAACAAATGGACTTACAAATCACAATTCCAATCACATTCAATAATTACAACCAAACAATCTTTCAATCCAAGATAAAAAAAAAAAATTTTTTTTTCCAAATTGTGTATCTTTTGATTATTGTGATTATGTTAGACTGAATCCACATACCTTTTCATGGATCATTTCCTTAGAAATAGCTTTCTCTGTGGATAGGGTATCTTTGAGAAATCTTTAAAATATGTTTGATTCTTATCCAACAAAGGTAAAATTTTTGGTAAGAAACAGGACTTACCCTGATTAATTTACTGACATATGTTTTACCAGAACCAGGTAAACCACGAACAATAACAACAATTAAAGGTGGTCGTGAAAAACGACCCGGTTTCACCAATAAATCTTCTATTTTAGCCGTTTCTATTTTTGACTGGAATATTTTTCTGGGTCCATCTATTACAAGTGGGGGTGAATGACTGCAGTAGGAAAGAAAAGTATTTAAATAGCATATATCTTATTAACTTCAAAAAGTTTTATGTTCTACTCTATAATGACATACATTTGCTGTCTTTAAAAAATATTACTTTGAGTTGAAATAGCACTGCTACACTTACTTTGAAAAGTTTAAGCACTAGGTGTCTTTAGTGAAAACGAGAAATGTATAATATAAACACAACCGGTTTGCTATATAGCAGGAAATGAATGACGTTTTAAGCCTTAGAAATACTTCACTTTTTAGATTAAAAAACCCAAACAAACAACAGTTCTAATAAATGGAACAAATTAGATTCTAGAAAGGTTTCTAGCTGGAGATTGCAATAACTATATCCTTACAAACCTGGATGGTAAGTCTCTATTCCATTCACCATATAATCTATCTCTGACTCTATCACGTAATTTATCACGTTCTTTTAATCGTTGTTTTTCCTTGTCTCGGTCTCGATGTCTCTCCCCTCTTTCACGTTCTCGATGTCTCTCCTCTCTTTCACGTTCTCGCTCTCTACTATCACGATCTCTATTTCTGTCTCTATGCCTGTCACGATCTCTGTCGCGTCCATGATCTTTATCACTGCTCCTTTCCCGGATCCGATATCTTTCAGGAGGACCTAAAATAGAAAAGAAAATGTAGAAAGCAATTAAGCACATATTGCCAGCCACAAACATAAGTTAACAATTTTTAGAATATTTCATAGTCACTCTTCTCCAAATCCGGTAAAAGAGTTTCACAATGTTTCATGCTTTCACAACAAAATAATCTTTCAATTTTGCACACGCAACAATAACAATTAACATTAAAAGGAAAATACCTAACTCCAAGAAGATAGGTTGCCTGGCAGCGAAAACATACACCCACAGTCGACTAGGGTTGTTGCATATTTAGGCCTATTCTTTTGTAAATGGGAGGGGAGTGGGGGGGGGGGGGATTTACGAGACAATTTCATACAGAACAGATTATAATTTTCATCATTTGAGGGTTTACAAGGTTCTACATACTGAAACAAGGGCCTGAACTCTGGAAGTAATTTACAGACATTGTTGAAATTAAAATAACGCTAATAAATTTCATACAGATCGGATGATAGCATTTGTTGTTCGAGCGTTCACAAGGTTCTTCATTCTGAAAGAAGGGCCTGAACTCTGGAAGTAATTTACAGACATTGTTGAAATTTAAATAATGCAAATAAATTTCATACAAATCGGATGATAGCATTTGTCGTTCAATCGTTCTTACGACCTAATGAACAATAATCAATGCAAATTTGAAACAAATCTGTCATACCCGAAGAGTGTTTACAAGAAATATGTCAAATACCACAAAATAAGTCCTCATATAAACATGGACACATACAAATGTCATGTATTGGTAAAAAGATGTGAATAAACACAAGAAGTGAACAATACTACTGCCATCCTAATGCTTTTAAAATTCTTGTGACAGGACAGATTAATGAAAGCACCCAGTATTTATGCTTGCTTAATATACAGATTGACAGCAAAACAATATAAACATACTTCTTCTGGAATCACTTGTTTCACTAACAGGATCCATATTTTTACCATGTCCATAATCTATAACTGTTTTAGGTACTTCAAGTGCCGGGGTTGCATCATCATCTATTGTTGTTGCCACTAAAAAAAATACAAATTATATTCATTAAAGAGCAGGACATGGCACCTATCTAAAATCTTCAAGGATGGTGAGGGGACAATAATCACTATCATGGTCAATTTTGTTATCTTTGTCAAATACAACTCTCTTACCTCTGTAAGGATTGCGGAGTGGATCTGTGGCATAATATGGATCCACTTCCCTGTCTAATGGTGGCAATCTATCTCTGGTATAAGGATCAAAATAGGGATCTCTGTCTCTTGGAGGGAATGGATCTCTATCATAAGGATCTCGTATAGGTGGGGGATAGTAAGGATCTCTGTAAGGATCACGATAGGGATCAAGTGGTAACCTGTCTCTCATATAGGGATCACTGAAAACAGATGAAAGAAAGTGGCACATTATTGTTAGGTGGGATCAATTTCTAGTGAACATTGGCCATTTTAAAACTAAAAAGTTAATTTACAGTGTGAATCTAGTGTTAAAGTGTAGCTACAAACCATAAAAAACAAATGCTTGAAGCTATATACTCAAGGCAATTTAAAATGATAAATAAAGTACGAACCCATATGGATCTCTAAATCGATCAAAATATTCTGGTGGTGGAGGTGGATAAGGGTCCATTCTTCTGTCAAAGTAAGGATCCCTAGGATCTAGATCTCGTGGGTCATGGTATCTATTATCAGGATGGGGTGGGGGGAGGTTGTCATCATGCATATTATGTTGAAAGGGACCACTTACTCCTTCACCTCCCTACAATAAAAGAATTCAATAATCAATTGCAGATGTAATTCTTCAGGTTATATATATGTACATGTAGATTATGCTTTTCTTTAGGGACCTAAAAACAAGTATTACCAACCTTCAGGGATAATTTGTGTAAGCACCAGTATTCAATTAACAGATGTAATTCTTTAAGTTACATGTATATTATGTTCTTCTTTAAGGTTCTCAAAAAAAAAAACCCCATTATAATTAAATATTCATATACATGTTTCATTTTGTTAAATAATGTAACCCACCTCTGTAGCACCTTGAGGCTGTTCATCTTCAGTAAAAGCTTTATTTTCAGTATCAAACTGTAAATCACCTTCTTCATCTGGACAATTATCATCAAATCTTCCTTGATAACTTCCATGGAAATTTCCTCTTTGCCCACCTCTCATTTGACCAGGTCCACCTCTTGGCAGACCACGACCTCCTCTGTCTGCACCACGACCAAAACCACCCCGATCCATACCACGACCACCTCTTTCCATGCCACGACCACCTCTTTCCATGCCACGGCCACCTCTTTCCATGCCACGACCACCTCTTTCCATGCCACGGCCACCTCTTTCCATGCCACGACCACCTCTGTCCATGCCACGGCCACCTCTGTCCATGCCACGGCCACCTCTGTCCATGCCTCGACCACCTCTGTCCATGCCTCGACCACCTCTGTCCATTCCACGACCACCTCTATCCATTCCACGACCACCTCTATCCATGCCACGACCACCTCTGTCCATGCCATGACCCCCCCTATCCATGCCACGTCCACCCCTGTCCATGCCACGCCAACCCCTATCTGAGCCACGCCCACCTCTCTGCATACCCCAACCACCTCTCTGACCAAATCCTCCTCGCATACCAACTTGGCCAGGGGTATCAAAATGTTCCATGACAGATTCATCTTCTTGTGGCTCTTCTTCTTCATATTCATCGTCAAATTCATCATCATTCTGAATTCCTTGGCTTCCTGGGCGCCATGACTGAACCTTTCCACCTATTCCAGTCTGACCACCTCTTCCACCAGGGCCACCTCTTCCACCAGGGCCACCTCTCAGATTCATGGAACCACCTCTTTGATTCATAGGGCCACCTCTCTGATTCATAAGACCACCTCTCAGATTCATGAGACCGCCTTGGTTAACAGCGCCACCCCTTTGGTTCCACACACCCATTGGACCCCCTCTCTGGGCCCCAGGACCTCCTCTTAAGGCTCCTCCAATACCGCCTCTCATGCCTCCTCTTTGAGAATCATGACTTCCTGCACTTTTTGGTCTACTGTCCTCATCTTGACTCACTTGATCTTCATCTTTCTTTTCAACACTATCAACATTAGCATCCTCAACCTTGAAAACAAATAAAGATAGCCATGCAAGTGTGGAAATACGCCCACACAGCAACTATGTCTCAACTGCAGCTTATCTAAGCTGAAATTTGTCATGCCACTACTCAGTAACACTGTGGAAATATTGCCAGTGAAATAGACTAAAATTAAAGCGGGAACATTTGTAATTGATGCGAGTACTATTGGCTCTTTCCCTTTAAATTTTTTGAGTGGACTAAGCCTTTCTGAATATCTAGCATCTGATCTTACCTGGACCTCATCTAGAGGCTCATCATCTGGTTTAACGTTGTCTTCTTTCATAGAATCATCAATCACCTCCCCTTGTTGAACATTTTCTTGACCATCATCATCATCATCATCATCATGGTCACTGCAATAACCGAAATTTTAGTAATTTTAATCAATACGCAAGTCTCAATCAGACATGTCTCTCCCCTTCCCCCCCCCCCCCCCGAAATCCCAAAATAAATATCTGACATATATTAATTAATAGCACATTTTTTTTTTTTTCAAAAGTATCAAGCAACCAAACTGATTATCAACTATAAACTAAGCTTCATCACTCTCTATCGGATAGAATCAAAGTTATCTTGTCCCAAAGCATCGACCAATGAAATTGCTTAGCTCTGCTTAGCATAAGCTCGAAATGTTAATCATTGAACTCAGTCAAGATATTCACCTACTGAACATCTACATTGAGTTTAAAGGAGCTAAATCGCTAATATTTGGGATCTACAAATTGACACAAATGGGTCGAAACGTATATAATAATGTAATATGAATGTAAATAAACTGATTTACATTCAATCGTTTCCGTTTTTACTCTAATTTCAAGGCAGTTATGTTCCACGAAATACGCCAGAAGTCTCAATCGAATGGCAATCTCTAGCATCTGGTTATTCCAGTCTACACTGGAATATAAGAATATGGGGTCACCGTTTGACATGACTTGCAGAATATGTCGAACCTCGTTCTTCGAGTCGTTTGTTACAAATTGCGCTGAAACGCATTATGGTACACGATTCGTGTACCAATCGTAAAATGTTTATTTTGTCTTAAATATTGGATATCAGAAGCCCATCTTTTCCCGATAAGATCACAACACCAATGTTGATTAAAATTGACAACTAATTTGTGTTTTCAATGTCGAAGATTTTGGATGATATTGAGTTAGAGACTTAGCTACTTTAACCATTCTACCTCAATTAAAAGCAGAGTTGTTATGTTCCAAACTCTTGACCAATCAAATTGCTCAACACTCCTTAGTCTACGCAGAAAATTCTCATCATCGAACTTAGTCAAGGTAATGATACAATGAATCTATACTCTGCGTTTCATCACTCTCACTTTAATTAAAACTAAAGTTATCGTGCCCCAAAGCATCAACTGATCCGATTGCTTATCTCTGCTTACCGTAAGCAGACAATGTTCATCACAGAATTCCATCAAGGCATTCACCTAATAAACACCTACACCAAGTGTGGAAATCGTGGCTCAATTAGAAAGAGAGTTTTTGTGTTCCAACGTCTCGTCCAATCAAATTGCTTATCACTCTGCTTACCCTCAGTAGAAAATGTTTATCATTGAACTTAGTCAAGGTATTGATGTAATAAAGCTATACACCAAGTGTCCTCACTCTCGCTTAATTAGAACTAAAGTTATTGTGTCCCAAAGCATCAACCAATCAAATTGCTTATCTCTACTTACCCTAAACTATTTTTATATATCAATGAGCAGCAGATCAGATTCAAATCCAGCGAAAATCCGACACATAAGATGTCATCAAGAGTTGATTAAGGTCTTTTCATGTTAATAAATGTCCAATTAATAGTTTATACAACATTTCAGGCCTCAAGAAAGATCTGCAATAGGCAGATTTAGTTCTTGCATAAAGTTTGCTTAACTGACTGAACCTATGGATTACAAAATTATATGAATTAGTACTCACTTTTCAGAGCTTAACATTGGCATTCTCATTCCTGGCATTCCACCGCCTCTCCCTGGGAATCTAGATCTGGGACCAGAATCCCGAATATTAGGTGCTCCAAATCTTGGTCCAGGGCCAGCCGGTCGCATGCCCCTGCCACCTGGTCCAGAGAATCTAGGACCTCCCTGTGAAGAGAAATTATTTTTATCTTCATCCTCCAATGACTGGTAACCCTGTGGCCCTTGATATCTTGGACCCATTCCACCACGTCCCCTAAATCCTACATGTCCCTCAATCATTCCACCTCTAGGACCTTGACCTCTGTTGCCTGTCTGAAACATCTGTCCTCGAACTCCACGACCTCTGAATTGACCTCCCCCACGCTCTGAAGAGATTGTGCCATATTCATTTTCAGCTTCTTGCATTTCATCATCAAGTCTCTCAACAGTATCATCATCATCATCTTTATCATTTGGATTATTTACAGACATATCCATTAAAGATGGCAAGCCACTACGATTCATTCCACCTCTTCCTAATGACTGACCTTGTCCTCTCTGACCTTGAAAATGATTACCACCTCTGCCTCGCATGCTACCTGAACCTCCAAACCTAGCTCCAACTGGACCTTGATTAAATCTATTTCCTGGCTGTCCTCCATAACTTTGATTATGCGATTGACTGTTTTCAGGTTCATCTTCAGCGCCTTCTAAATCCATGTCGTCATCATTGCCAGCATGCTCACTTCCATTATCACTCTGAGGACGGGAACCTCCTGGTCTAGGACCACGAGGACCTTGAAAGTTGTGATTAGGAAATCGTTGGTTTGGTCCTCCACGCCCCCTCTGTCCTTGAAAGTTTTGATTGGGTCCTTGGAATCTCTGTGATCCTCCATATTGTTGAAATCTTGGATCTCCTCCCATTCTTGGCCCTTGCAAGTTTTGATAACCACCTTGATATCCCTGGTTATAGCCCCCATAACCTTGATTCTGATAGCTAGGGGTTGACTGGTGACTAATGTTTGTGATATTTTGTTTACGTGTTTGAATGTCTGTTTTTCGTGACTCCATTTGTTGTTCATACTGTTTCCACTGTTGTTCATATTGTAGAAATTGTTCTTGATTTGGATGATCTGGAAAGTAAAATTAAAATGAATTTTAAGTCATATTTGAAAAAAAAAAGTAGGTTTACAATTATGGGTATATAAACTTCAACTTTTGTTTCCCATACATCACCATGTTTATATAGAGAGAGAAAATGGGGTTTATAATGACATAACATACATAAATGAAATGAAATGGAGTTTAACGTCCTACTGTTCTGCTCCTAACCTGGGCTAATGAAGACGGGCATACGCCATACAGTGTGCTATGAGGGAAATTTTGCCCGGACAGCGGCACTATGGCCTACTCTTATATCGAATTCCAACTGTCAAGGGATCTTTTACGTGCACGCCAATGTGTACACGGGACCTCGGTTTTTCGTCCCATCCGAACGACTAGACAGCTTTCCTTGTCAGCCCCTCCGTCCTGCATCACTGACAAGGGAGAACCACGCCGGAAAATCTGGATGAACTTTCTCGGCCAATGCAGGGATCGAACACCCGACCTCCAGGCTAGCGAGCTAGCGTCTTACCCACTTAGCTACGTGATCCCCGACATAACATACACTAATCATACCTAGTTCATCTTAGAACTAACATTTTACCAAATTAAACCGGCATTATGGAATATAAGATAAAGAGCTGAACTTTCTTGCTATAATAATTAATCCAGTGGTTGTCAGGCAAGATATGGCCACATTTTGCAAGGGGTGGACAGAGAACAAGCTAAAAACAAAAGCGATTTTTCGTAAATTCAGGGGCCATAATCCAGAAACTTTTACACAATTTTCCCTAAATTCGAATTCAACCTTCATTATGGTGGAATGGTGATATATTTAAACGGTTTTTAAAATGGGATTAAAAATTATAACCGCTAGAGCATCCAGAAGCTTAAAAAAAAAAAAAAGAATTTTTTGTACAATCAGAGGCCACAAGTCAGGAAGTTACAGTCTGATGTGCGCAAAAAGCGAAAGGAACCAAGATCTTTGGGACATAAACATATATTTTAAGTTTCATCAAAATCTGATAACAATTGTGACTTCTAGATGGTCATAACAACCTTGGTACATGTATGACATATTTTTACACTATTTGCGTACAAAGAGCTGCCATTTTGTCAGGCAGTTTTGGTCCAATTTTCACGAAATTGGAACTCGAACGTCATTAGGGTGTAACGGTGATCAATTGAAATGTTTTAAAATTGGATAAAAATTGTTCAATCAGGGGCCATAATCCAGAAAGTTATGGTCTGATATGCACAAATATCAAAAGGGACTGACATTTTTGGAATATAAAGATATGTTTTAAGTTTCATCAAAATCAGATAAAAAATGTGACCTCTAGAGTGTCCGTAACCTTTGTACATGTATTACATACTTATACACAATTTGAGTACAAAGAGCGACCATTTTGTCCGGCACTTCCATTTTGATTTTCCCGAAATTCCAATTCAACCTTCATTATGGTGGAATGGTGATGTATCTAAGCGGTTTTTAAAATTGGAAAGAAAATTGTGACCTCTACAGAATCCACAAGCTAAAAATGAGATTTTTCGACTAATCAGGGGCCATAATTCAGGAAGTTACATTCGGATAAATGTGATTAACAAAAGAAATCAAGATCTTTATGATAAAAACATATATTTAAAGTTTAATCCAAATCGGATAAAAACTGTGGCCTCTAGAGGGTCCACAACCTTGATATACCACATTTTTACACTATTTGCGTACAGGGGGCGGCTATTATCTGATTTTCACGAAATTCGAACTCAACCATCATTAGTGTATAACTGTGATATATTCACACGTTTTTTTTTTTTAAATCGGATAAAAATTGTGACCTCTATAGGAACCACAAGCTCAAAACTCGATTTTTCATATAATCAAGGGCCATAATTCAGGAAGTTACGATCCGATATGCGCGAATATCGATAGAAACCAAGATCTTTGGGTTATAACCATGCATTTCAAGTTTCATCAAAATAGGAACAAAAATTTGATTTTAAACATAGGTACTTCAAATACCAACAAGCAAATCATAACGCATCCCCAACTTATAAGGGGTCTTTAACAGTGGAAGGAAACCGGAGGACCCAGAGAAACTCCACAAGGTTCCACAAAAGATTCTACTCCTTGTCACGTACAAGTGAGGGATCAAAACCAGGTCACTTGATTAACAGATCTAAAATCTAAAGATCACTCCGATAAACCATTCCACCACACGAGATGATATTTTATTTTTTTTAACAGTTTGTGTTTGACATACTCCAGAAGTACAAACTAACAGCTGTAGCACGAATCAGGGTTCAACGCAATGAAAAATATTGAGTGAATTCTGAACGTGTACAAAGTTACTATTTTATTTTCTTATATTTACTTGAGGGTGGAAATATGGCAGACATCAGAATTTTCTCGCAAGATAAAATATTCTGTGAACTGTAAATGTGTACATGAAAAACTTATTGGAAATGAATCTAGTTCACACACTATTCAAAGACTGTCAATGTGCCTCCATATCAACACAAAAACTTACTTTTATTTTGTTCTTTCCAGTCATCGTATTGTTTTCGCCAATTTTTATATTGTTCTTCAAATTCCCTTTCTTCTCTTAAAATGGATTGAAATTCTGAAAAAAAACCCAACATAATATTGTTCAGAAAATAAAAAGAGGAATGAAATATTTTTATTGCTATTTGCATAAATATCAGTGACTACAATTTACAGATTGGTATTGCAAAACAAGATTAGTTATGGAGATGTATGTAATATATATAGTATAACTGGGAGTGAGATGAACCTTACATCTGGATACAAGCACTAAATGTTAGCCCCTTCAATTTTCAAAATAGTTGACTGAACTTTTCTTCTTTTCTTTCACTGACTTTTGCCCACTAGACAGATTGAGATGATTTTATCAGCCCACATTTTCATGCTGTTGCATATTATGTTCTCCAGACCTCTGTTCACAATTGTCTGTTTTCAGTCTAAAGGTCACAAACTTTTATCCAATTTTGATAAAACTTATAATATACAAATATGTATATTTCCATATGATCTTGGATGGGCATGACTTTGGAGTTCATCATACCACTACTTATTGGGTTATGGCCCCCCCTTCGACCTTTACGTATATAATTATGAACTGTGTACATGTAAGTAAAAGGGTAAATTTTGGGACAGTGTCTATTAATGTTGGTAATTAATGTCCTGGTGAGTGTCTTTATTAGAATATTTTGGGTGGCAGATTTTATATTGTAATGTATGGATCTGGGATTATATTGTCAAGGTCATGGTGTGTTACTTAAGTAGTGGAAATCTTTTAGTCTTTCAGTTATAAAGATGGTCTCTTTCTGAAAACGTTTATCAGGTGATCTCTGATTCTTTGTCTTAATTGATTATTAGTCGATGTAGCTTGTAAAAAACTTAATTACATGCATGCATCTTTACCACATGTTACAGATTTTCAGCAGGTCACACATCAGCTCTTTCCAGAAACGGGTAAGCTAATTATTTTATAAATATTTCATTTAAAAATGCATTATGTAAGATTTAGACAAAAAATAAATAATGAAAAATGAATATATTGCAAATTTCATTCAAATTACTTTTTTCTGAGTGAAGTTATGAAATGAAATGGGGTTTAACGTCCTACTCCGACTGGGCTAATGAAGACGGGCATACGCCATATACAGTGTGCTGTGAGAGACATTTTGCCCAGACAGCGACACTATGGCCTACTAGTACTACTCTTATATCAAGTTCCAACTGCCAAGAAATCTTTTAAGAAATGTGTAAACGGGACCTTAGTTTTTTGTCCCATCCGCACAACTGTACATTGTCCCAAGAAAGTTCCTCCATCCTGATGAACTTTCTCGGCCAACGCAGGGACGGAACATGTGACCTCCAAGTAGTGAGCCTACATCTTACTCACTGAGCTATCGTGAAATAAGATGTAGCACAGATTGTTTATTATCACTAGTAAGTAACGTCATTGTCTATTTTATCATTAAATTTCCAAATTTTGCAGGCGTAAAAATCCATTTAAATCTTTACCATCCAAGTAGTTTAGAGAGTTGATTATGGGCTTGTCATGTTAATGAATGTCTAAATAATTTTTTATATAACATTTGAAAACAAAATCAAGACATGCAATAGTCCGCTTTAACTCTTACATAATGATAATACTTCTTTAATTGTTTAATTAGGTGACTTTGAAAGTGAAATACTGGTATGAGAATGGTCTCATGGGTGTTTCAAATATAATTATGTATGTAATATAATATAGTAAGTCACATACATGTAGCTAATAGAAATATTAGTACACATAAATAAAGGCAATTATTGTATGTACATATATTTTCAGGGCCAAGCATAAAATATGTTTGTGTGTTTGTAGCTTTTCGTAATGTCATCATAATTTTTGTTTAATGATTTTTACGGTACATGATCTATACATATGTAGAAGATTATGATATATAGCGGAACCAGCATCTGATTACCTGTTTATGAGTTTTACTAAATCTCTTCTAAAACAGTATCATGTGTTTGTGGATTATATAATTTATAAACTTATTTAAAACACTTTCTCTGGTTTTCAATCAAGAAGTCTATTGTCCTGAATTTCTCAGGATTTACTTACTACCTTTATCACTTTGAAGATGATGGAAAGGTAGGTCTGTGACATGTATAAAAGTTGTGGACCCTCCATGGCCACCACTTGTGGTCCGAATCAAATGAAACTTAAGATAAGTTATGGATAAAAATATCTTGTAATCGTCTGATTTTGGGCGACATCAGACCGATAGTTCTTGGATTATGACTCTTGTGAATTGTACAAAGTTTGTGGACCCTACAGAGCACTCAATTTTTGTCCGATTTAGATGAAACATAAAATATATGTTAAGGATTAATAAAATAGGAAAATTTGATAAAAGTCGACCATCTTGGATTTTCGAATGGCTAATGGGCTTCTTCAAGGAGTACATGTATTGTGCCAGTTTTGATAGTTGTATTCACATTTGAATGATTTTCAGGTTTTAATGCAGTTAACTGCTGTACTAATAGCCTTAAACTTAAACACCTCTAATGCAATCAAATGGTGATTAACAACATAGTGGCTAATCACTGTCTTTTGATTAATAATACTGTATGTAATATAATATGTTCAATTTGTCTTTTGATTAATAATACTGTATGTAATACGTTGAATAAGAACCAATGTAACCATGAATCACGAGGCATATACAGGATCAAGTATCGTTGCAGCCCTAACAGTACATGTGATATACATGTAAAAAAACAATGTACATTGTATATAAACACATGTCAAAGCACAACAAAATTAAAATTCCTACAACCTTAGTTGAAATAACTCAAATAGTAATAAAAAATTTATAAGTTTGACCCTGCCAACACCTTAGGTTCTTTTCCATAATTGGCTGTACTGTAATGTTACATTTCCGAGTATAAATACAGACATGTAAAACTGTTGTGCGACTTGTAGAAAGGAATACATTGTACTTCTTACCTGGAGATTGATTCAGGTGTGATGCTTGTGGTGTGGATTGGAGTGGAGCTGAATAATGTTTCTGTTGTTGCCACTGAGCTGCCTGAGCTTTTAAATTATTTAACTTTGCTTGTTCTTCTGGACTAACTGCATTCAATTCCTATATTTACAAGAAAAATACTAGTACAATACAGAGCTTGAATTGTGTGCTATCTTCTGCACAATTAAATCCATATTCAGTACATGTAGTTTAAAAGAGAGGTCCCAGTTTTATTAAAAACAATATATTTTAAGTACAGGTATGCAATTAAATCAAATGTCAAAATGAGAATAAATAGCCATTTAAATCTAATTTGTCTGGAAGTCTCAGCTCAAACCATCCAGCCGTTTGGAAATGATCGCCCAACATAAATCTTTAATTGAACTGAGCTCAAAGTTCTAAAAGATACAATGAATGTACCATCACAAACATATACATGTATTAAGTACACAGAAATGGTGTCTGTCTCGTCTCATGGGTCTTTACAAGATATCCTAGTAATATTTTCGATAAACACCCTGAATTTTAAAATGGTGGGCTACATGTTGTATTTCCAATCTCTTCCTTTTGTGGCATACTCATGTGACTACAACTAGTGAACTGTTTACACAACTTGTTGAGATTCATTATGTTCATTATTTGAAATCAGCGTAACTCTTGCTGGTGGACAAATTAGTTCGTTGGTTTAGACTTACCTTTTTCTTTTCTTGGGGTGGTTCAGTGGGGGTTTCAGGCGGAGGTTCATCAGGTAACGGGGGTTTATCATCAGATGGAGGTTCTACAGGAGGGGCTGGATTAACACCAGATGAATCTTCCGGTTCATCAGCAGGTAATGGTGGTTGGGTTTGTGATGGGTTCTGCCACTGTCCGCCACCCTGCTGATAATACCATTGTTGCTGTTGTTGGTAGTTCATGTTCCCTTGTCCTTGTGCTTGCCATTGGCCTTGTTGTTGACCATACTGTTGAAAACCTTGGTTAGGGTAACCACCCCTACCCATCTGCTGCCAATTCCCATACATAATTAACAGTTTATTTTCAGAGTTCACTCTTCATAAGTTAATCATCTGTAAATTATAAGATAATATAGATAATTAATAATAAAAAGTGGCAACTACACGTTACGTACATGTGTATAAAACTTCTTGAATGTACAATGAACATAACTGAAGAGTTAAAAAAAAAACTTCATAAAGAAGACTGTCCTACATCTACATCATGTCATGTTCAGAATTATAAAATATCTACTGTCTGAACGTGTGACCAGTGTGCACTGGTCCTGACCCCTAGCCCTTAAAATAGCCATTAGAGAAAGAATCAAAAATCTTAAAAAAATACTGTAAAACAATTTACTATAGAGTTACCAGAATCTGTTCACCGCTAACATGAAGTGCAAGAATAAATTGTATACATTATCTATCATTATAATGGATCGTGTTATGTACCATGCATCCCAAGCGTTATTGTTTTGTTCTACTCCACTATACCCTGGGTTCATTCACTGGGTTTTCACAAATTTAAATTATCTGCCCTTGATCTAGGTTTGATTCTACAATCAATTAAAAGCAGGGTTGTTATGTTCCAAAGACTTGACCAATCAAATTACTTATCGCTCCTTAGCCTAAGCAGAAAATTTTCATCATCGAACTTAGTCAAGGTAATGATATCATGAATCTATACTCGGAGTTTCATCACTCTCACTTCATAATATAACCAAAGTTATCGTGCCCCAAAGCATCAACCAATCAGATTGCTTATCTCTGCTTACCATAAGCAGACAATGTTTATCACCGAACTCCATCAAGGCATTCACCTATTGAACGCCTACACCAAGTTCGAACATCCTACCTCAATTAGAAGGAGTCGCTAAGGAGAGTTATTGTGTTCCAAATTCTTGACCAATCAAATTGCTTAATGATCTGCTTACCCTGAGCAGAAAATGCTCATTATCGAACAGTCAAGTTATTGATGTGATATTTTAAAATTATACACCAAGTTTCCTCACTCTCACTTAATTTACGGGGGTTGGATGGCCGAATGGTTAGCATGTGCGCACTGTTTCATAAGGATTTTCCAGTGTGGTTTCCCCTTGTCAGTGATGCAGGATGAATTGCCTGACAAGGACAGCTGTCTAGTCGTTTGGATGGGACAGAAAACTGAGGTCATGTGTACACATTAGCATGCACGTAAAGAGAGAGAGGGAGAAATGGGGTTTAACGTCCACTCGACACAAACTAGGTCATTTCGGGACTAACATATGGTTTAATTTTATTTACATAATTCGCTTGCGCGTAGGGGTCTTTAGCAGTGGGAGGAAACCGGAGGACCCGGAGAAAACCCACGAGGTTGGACATGCGACCCTACTCCTTGCCACGTACAACCGGGGATTTGAAACCACGCCAGTCGACTCAATGACAGACTTTATGACACAGCGCGCGCACGCTAACCATTCAGCCATCCAACCCCCCATGCACGTAAAGAGACCTAACAGTTGGAATTTGATATAAAATACACCCAGCAACAAGTCCTACATGTATGTGTTAGTTCTGAAAACAATGTCAACAAATCCCACTGCAAGAGCTAAATCTGCCTATTGCAGGTCTTTATATTAGTTAAAAAATAGATAATTAAAATGGATTATGTTGAAAATTTCAGTCAAATTTGAAATTACTTCATTCTCAGGGGAGATATCGTCAGTGTAGTCTCAATTGTCATTGCTACCATTGTTACAATAATAAAGTCTTGATTATCCATTTTAAAATTAAATCATTAACTGCCAATCCTATTTTAAATCTGTTCAAAATCAAAATGAAATGAAATGGGGTTTAACGTCCTACTGTTTTGCTCCGAACTGGGCTAATGAAGACGGGAGTTCAAAATCAAAACCATCCAAAGTTCCAGAACGCTCATTACATACATGGGCCTGGCATGTAAATAAATGTCTAATTAATGATTTATATAACATTTGAGGCCTAACAAAAGATCAGCCTAATGCATATTTAAGGAGATTTAACAATGAACTTTATGTCACACTCACAGCTTTATGTATCGCTCAATTTCATGTGGGATGTTACACTTACATGCACATGTACCTGTCAGGGAGTGTCTTCTAATACATGTACACACCGTACTAAAATGTACTGTTTGAGCCATGCTCAAAAATATATACATGTAGTGTGTTCGTTCTGTATGAACTAACTAGCCTACTTAATTATGGTTATAAAACTATTTTACACAGAACGAAAACACTTTTATCTGTTCATTGTTAGCATGCATGTACTATGATACCACTAAGAAGCACTGCTCACAGTAGCCTAGTGTACATGTAGGTGCATGATTACATACATGTAGACATATCTGTCCTACAGCATTTTGGACTGACAACCTGCCTGACTAAAAAAAATATGTCCTCAACGTTTCAGAATCGGGAAGGTGACATTTTGGACTTGGGTAGGTGACGATTTGGACTTGGGAATACTTTGAAAGGAAAGGTTGAACACAACAGTCAAATCATAATAAGCCAAAAAAACGATTTTATTTAAATAACATGCAGGTGCACTGTCTCTACACAGCAATACAAGTGTAATTCTTGTAAAATTTCTTGAATGTCCGTTGATAAATAAATTAAGACAGGAATCTTGTAGATAGTTAATATTTCTACATGTATATTCTTTGGTTAACAACTTTTTCAACATAAATTACAGTACAGACAGTGATGGTAATAAATCTTGGATCATATCAATGCTTAAAGGAGCTAAATCGCTAATATTTGGCACCCAGTAATTGACACAAATGGATCGCAACCCATATAATAATGTAATATGAATGTATATAACCTGATTTACATCAATCGTTTCTGTTTTTACTCTAAGTTTAAATCAGTTATGTTCGGCGAAATACGCCATAAGTTTCAATCGAATGTCAATCCCTAGCATCTGGTTATTCTAGTCTACACTAATAGTATTTATTGCACATGCTCTCTAGATCAGAATATGGCATCACCGTTTGATATAACTTGTGAGATATATGTCTAGCCTCGTTCTTCGAGACCCTTGTTACAAATGGCACTGATATGCATTATGGTACATGAATCGTGTAGCAATAATTAAAATGTTTATTTTGTCTTAAATATTGGATATCAGAAGCCCATCTTTTCCCGGTAAGATCACAACATCAATGTTGATTTAAGTTGACATATAATTTGTGTTTTCAATTTCGAAGACTTTGGATGATACAGAGTTAAAGACTTGGCTATAGTAGATACGCGTAAGCTCAAATATGGATGGGAATTAACATAAACGTGAGTCTCCAAGGTAGCACGTCATTTCGGTTCCGTGTCATTTCGGACTCAACACAGACGACCTTTTTGACTCATTTTGACAACAGTTCGGACTTACTTATGACTTTTCGGACTCGGTCTAGCGACATTTTGGACTCGAATAATTAAAAGACTGTGTGATATATTTGTAACAGCTGTTTTTTTTCCGTTTTATGCGAGTCCGATAGTTGTTTTGTTTTATTTAATTTTTCGGTGATTCTTGAGACTGCTGGTAATAAGATAACACTGATTTTACACTGTTGTTTTGTTTCATCAGCGAGTATTGAACTTGACAAAAAAATAGATTTGCCACTTCTTTGTTAGGGGATTAATTAACAATTAACGATGCAACAATGAGGATTAATTAAGGGTCTACCAGAGGATTAAAACAGTTCATTGAAAGACAGTTCAATTCAATATTTTATTCCATTTCATATCCACTCTTATTACAGATTATTATACAAAAATACAATTTTTCATAATGTACAAGCAGTATCGGTAATCAACCAGTAATGTAAGCACTACTAAACATTTTCCTATACAGTATACAATGTACAACATTTTCAATCATTTTAACATAGAATATACAAGTTATCATTTAAACATTTCTTTTAACCATTATCCATCCACTTACAAACATTTTCCACTAAGTGGGAGACAGCATCCCTGTACTGGATGACGATGTAGTGTCCTTCATGGAGGCGCCGCGTCTTAGTCACCAGCCTCTCTTCCAGCTGCCGATACTTCCTCTTTCTGGGGTTCAGAGAGGCACCAGCAGCAAGCTGCTTCAGGGTCACATCACAGAAAGCTTGCTCTTGCTTGATGAGGCGGATGAAGTGGTTGGTGACAAGTTGATCTATTTTGGAATTCCACCCCTCATGATAAACACAGTTCACATGTCATATGATGAACACAGTTCACTAAACCATGAAACTGGCCTACTTGATTTAGCCAATTAGGGTCATTAAGTATACCGGTAATCCAATTATAATCCAGGGATTAGAAACTGGCATATCAGGGTGACCCCATAAAATATTGTTGAAAATATGTGTATACAGTATTTAGTAATACTGCTAATGTTTTTATAATTGTGAAAGCCTACATGTAAATGTCTTTTACTGAGTCAGAATAATCGAATCAACACACGGCCGCCATTATCGCTGATTGACAACTCACGTTTTTCCTCGTCCACAAAAGAACTGTAAGGTTTCTTTGCGCATACTACGATAACATAGGGATTATCGGTTAATCAGCTTTAATTATCCCACTTTGATGTCATTTCTAATATTTTCCAAAAAGAGTTTTCTTTGTACGCACTAATTTATCGATTGGTACTGCTATCTATGCTACGGTAAGCTTGTCGAGGAATGCAGTCAAAGTGTAGCTTACGGATTATCGTTAACAAAATTTAGGGGCTTGTCGAGTAAATGTTTACTTTTGTCTTTTGTGTAGGTCATTTAGAAATAAATTCTACAGCATATTATTCTTTTTTTAAAAAATATAAATTACTTTTACGGGAAACGTTGATAAAGAACCGCAAGTGCAATTAGGTTTTATAGTTTGGTAGAGTCTATTAATAACCATGTGTTTCATGTTAATATTTTCTTTCGTATTTTGAATGGGCCTATTTCTAATAAATTCATCTGTTACTTTTTGTATACATATTACAGATAAAGAAATAAAACATTTTCTTCATAAACATTCAACATTGAAAATTTTGCAGTTCCATGAGAGATCTATACGTTGCGCGATCCATGATTCCACGTGCTGTACTTGATTGAGAGAGGTAGATTTTACAAGCATGTTATTTTTTATTAAATCGCTTTTGGTTTATTATTATAGATTACTTTGACAGTTGTGTTCAACCTTTCCTTTCAACTTATTCTTGAGTCTGAAACGTCACCTCCCCGAGTCCGAAATATCACCTACACGAGTCCGAAATGTCAAGACCATATTGTGTCTGAGATGTCGTAAGTCCGAAATGACGCGGGACCGAAATGACATGTACATGTACATGTAATCATCTCCAAATATCCAGATATGTAATTCTTTCTGTACTAGCGAGCCAGTATCTTACCCAGGCGACCTAGCCAGTTCCTAAAAAAATAAAAACGTTCCTAAAAATACTAAATAGTAAAGAAATGAAATGAAATGGGGTTTAACGTCCTACTCTTCTGCTCCTAACCTGGGCTAATGAAGACGGGCATACGCCATACAGTGTGCTATGAGGGAAATTTTGCCCGGGCAGCGGCACTATCGCCTACTCTTATATCGAATTCCAACTGCCAGGGGATCTTTTACGTGCATTCCAATATATACACAAATAGTAAAGAAAATTAGGTCATGTGCTAGTTCAGCTCTGAACGTAGGTCTCATTACACTCGCCCTGTACGTTCAGGAACCGCCTTATTGAATCCTTGTCGAAAATTAATCTGCCCAGAGTCAAGTTTACTGGGCAATTTTAAACTGCTGAACGGTCATGTGTCAGTCTCTGTGTTGCAAATACTGACTCTAGTCTAGCGCGGTAAGCAAGATCTTATTTTCTCATTAAAATGCTCCTTTACTTTACTTTGTTCAGGCATTCACAGAGGCCGACACACGACGGTTTAGCAGTAAAAAGTTGCACACTAAAATTGACGGGGGGCCGATTCTTTTTCGAAACGGATTCAATAGGATGGTTCCTGAATGTACACTGTTACTCAGACTGTACAGCCTACTACAGGCCAGGGTAATGAGACCTTAGTCCAGCTCTGAACGTAGGTCTCATTACACTCACCTCTACGTCCAGGGAAGCTAGCATTGAATCAATGTCGAACGTAAACGACCGCCCCAGTCAATTTTACTGGGCAACTTTTTACTGCGAAACGGTCGCGTGTCAGTCACTGTGAACGCCTGAACAATATAAATGAACCAGGTGCAAAAAAATTGGGATTTTTGAAAGAATTTGATTGTAAATTATTTTAATTTAGCTAGGCAAAGCGATAAATCACTGAAGATTCTCAACTTTTCAAAGATTTCATTTTTTTTTTCTCCCAGGCTTACTTAAATTTCGTTTCATCTTATATGGCTGAGTTCTTAAATTTATGCGTTACCCTTTCAATGATGTCTGCCAAGTCTGTTAGAAGACCGAGACGTATTTTTTAAAAGCGTGTTGTGTCGCTCATACTGACTCTAGCGAGGTAAGCAAGGTCTTATTTTCGCACTAAGATGTTCATTTATATTGTTCAGGCGTTCACAGGGACTGACACGCGACCATTTCGCAGTAAAAAGTTGCCCAGTAAAATTGACTGGGGCGGTCGTTTACGTTCGACATTGATTCAATGCTAGCTTCCCTGGACGTAGAGGTGAGTGTAATGAGACCTACGTTCAGAGCTGGACTAATGAGACCTGTACTGTGTGTGTTATTGTCAAGACTAAGAGCTGAACTGGTCATGCGCTTGTCAGTTGGCCTATACAAATAAATTTTAAAAAGACAATAACCTTATATGGATGAACTCCACTTAATCCTTAAGCAAAATTTAATTGCTGGGTCCTTTAGTTCTTCGCACAAATATAGATATAACACAAAAACACTTTCACACGCTTTTCGCCTTTTCTTTTCAATCGACGAAAGTGAATATCCGCTTCCGGTTTGTTGAACTTGATTATCTAATTTTGAGGATCAGGACAATCCACCAAATTGCGTCTATGTCCTGCGAACCAGCCAAGGGTAAGGATAGAATATTAGACCTGGGACCTCTCTTACACATGTTGTTAACAACATCAAAGGAAGGAATAAATTCATTTACATAACAATAATAAATATATTAAAACATGGACCTTATACATTTATAACATTCATGATTAAACACACATTTATGCAGCGACATGAACTAAATCTGCCTATTCCAGGTCTTTCTTTACTTAAAGGAGCTATAATATGTAACAGGCATTGCCTGAGTAGAGCGAAGCTGATTATTGTCAAATATAAAACCTTCATAATTAATTTTCTCAAGTGATACAAAAAATGTTAAATAATTTAGTTTTTCAAAATTGATTTTTATTTAGATCTAAATTGTATACATTAATTTTGTTTTTTAAAAAAGAACAAAAAAGTGTGAGAATTATTTTCATTGACGTCAAAAATATGTGACGTCATTGATTAGACGCGTCATAGAAATAGTTCTATAAGGCGCGTAATCTCGCTTGGGCGAGATTTGGTAAGTTGACATGCGCATTGCCTGTTTTGCCCAGTGTATCCGGTTCCGGTCTGATTTTTTTTTTAATCAACAGTCTGTGGGTGACAATTTCAGTTACGCTCCTGTGTTACCGGAAAAGAGCTTTGCTCAAGCACCGCGCTTCGCGCGATGCTGTAGAGCTTCGCTCTATATTAAGTCTCTAACTCAATATTTTCCATAATATTCGAAATTAAAAACACGAATTAGAATTCAATATCGATAAATTTCAATCAATATTGATGTTGTTATCCTGCCGTGAAACTATAAGATCCTAGTATATCTAATATTTAAGACACAATTAACATTTTATAATTAGTACACGAGTCGTATCCTAATGTTTCGGATGCCATTATGTAATGAACAGATAAAAACATTTCCTACAACACAATATGGAAGTAATTAGTAAATGCCGATTCACAAACGACAAAATAATAACTTAAAAAACGTGTAGAATAAGTAGGCAATCTGATTAAAACACAGATCCGATTTCGTTTCGTTTTTATAGTTCAAAATTTCGTTTTTCTTGTCTTCACTACAGTGTAGGCACTGATCTCTATCAGTGGTTTGTTATTTATAGAGATCAGTGAGTGTAGGCCATCGAAAGTATAAAAAACGAAACGAAATATAGATCTGTATTTTAATTAGATTGAATAAGTAGGCGTAATACAACTGCCGTTCAATTTGAACTGTTCACGTATTTCACCGAACATAATTGATTAGAAATGGCAATATTTTTGTTCAAAATTTGTATATAAATGATTTTACATACATTCATATTACATTAATATATTAGAACCATTTTGGTCTATGTCAAGGTTCCAAGAATTAGAGCCATACACCCTTTAAGGCGTGAAATGTAATATAAATTATTAATTAGACATTAAAGATACATCATGTAAGATTTAGATAAAGAACTAGCCATTCTTGCTATGATAGTTCGAAAGAAGATGATGTAAAATGAAAAATTTGAAAATTTCATTCAAATTACTCTATTGCAAGCGAAGACATTAGCCTTTGAACGTTTGACAGACGTGTGCAATAATTTCAACCACCGTACTGGGTGATCGAAGCTAAGTCTCGGTCCTCCATATTTGATTAAATCAAAGTGTCACTGAACCATTCTAATCTATTTAATATCGGAGAAATCTGATGCCATCGAGAGTTGATTAAGGCCTGGATCAGTTAATTAATGTCTAATTAATACTTTGGAAAACATTTCAGGCCTAAAGAAAGACCTACAATAGGCAGATTTAGCTATTGCATAATGCATGTTTAACTAAGTTACCATGACCAAAATCAACTCTCGATGACATCGGATGGCTGCGATATAAGTAGATTTAAATACATTTTGTGGTCGATGCAGTTGGATAATCCGATTATCGTATAACAACTAACAAGGTTAGTAATGACACTCGAAGGAAGCTTATAATCGTATCGCCGATATCTAGACGCAGAGTGAAGTGACTGGACTGAAATTTTCTGCATATTTTCTTTTCATTATCTATTTTCTTTAACTATTATAGCGAGAACTGTCAGCTCTTTATCTAATCTTACCTAATGTAGTTTATATGTGAACATTATTTACGCTAAGGCTAAGATATAGGCCTTAGAACTGGTTCCACTACTGATGACTGATGTTTTACTATATGCAGTTTAGCGCGACAATGTATTTCCGTTTTTCGGGCACAAACATCAGAGAATGAGATCATATACCATAGATATATAATTGTATAATTGGATTGTCGTCACACATACCATCATCAATTTGTAATTATTAGTATTTATATCCCAGGGCCATACTAAACTTAGGCTGCCTGTCAACAGTTAGCTCCGCTTGAGAACAGACACTAACCTAGTTTGTTGGGGTTTTTTTCAACAATATTTTTATTCAGGTTGTCTGAATGGGATTGGGGAACAGTCAGAGCTATATGTAAAACCCCTCTCCCTAAATAATTTGTATATATGTATTATGAATGCAAAATGGGTGTATATACATAGTTATAATGGCAAACACATACATATTATATAAATATAATAAAATAGGTGAAAATGTACAGTATATATAGTAGTTTATAATTAAACATAAACAAGCATAGTAAGTTTTTTTTAATAGGCAACAATAGAGAGACAAGCCAAAATTATACATTAAATAGACGATAAAATACTATTTAATCGAGATTAAAATCTGTTTGAAATACCTATAAACTTATGGACCCGATTAAAAATATTAGTGTTAACGTCCAGACTGTAGGTTGTGGAGCCGAATAGAAGACAGTTTATATTTTTAAAATCATGTTGTAATTTGTCTGTGGTTTCTGTTCGTGCATTTGAATGTAAGGAACATCGCAGAAGGTAATGGTCGGGATCTTCAAATAATATGACCGCAGAGGCATGCGGGACTGTCGACAACATGGCTTAGGAATTTGTGACCCTGCAGGTCAGAGCATCGAAGTCGTAATTTACAATGAATTATTTGAGGTTTCCGCTGACCGTTATAATAAAACATAGTTGACCGACATTTTAAGTCCCAAATCGACGATTTTAGTCGAAACACTAAGTATACTTCGATAATTTTGAGAATTATTTATTTTGCTTCCATTTGATGGAATTGAATAGGTTTATTTAAAGCTACGTTCCCAGAAAAGTATTTATCGGGTGGTTATTTCCAATAAAAGTATGGCAATTTTGGTATATATGGAAAGAAGAAATATCCAATCTTACTAGAAAAATAATGGATTCCCCGAAAAACACTCATGGAGCACATACAGGACAAAATTGTACGGATTTCCTTAATCGACAGCCCGACGATTAGGAGTGTCTGCAGTCTGCACGCGTGACGTCGAAGGTTGCACGCGGAGATTGAGCGCTTGGTGTTCATGTTGATAAACTTTATGAAGAGTTAGACGTACAACACTTTCTGGGATAAAAATCACGGAAAAAGACGCGGGCAGTGGATAATCCGAGAATTTAATTAGGCTTCGATATTTGTAATAAATAATCAGCGATAAAGGCAACATCATCTTGTGTATGCAACGAATTCTCCTCCGACCTCGCACCCGTTGTTTCACGTGACACAAACAATATGACCTCTTTTGATTGATTTTTTATAGCCGGCTATTCCCTGACAATTGCAATGTTTTGAGAAAGATTTGATGCAAAATTATGATAAATTAATTAGTTTGAATATGTTTTTAGTCCAAATATATCACCAAAACACCCAGTTTGTACCCGGGAATGTATCTTTAGTCTTTGTGTGTAAGCCAGGTGTGAAACGGGGTAGAACCGCATTACAAAACAGTATACTATTTTTTGGATATGGCGGCCAGTCAGGACAGCGATTTATTCTCGAAGTATGAAGTAGATAGATCTCCGTGTGCAGAATGACCTAGGGGTAGAAAATGGGCCGAATTATAGAGTCTGAATGGAAGAGGAAGACGTTACTTGCTCAAATCAAGTAGTACCACTACAAATCTCTACTCCATATGGCATATTCAGGACGTTTTATTTTGTTCTTAACTAGAAATTAGATTAGAAATCAAAACTAAATTACATTTGTATAGACTATACTACAAGAATAGAACCAGCTAAAGAGAGTTAATCTTCCCTATTAATCCCCTGTGTCAGTATCCCAAATAAGATCACACTAACAACAGACAGATAACGATGCCCTACATTGTGATTAGTACACAAACAAGATTGGTGAGAAGGAATTTTCAATGAATCATTTTCAATTTCAACCAGACTTGATAACCGAAATAGGACTAGATTGGCTTTTTAAGGTTAACTAGACAATTAATAAAAGTAATTATTAAATGGAATCTGTCATTAATTCTGCTGTACAAATAGTCAGAAGCCAAACACAAGTGATTTATTTGTAAAAGATTGTAGGGCAAAAATGCATCACTGGGTTAATGTGTATGTCTTAAAAATTAAACCAAAACCAAATCATTGGTCAATATTGTTTATCCATCCTGTATGAAATCAATTTGGGTCAATTTCAGAATCTGTTTTTTTCTTAACACTTATTAACAGCTAAATCGAATCCACCAATCAATTGTTCATTGCATGACATAAATGTCAGGGGTGGACAGATTGTCATACTCATATCTTGATTGTGACTGTCCTATACACTTGTCACTACAAGTCTGATAACTAAATGTTTTGTTGGGTTTTTTTATGTCAGGAGTGTGGGCCAACTATTGTTGGTGATGAATGGAGCGATCCAGAATTGATGGAATCTCTTAGTGCTACTCTCTCTAAACAACTGGGAAATAATTTGTAAGTAATATTAACTAACAACATGCACATTTATGATGTGTAGGCCTAATGCACTTTAATTGTAGATACTATGGTCTAAAATTAATTAATTTACAAGAATCTGTTATAAGTTTTTCACTTCATGTCTGATATTAATGCCTGTATAATTTCAGATAGCAAATGGTAAAATCAGTAGGTTACCAGGTAGCTGTGTTTTATGAAATATTTCTTAAATAAATTCACACAATGACTAATATTTAATTTTATTTTAAACAATTAGTTTCTGAAATAATCTCTACTAAGTAACACTTTATTTACTTTTCAGCTTGGAATATAAAACATATGATCCAGTCAGGATAGTTTTAAATAAATTAGAAAAAAGAGGTTTCAGAGTTATTGCCATGACTGGTCTGGGACAGACATGTATTTGGACTTTACATAAACCAGAATCTAATGAAAATTCCTAGCAAAATATGTTAAGCAGCAAAAATAAAATCTAGTCAATAATTTAAGGAACTACGGTATGCATGGATTTGGTTGTACTGTATTTCAGAAACTGTTTTCTGAACAGTGTCTTTCAAGAGCTGGGGCCCGAGGTGTTCAGATTTACCATTACCATCTTTTACACATTATAACATTTTTATACACATACATGTATATCTAATTTGAATGTATATTGTGATCACCTGTGTCCATAGATAGATATATAAAGTAACATTATATTTTATGGGTATTGCATTACTGTTTCGTTAAATTATATATATATATGCATATACATAATACTTTGAAAAGCCTGATTCTCCAGTTTTAAGAACTGCCAATACATTATTCCTGACTTTCTTTATTATCTTTCACCTGTATGAGGGAGTATGCAGAAGAAGTTAACTGGCAACCTTGTCATGAACAAGTTTATGATCCAACTGTGGATACTGCATTATGATGTATCATGCATGTGTCATACTAATTCCAAAATGTAGGAAAAATGCACAGCAAACAACACACTGCAGAATTTGTATAAACATGAGATTGTTTGTTCATTGAGAATAAGAAATAACTCATCCAATTTGAAAAACCTTTCTGGAGTCAATTCTTTGTGTAAACAGATAGAGAGATCCATTTCATTCCTTTGGGTTTTTTAATGAATATTTTTTCACTACTTAATGAGGAACTATAACTTTGATAAGGTGGTAAAAATATTTAAAAAATGGAAACCCCAATACAGTTAAACATACATTATGCATGACTATGTCCTTAGTCCAATCAGACTCCGTTACTAAAGTAACTACCTATTGCAGGTCTTTCTTTATGCCTGAAATGTTATATTAAAGGAGCTAAGTCGCTAATATTTGGGTCTTGGGACCTAGAAATTGACACAAAAGGGTCGCAACGCATACAATAATGTAATATGAATGTATATAAATTGATTCATATTCAATCGTTTCTGTTTTTACTGTAATTTCTAATCAGTTAGGTTCGGCGACATAAGCCAGTATTCTCAATCGAATTTCAATCTCTAGCTGGGAGCCACGGTGGCTAGGTGGTTAAGACGCTGGCTCACTAGCCTGGAGGTCGGGTGTTCGATCCCTGCATTGGCCGAGAAAGTTCATCCTGATTTTCCGACGTGGTTTCCCCTTGTCAGTGGTGCAGAACGGAGGGCCTGACAAGGACAGCTGTCTAGTCCTTCGGATGAGACGAAAAACCGAGGTCCCGTGTATACATTAGAATGCACGTAAAAGATCCCTTGGCAGTTAGAATTCGATATAAGAGTAGGCGAAAGTGCCGCTGCCCGGGCAAAATTTCCCTCATAGCACACTGTATGGCGTATGCCCGTCTTCATTAGCCCAGTATAGGAGCAGAAAAGTAGGACGCTAAACCCCATTTCATTTCATTTCATTTCAATCTCTAGCTTCTGGTTATTCCAGTCTACGCTGATAGTATTTATTGGGCATGCTCTCCAGATAAGAATATAGCGTCACCGTTTGACATGACTTGTGGAATATGCCTAGCCTCGTTTTTCGAGTCCCGTATTACAAATAGCGTTGAAACGCATTATGGTACACGATTCGTGTACCAGTTGTAAATTGTTTATTTTGTCTTTAATATTGGATATCAGAAGGCCATTTTTTCCCGGTAACAAGGTGCTCAAAGAATGAGGCTAGACATATTCCACAAGTCATGTCAAACGGTGATATCATGTTCTTATTTGGAGAGCATGCGCAATAAATAATATCGGTGTTGACTGGAATAACCAGACGCTAGAAACTGACTTGCGGTTGAGACTTCTGGCGTATTACGCCGAACATAACTGATGACAATTTACAGAAAAACGGACACGATTGAATGTAAAACAGTTTATATAAATTCATATTACATTATTATATGTGTTGCGACCCATTTGTGTCAATTTCTATGTCCAAAATATTTAGCGATTTAGCTCCTTAACTATTAATTAGAAATTTATTAACTTGACAAGACCATAATTAACTCTTGATGCCAACGGATATCTCCAATATTAATTAGATTAAAATGGTTCAGCCATATTTTGATTTAATTTAAAAATGAAGAAGGGAGACTTAGCTTCGAACAACCAGCACACATCTTGTCAAACCATCAAAGGCTAATATCTTCGCTAGTAATTTGAATGAAATTTTCCATATATTCATTTTGCATTATATATTTTCATATTATTATAGCAAGAATGGCTAGCTCTTTATCGAAATCTTACATAATGTATCTCTAATAAATTAGGTTAATCTTTAATAAATTAGGTTAGGAACAAGTCTGTCAAACCATTGAATTGATAAATACTGGTATATTTTTAATTTCAACTGGACATTTCATTATTGCTTTCTGAGAGATTGATGAACTCCCATACAGTATTATATTGTTCTTATTAGGTGCTGAGATGTACAAAATGAGATGTGTCCAAGATTATTATGAATGTATTGTTTAAAATTAATTAAAAGTTGATGCAAATGCTGTGTTTACACAATTTTTGTGTTTTGTTAAATGAAGTGTTTTTATGATGCTTTATAATTAACTGCTTGCTGATTTAATACTTTGTCCCCCGTTCTTTGTCAGTTGGTCACACTTTTTGGGATACAATAACTGTGCTTCTAATTCAGCTAAAATGTTCAAACTTGTTGCAGGTGTGCCTTAGGTAACACCCGGCAAACCTCGGCAGATTCCGTTACTTTTGGCAACCTTCGGTTTTCCGGATTTTCGTACTATAGTCGAACCATCTGCATGCGAATGGCATTTAGTTCAACCAGTGGTCGTGACCAGCCGTACCATGCGATAAAGCACGGTCGGGATAGTTCAAAGATGGCTGACAAAACTGACACTTGAGAAGATTTTCTGAAAAATTTTATAAAATTGCCGATTGCCGTTGCGTTATTTACACCTTGGTCGGTATTCTGATATTGACTAATCCTATTTGTAACCTATTTTAAGCTTGCTTTCACATCACAGTATGGAAAATTAATCAGTTTTTAAAAATACATGAGTAAATAGGAGAAAATATAGCAGGCGGGACAACTGACATGGTCGCCACCATGAATAGTCAATGGCTAGGGCCATTTGTGTTTGGGTGCTGGTTCAGACTGTAGTCGCGACCATAGTCTACATCCGAAGGTCGCCCTAGATGTAGGGTACTGGAATCTGCTGAGGTTTGCCGAGTGCCTTAGGAAATGCCTAATTAGGTAAATGGCCGAGTTTAATGATAAACAGAGATAAATAATCTGATTGGTCAAATCTTTGGGACATGATAATTTCGATTTCAATTGAGGGAGAGTGCTAAACTTAGATAAGCAGTTTTGATTGCTCGATGCTTTACAAAAAGATAAATGTGCAATTAATTAAATGTGTCAGATTCAGTGGTTATTTAGATTTCATGTACCCTGACAAAATGCTTTACGAATATCAGTCGGAATATTGTGTCGTGAAGAAATTCGAAGAAATTTAATTATGCGACACAATTTATCTTATTGAGAAAAAAAAAAAAAAAAAAATAGACAAAAGTAGTCATCTATACGAGAGGCGGATATCGTGAACAAGGAGCGCCGTGTAACGTCAGGTATATATAAACTATTTGGGCGACGTTTCGAAGGGTATTCTCTCAACATTATCAAGCTAATGCAGTAATACAATTATTATGAGGTTAATTTATACAGAAAAACTATAACAACAATTCCCGAAACCACACAGCACAACAAGAAGATCAAAGGAGGTGATCAGACCTTTGGGAATGATGTTGTCTCTGCATCGCATCAGGAAAGTAAGGTTTACACCTAGTCTTTACGAATTCTCCCTCGGCTCCAATCTGTTCACTGCATTGATAGAGGATACTGCCACATCTCCATATTGATGTCGATAATAATCTTTGAGAGGCATTTAGTAACTGGATAGAGCAATAAACTATAACACATACTTATGGAAAAACAGCTACTTATTTATTTGGGCGACGTTTCGAAGATGTGGCAGTATCCAGGCCCGAATCCAGGATTTTGTTGAGGCGGGGGGGGGGGGGCATACATTGGAGCAAAGGGTAATCATCAGAGTGCCGCATGCATTAGTGGGTTGGTGTAGTCCAAGATCTTCCAGACGGAGTGGTATTTTTTATGAAGGACTCCAATGATTTGCTCTCCTTAATGAAAATATCACTCCGTCTGGAAGATCTTAGAATATCATGAGTATAACGAATCCTACAGATTGTTTTTGGTGAAACAGAATGGACGTCATGAGCTTTTAGGGTCGTCAACTAAATCAGCTCCCTTCTCCGAGATCCGAACTATATAAAACCCGTACTAACCCGTGGAGTAAAGGGGTGTTCTTAAGGGAGGACGCAAGGGTCGGGGGTCGTAGGTCTTCTTAAGCAGCATTTTTGATGACATCTGTGGTTGGTCGACGTATAATATATGCACGATTCAAGTTGATCGTTGTACGCAAAAGTCGAATTAAATCGTCATTTTTGTCATTTCACCCGGTTTTGTCGTTCTTATCCGGGATAGGGTTCGGGTTAGGTTTACAAATTGCACGTCAAATGTACAAATTGAAGCTGTAAAACGGTGGATTGTGGGTAAAACTATTCTGAAGGGTTAGGGTTAGAATTGTGGGTATAAACACGAAAATATATTTTCCAGCTCGTACAAAGATCTAGTATCGTGCGGTAAATAGTTGGAATTCGAAATCAGAGATATGCCTTAGAGCCGCTAGCAGGAAAATTTTCCCTCTGTGCAGAAACGTGGGACGTTAAACCCTATTTCATTTCATTTCATTTCCAATTCGGTCCCCTTTCTGTGCTTATATGGCGTGGCGTCTTTTGAGCTGAAACGTTATTATACGACTGGATGTAAAGTGATGCCAGTATATACCATGGATGTTTTCTCTTGTTTTGATCTCTAAATGTTGATTCTGACTTTAAATATGAACATATGTATATCAAACATCGATAAGTTGGGATTTTATATATACAGACAATTTGAAAAAAAAAATAATAGTAAACCAGGTCAAGATGTTATCTACACTTTATTTAGAATCTACATTTCTGACTTTTAACAAGTAATCAGACTAAAATAGATTATATTCGTTCCTTTCGATTGTGCAATTCAGTCTTGTAAACGGATGAACAGGTGTCAAAATATACAACGGTCGATACATATAAATATAGACATACATTGTAATAATCGAGAGTATTAAGGTAAGCGCGTATTATATACAGAACGAAGCATTTTATTTTAACTGTCAATAACGTATATAACATAAAAAGAAACAATATTCTTCAAAACTAAAAAGGAATATCTCAAAATAAGGCTTGATCCGTTGGTAAAACTCGGGGTCGTTGCCTACACTGTACATGTATACCGTTAATTTAGTTTCCGTGTTTTATGGTTTCAGTAAAGTCAGACGACAGTCGAAATGGTCGTAGATCTACCCCCTTTATTTCCAGGAATATTCCTATCTCTGGTATTTCTATATGGAATCGAGGCTTTCATAGGAGAAAGTAGGTAAAAGTTGGTATTATCTTTCAAATTCTACTCAGCCATTTCGTTCTTCCTTGCTTACCAATCCTCATTACTCTGGAGCATCTTCTTAGTTCCACTCCCCCATCTTACTATTTTCCCCCAACCATCTATCTAATCCCCCCCCCCCCAACAACCTTCTTAGTTTCACCTAACGACCTTCCTAGCTCCCCCATCCACCTTTCTAATTTTCCCAACCATCTTCCTAATTTCACACAACCATCTTCCTAGTTTTACCCAACCAAAAGCAGAGTTACGGATGAAGTTTGCTTTTTGTATTACTGAATTATGGCCCTTGACTTAAAATCAATGGGAATTCTCTTTTACAGAATTAATTTAGGTTAAACTTTGCGGTATTTGATTGACATTTAGTACAACAAGATTTGAGAATTGATTCCATGCATATACACCGTATTTTGACTATATATTCATAGAAATGTATTCGAATTGTAAAATTAGTTCGGGCCGGTAGAGGACATGTATTGCTTCGACAATACTCTCAGAATGCTTGTTTGCCTATGTTGTTTTTTTTACCAGGAGTTACATTGTCCGAAGGTATTTTAGCAACGCACTGCTATTTCAGAAAGGGGTCAATGTTCCGTCGTTGAAATCTCGTTTGGATTAATTTCAGATAATTGTGGATCCAGTACATACAATGCTACGAGCATGTGTTGTGGTGGACAGATAGTTAGTAGACCGACAACCGATTTAACTGGAAGCAGTTCAGTATGTTGTGGCAACAGTAGTTTTGACAAACGATCGAGCATGTGCTGCCGTGGGAAAATCCTCAGAGTACCAGCAGCTTGTACTGGATCCAATAGAATATTTGCCAGCTGTTGTGGTTTGTATAGTTTAGATGTAAGATATTACCAATGCTGTGGAGGCCAGGTTGTTCAAAGCCCACCATTCTGGCCAGAGAATATCCATTTCAAGTGTTGCGGAACCAGTGGATATGATGACAGAAAACTCATGTGCTGTGCGGATCATGTTGTTAATAGACCAGCAACAGACTCTAATTCAATGTGCTGTGGCATTTCTAGTTATGACACTCGTACCACCAAATGTTGTGATGGCAAACTGTGTTAGTGATCAGTTCATACATAATGCCATGATTTTTATGTAAATAAATTTATGGAAAGCAGTAAATATACAATAAAGTAACACACATCGTAAATTCATCGTTTTATTAAGCTTCATGCAAGAATCTGTATAATATGTCCCTACATTTGTACGAAAAAAGAGTTCGTAATTGGAATAAATCCGTAATTTATTATCGAAAAATCTAAATCTCGATAGGGTTCCTACTTTGACCGAAATGAACAGCCCCGCCACAAAACATCTAGCCAAAAGCCCTGTCCATTGCCTTCACAATCTTTAAATTTTAAAATAAAACCGAAATTATGTTAAGTCGATAGAATCAGTAATATGTAGCTTACATCCGGGCAATTGGATTGAGTCCTATCTGAGGTCCTATTTTAATTCGACCGTCTTCATTAGGCCAGGTTAGGAGTAGGACGTTAAACCCCATTTCATTTCATTTCATTTTAATACGATGACGAAAAGTGCTTCTCTGTGAGGCCAATTATATTCGAAACATCTCTGGAACTAACTTTTAAACCCGTCAAGTCATTACTAAATCGATTCCTCGAAAAACAGCTAGACAATCTCTGGAAAATATCTGTCAGAGATTTTGGACAGGCCAAAAAGAAGCACATGTATCACTAATTAATATTATTAAAGCTATCCTAGTTATACCATTGTTATGGGGAAGCCCAAAGCAACACTGAAGCTAAAGAACGATGTTCTCCCAACCACATACTAACACTAATACCACATAGGGATAAAGTCACTTCTCTATTCAAACAATATTGTCTTTTCAAGGCTAATAAAAGTCTTCGAAACCGTGTCAAGTGTAAGTTTTTAAAAAAAATTGGATATTCCACGGAGCTTGACACTGGGGTGTCTTATATATGCCATTCGTAACGAACATATTATGAACTGTTACCTACATATACATGTATTTGCATTGTCGTATTTCCCCAGAAACGACTTCACGTTTTATCCCAAGTTTAATATTTCCATCATACTAGCAAACTGGGTTAATGTTTCATTGATTTATACAGATAAGAGATTCCTTTCTTCTAAAACTGGCACGATTTGATAATCTCATGAAATCATTACCACATGTTATACACAAGTGATCATATTTACATGCTTTAAAAAAATTGAAATATAATTTAATACTCAGGTTGCAGCTCAATTAAGGTGAGTATTTATTTTGTCTACAATGAAAATTTATCATCACATAGATTTGGAAAATCGTGTAGAATTATTGTCAAACAGAACGACTTTTATACAAATCTTCCTTCGTGTTTCAGTGATAAACATAATGGAAACACGCCTTTTAGTTCGAGTAATATGTTTGGTTTTGTTAATGTTTTGTAGAACTGAGGCTTTTATTAGCAATAAAGGTGAGTTGTATAAAAGAACCTTCCTGAAATTTTAACAAAAATTAGTAACTTTTACGAAACATAACGTCGGGGAAGTGTCAAAAGGGTGTATCTCGGGAAATTAGTCAAATACACTTTTTTGCATTTTTAAACTCTCCCAATTAATATGCACATTTCTTTCTAAGCTGTGTATCTCTACGCCAATTAGAACTGTTCTGGGTATCATGCGTCCAAATGTTGTATCTTGATTTATGGAAATTTTGAAATGCAAAAGGTTCTATTTCTTAATCTTTAGAAATTCTTAGATACATCCTTTTGACACTTCACCGACGATACCCGGTAAACGTAATCATGTACAGCTTTCCTAAAGACCCGGTCCCAGTGGCCGATGAACACAAAACGTATGCAAAAGGACACAGCGGACGAGCAAACTTTCGGGGGGTGGCTCCATCCGTTTTCATCCGCTTCACAAATGGACAAAATTGACGAAAATTTGCGAAAACAGAACGGAAAAGAACGAACGTGGGAAGTATGTAGCGGGGATGTTAAATGGATGTTCATCGGAAGCCTAGCGGATGAAAGCAGAAGGAAGTGGATGACAGCTCCGAAGGGGTTAGGCAAACTCCAGACATCCTTCAATATACCAGATACATCCCAGATACAAACACTTTGTCCGTTTTGAAAACTTTATATACGAGATGCATGCGCTTACATCTTTTCTATATCCGCGCTACTAACGATGTATAGACGTTCCATGTGCCTTACCTTTCCTCCCTCTTTCCGTTTTCAGCTGGAGCGGTTGCGAGGATGCCCAGAGGATGCAGAGAGGATACAGTGGACGTTAACGGATGATAACGGACATGGAACGTTTGGTGCTCGTATAAATATATCGCGCATTTACATCGTACACGGCAGAAAATTCATCCGTTATAAAAGTTTTGTCCAGCTCAAAACTCTTTGCGCGGATGAAATCAATGTGAACGGATGCTCGATGGATAGAGCGTATGAAACACGTATGCAATGAGTACACAAAGGATGCATGGCGTTTTCATACGGAGGGCACGTTTTTTCGCCGTTTTACATCCTCTTTGCATCCGTAAGTGCAGTGAGACCGGGCCTTAATATCTAATGTACACCAGTTCAATACAGTGATTTAGCTCACAAGAATCACTTAAGCCGCTTAATGGAGTTACAAACACTTAGTCACCCAAACATCATCCTTATCTAACCCAGGTATCAGTGTACCACCTTCCCAGTAATTTCTAGTCGTATTAGCCAGACCTAACCTCTGTCGATCTCACCACTGCCCCAGTGCCAAATAAGCATTCATTTATATGCTCGTCGTTTTGCCAACTATATATACACTATTTACTAAAGAAATCCAAACTCAAGCTTGGCGATTTATTTTATTTCAGGTACTTGTGGATTCAGTACCTATGATACTACAACAAGTCTGTGTTGTGGGGGAAAGATAGTACGCAGGCCAACGATCGGATTCGGTTCAAACAGTATCTATTCAGCTTGCTGTGGCACCAGTGCTTTAGATTCCAGGCGTAACATGTGTTGTGGTGGAAAGATTGTCCCTTTACCAGCAATCGGCTCAAACAGTATTTATTCCGGATGCTGTGGCAGTAACAGTTTTGATTCAAGATACAACACCTGTTGTGGCGGTCGGGTTATTAGTAGACCGACAATCGGCTCAGACAGTATATATTCAGGGTGTTGTGGCACCAGTGGTTACGATTCTCGATACAGCATGTGCTGTGGTGGTCATATTGTTGGGAGGACAGCCATTGGCTCTAGTAGTATTTATGGGGGTTGTTGTGGCACTTCTGCCTATGACACTCGATATAGCAGATGCTGTAACGGGCGATTATGTTAATTTCTGCCTATATGAGAAAACAATTAATAAAATACAGTAGCTGAATTATGATTATCAAGTTTCTTTTTTGTTATTCGCGCACCGTGAACGCGCCTTCCTTCCTTTGGAGAAGGGTTTAGGGTACCCCCCCTCCCCCTGCCCCCAATAAACTTTTGGAAAATAGGGTTTGCACCTGAGGAACTATGAAAATGACGGGAAATTTCAATTTTGGGGCTGAATTTGTGATATATTGGGGCGTATTATGATATTTTGATAAGAACATTATAAAAATTTGAATTTATGAGAAAATTGAAAAGTTCGGATTCGGGTTAGTACGACCTGTTTGAATTTTAAAGATTATCACGCCTGGGGCCTGTTTCACGAAATTTTAACTATCTTCGTTTTTATTTTTGAACTCTACTTGGTGTAGGTGTTCATCAGGTAATACCTCGACTGAGTTCAATATAGAGATTAGCCGGTTGATTTGTTGGATATAAACTTTTGAATAATAGCGCCTAACAGGCAGCTGTGTTTAATTATGTTCTCCTGATTTTGATTGTTTTTGTGTGTTTGAAGTATATGTTTGTGATATGCGCTTAGAAACACTTCACGTGTAATGAAGCGCTTTATAAATCGAACAATAATAATAATAATAAAATCCAAATTTTAGTAATTTGATTGGATAATATTAGGTTGATTTTAGTGCTTAGCCAATCAAAATTGAAGTATCTACTAAAATTTGGATTTTATCTTTACTTAAGATTTCGAGGAATAGGGCCAGAATCAATTTCATCCCCATCGTGACCGGGGAAATTTCTTACAATCTCCAGTTGGCTTTCTTATGGTCGATTTCTTCTGGCGTCTGTCTGCGGTCGGTTTCTTGGTTGACGTGTAAAGCCAGACGTTTATTCGTCGTGGGCGCCCAACAAATGTCACTCGGCTTATGGGGCGCCAAACTACGGGCCTGTCGGCAACTGTTTCACAGAGAATTACGAAAGTCTTCTAATATCTCTGTAAAAGATGACTGCCTTCAACACGTGTCGTCGCAGCACGCGGCGTCTATCATTGGCTGAATGGCGCGTGCATTGTTTACATAAGACGTTAAGTCGCATGATGTCATCCTTATCAGTCATTGTTGCGGCCTAGCGAATATTCACTGCTGATCAGCGTGGCCTGTCGGATGCTCTGTATAATCGAGACAGTCTGTATCACACTGATCAGCAGTGAATATTCGCTAGGCCGAAGACTTGTAATTCTCTGTGAATCAGATTGAGTCTGGAAAACAGAGGCTACATCCGACGTGTGAAAATCGGAGGAATGTTTTGTTTAGAGAGTATCTCTTCTGCAACTATTCGGAGTTCGGCAATCATGACCAATTCTACTCATCGAGTTGGTTTACTAATTGGTAAGTTTTGTGCCATAAAATAGTGATTTATTGTTATTGAAAACTGCAAGAAAATAATATGAAATGTCAGTTACTTTGAACGTGTATCTAGAGAACATTGTTGTTTTGTTGGGGGTAGGTGGATCACAGCGCTGGATACCGCCGAACTAGAGTCCATAAAGGGGGAAGGGAAACAACTCCATTTTACCCCGACGGAACCAGACCACATACGCTATTGTTCAAATTAATGAAATATGATTTGATTTGGTAAAACAAAACAAAAAGCGAGAGGTTTTTCAACCATGAAATTTATTTCATAGTGGACATGAAGCCCCTGAAGTGTGTTGAGCAAAGGTGGATACTAATACTGTTAATGATTTATTTTTTGAAAGTAACTTCAGTGATTATTGTAAAGAAAGAAAGCAATTTGTGACATCGTCTTTGCCACAAAATCTTTCTATTTGAAAAATAGTGATGTTTGTATTGAATCGGTCAAAATTGTTCATATTTTGTTCTTGGTGGTGTTCCTGGTGTTCAGCTGTTGATTGTAGCATATCATTGTGCCTTTCACAGAAATGTAGGGGTTATAGCCTAATAACGTAGCCTATAGGCTTAGGCCTACTAGCTGATCCTAATTTTTTAAAAGCCACAATTTATACCCCATGTCTGCACCATGAAGATCTGATTTTTAATATTCGCCTTCTGTCAAATTCAATTTTTTTCTGCTTGAAAGAATTGGATCTTTGGTGGGTTCCTACGATCGGGAAACATCTTTCATAATTTGTACATGTGCCGTACATCTTGATCTGATGTTAACATTTCGATTTGCAAGATTAAAGTGTATCTCTCAAACTTCCATTTAAAAAAGTGCCGCATTTACATTATCTGATTGATTTACCATATCCTTTAATATTGAATTATCATATCCTTTATATATGTCTCTCCATTATTTTATTCAAGTTGAGGGTGTTGAAAGAAATGCCAAAGATGTTGCCGACAGGAAAGAAAGAATGAAGAAAATTATACAGAAACATCCTTTGTAGGTGATCATCACACATAGAATTCAGCTTTTTATTTACACAGATAAGCAAGGGTGCGGATGTGGTGCTGGTGCACACCTGACTTTTGATCACACAAATTGGCATATAATTGGGATTTGTCAGACACACATACTCCACTTTGTTTGTTCAACTTAGGCACACATTGAATTGGGTATATAAGCACCAGCATTAGGTAATTGAGAGAGAGAAAGAAATGGGGTTTAATCTCTACTTGACACGCACAAGGTCATTTTGAGACTAATGTGTGGTACCTTGGGTAATTGAGTTTTCATCACCCTTGCTGTCATTCAACTATTGTGTCTATTGTAAGTTACACACTTTTTCCTTTTGACTGCACTACCTGTTTTTGTATAGAATGCTCTTTATATGAAGTTGCTATATTAAAATATTGCATGAGATTAAAACATTGCATGAGAATCAATGTAAACTTTACATGATTAAATTCAATGTTTTAGTATTGAAATGTATGGTAGTATATTATTTTGAAATAGTAATAAGATTTGAAGATTTGTATTTAAAATAACATATGTATACAGTAGTTTTTGTTTTATTTACCAGGTTGTCTAACTGTATCTTGACAGATGAATGTACTACTTGTGAAACTTCCAAGATACAGGTAAAACAAGTACCGGTACATATTTATAATATAATTCCAACGGTTAAGGGGCCGTAAGCACCATCATTGGTATCCTCACTGACGTTACACCTGAAAGGTTGGAACCTGGTGTGGGAAACTCCAAAGTTTTGTTTTATCTGCAACGTGGTGATCTCAAGGGGGCTCTCAAACAGAGTGGCACTGCAAATATTTGAGGTATCTTGGATTGATTAAGGGAATAGGTCTTTCTGAATGGTTTATCTGTTTTATTTTACAGGTCAAGTTATGTGAATGGTGTGATTCACAAAAGTTTGATGTTGTTTTCACATTTGGTGGAGTGGAGCTCTCTCCCTTGGATATTGTACCAGAGGTAAGTTTTAACACCACCACTCACCTGTCCAACCTTGTGGGCTTTCTCTGTGTCCTCCAGTTTCTTACCCCTGCTAAAGATCCCTATGTGCAAGTAAAATATATATTTTTTCTTTGGGCTGATAAATCTACAGTACCTTTCTGTGTTTTGTATTACTTTCAAGACACTGGAAAGGAATTTATTTCATTTTCGGTGTATTTGGGGTTTGAATAAAACATTAATAGCATGGTTGCTCGCATAGATTTATCTTTTGAAGAGGATTTGCAATTTTTTCACCCCTATTAAATTGATTTAGATATATCATAAATCACTTGCATTGTTAAATCTTAACTGCTTTAGATGGTGAAAGTTAGGCAAATTTTAAGTGTCGATAGATATTTTCATTCAGGTAACTAGAGGAATTATAGAGAGAGAAGCACTGTATTTAACTGTAGCCTTGATCAAAAAGTTTTTAGATAGTTCACCTCTTACAGTTTTATCCAGGTAGTATATTTAAGTACTTATTGTTCTTAATGGAATCAGTGTTGAATTATGAAATAAATAGAAATGTATCATTTACTTTCACATATATTTGGCAAAATATAGCCCAGTTGGAGCTGACATTCTGTAAAACACCATTTTATTTCATGCTTTTACATAGTGGTGTTGTAAACATAAACTGTGTGCAGTGAATATAGACTAATCATGTGCTTGTAGTGAATACTCAAACACTGGACAAACCTCTGAAATTAATAAGATAGTGTATCTCTTATGCACTACATCAGAAGTATTTGAAATAAGTAATAATGTAATAAAACTCTTTCATTATTTGTTTATAATTCTGTTCAAAACAATTGTAGGGGTTGTCTAATACATCTTGCTATAGAAGGGAACAAATAATTTACATCCTCTGACTAGATGTTTGTGTTCTCCCACCTGTATCATTAATTAGATGATGTATATTATATTTTATAGAGGTATTTGTGGTATTAGAGGTTCCACTCTCATCATAAATTTAACAAATGATTCCAAACAACTTGAGGTATAATAATTAATTCATTACTATATAAAATCAACGATAGGTAACTCTTTTAGTTTAGCACTCAATAGCTCTGTTGGAGTATCAAATAAAATATATTATGTCATTTTGTATGTAAAAAGTTATCTGACTTGTTGTGGACTTAGTTCAGTTCAGCTTATTGAACAGGTGACCTAATTAGGCTCAAAGGGTGATATCTTTTAATAATTTACCCCGGGAGTCTACTGTTTTCTTTTACTGAAGGATGCAGCCTTAAAACATAGAAGCCAAGATTGTGATATTCTTTGGATCTTGAAATACTGGAGATTCAGTGTTGATGTTCTTGCATATTTAATGCATATTTAGTTCTGAGAAATTATTAAAGGATCAAACAGTAAATGCATTATGAAATTAAAGCTACAGAAACTTTTTCTATTATTTTATTTTGTTTTCTCTAATTCTGTATTTATTTGGTTTTTGTTTGTACAGAATTGTTTAGATGTTATATGTCCTTGCCTTGAACAAATTATCCAATCACTGAAGCAACCAGTAACACCTCATAAAATAGAATTTATAGACAACAGTTTACGAACTGAACAAACTGAGGTTCGTTTATTTTATTATAATATTTGTTATATTCTGCTCTTGAAATACATATCCAATTTGTCCTTTAGCTACAAATCTAGTGACATTTATCCTTAAGCTACAAACCAAGGGTCCTTAGCTACACATCTACTGACATGTATCCTTTAGCTATAAATACAGTGACATGTATCCTTTAGCTACACATCTAGTGACATGACATGTGTCATTTAGCCACAAGTCCAGTGACATTGGACATGTGTCATTTAGCTACAAGTCTAGTGACATGTCATTTGATGTGCAGAAAGTGGCAAAGTAGGCTACTCGTTATTTTTAGAACTTCTGAACCTCTTTGAAGCAACGAGGGATTGTTTTAAAATGACACTGATATTTATATTTTGGTGAACCTATTTTTGTGAACATCTTAATAGTAGATCAATTTATGTCCATATCAGGCCTTATTTTCCTTAAATTTATATAAGGAAGATATCTATTGGTCTTTTATCATGTTGAATTTCTTATACTTTTGATCTCTTTACAGGCAGAAGAGCCAAAGGACTATAGCTATGGATCACACATTGATATCCCACCAGACAAGAGTCTTGTTGAAGATTTTACAAAGGAACCAGAACAAAGCATTTTGGATCTCCATGTATTTGAAGATGATGGTCCAGATGAGATTGAGGAAATACAAACCGATGAATTGGACAAAATAGAAGATATAGTTCCTGTTAGTGAAATTACTGCCTGTCAAGAAATATCCAAACCAGTTCCTCAAAAGTTATGCCTTAAAAAAATATTATCAAAAAGTCCATATCACACTCGCAAACAGTCATTTAAAAATAGCATCAGAGCAGATGCTGTATCTTGTGACCTTAGTAATTTACATAATGACAATAAGGATGAAAGCGAACCAGCCACATGCAGGCAGTCAGAGAAGGAAACATCTGAAAATGAAGCAGTTACAAAATTGGAGACTGGTACTATAGTCTCTGATGCTCCAAATGATAAAAGTGGGAATAACAAACCTGAAAGTCTGCAACAAAGTTGTTCTGTTAATGAAGATGTGTATCGATTTGACAGTTATTCTGATTCTGAGGAAGAGGTAACAACCAAAGGCAAGAAATTGTCCAGTAAAAAACGAGGAAAAAGTTTCAAAAAGGCTCGAATATATCATAATTACGACCGTAATAAAGAAATCTGTTTTATACCCGTTGGTGAAGCCATGATTGATTTCCTTAAATCTCATCCATCAATCAAAGATATATATTTAAATAAGGGAAAAAGACATGTCAAAAAAAATCTTGTTATCCTCAAACGTCAAGAATCTGCCATCGATAAAGCATCATGGGAGAGAAAAGGTCACAAATTGGAGCGAAATCGTTTTGATGATTATTTCGAGGTAACAGATGAAGGGGAGAAGAAGAAAGAAGAAATAGGTCGCTGTCAAGCAAGAGATGAATATGTGGTAAATTGGTACGTGTGGTGTCCAGGTCATGGAAATTGTATGAGAAAATGTGGTGGATATGGCAAATGTAAAGAAGGTTTGAAAAACTTTAAATATTTCTATTCCAAGTAAATAAAATGTGGAAGGGGTTTTGATTGATCTATTGCATGTTAGAAGAGACTGATATTAAATGTGGTCATAAGGGAGTTCAGAATGTTCCGAATTCAGAGAATTGTGATCAATAAGTGGAGTCACATAAATCAAGTCCCGTCATTGTTTTGAACATGCTCCAGTTGTGGTGATATGTCTCTAAGAAGCCTCAATAGTCACAGACTGTGTAAGCAAGGTGAAGGCCAGGCTTCAAGAGTTGAAGGAAATTGTACAATCTTATATTTCATGAAGTCACAACTTCTGGCTGGAATTCCATAAAATTGGTTCATTATTTGACCAAAGTTATCTTTTATTTTTGATACATTTCAGGTTGCGGTGGGATGGCCCATAAACAAGATCGGCACAACTGTTCATTCCTTGTAAACTTCAAAATATTTCTCTCAGATCTGACAAAATGGCGAATTCAGATGACTGGATGCCATGTACCTGATGATTCTACAGTGCCGTGGGTACCACCTGAAGTTGCTCATCAACGAATGAACCAAAACACACGAGATTTTATCATTTCACAGTTTGAGGCCAAAAACGTTTCAACGTCAAACGTACAAGAAGCTTTTATAAAAGAGCAACAAAATCCATCCAGTACAGTTTTATCGAAACGTAAAATATCTCGAGTTATGTGGGGTTTAAAGAAACGAAAATCTGACAGAAAATCATCATCCAAACTGTCTGTCCCATTAAATACTTCTGTGGCTGGTCAGTCGGAGTCTACAGAAAAAATAACAGTTATTTCCATTCCTTCCACTTGTCAATCAAATAATATTGCTCAATCATCCAGTCTTTCCAGTGTTTCAAATGATACAAACATTCCTGCAACTGTTAATCAGTCCTACAGTATTAAAATGGACCAACCAAAAGTAATCATAATAAATCAAGATTTGCTAACACGTGTCACAGATAGTGATCCGTCTAATATTGATGTTTCTGAGCTGATTCAGAATTCTGAGATTCCAGATGGTGAAATGTCAAATTCTGATCTGAGAGCTGTTTTACTTTCACTTTATAACCAACAATAAAGAAACATTATTTTTATAAAGCAAACCCCTTTTTTTCACTTTTGAATATATGATTTACTTTTTGAGAACCATATGCAAACTCTACCAAAATGGCCATGTAAGTAAAGAAAATCTCAAAATTGCCTTTCCAACTCTCTCCCCATTTCCTTCCCACAGATCCTTTTTTTTTCCAAAACCCCTAGACAATTCCATCTTACTGGAGACTCATCAATAATAGGAATCTAATGAACTTAGTCCAGAATTATAGTATAAATAGAGAATGTCATTTTTAAGTCTTTGTTTTTTGCACACACTCTACTGACTAATATTTAGCTTTATGGTCGACCTTACCTAGCTTTTATAAGAAATTAATCAAATTTTTGTACGCCCACATTGAAATGTGGTTCTATATTGTCTCCGCCCCATTTGTTGGTCTAAAGGCTTAAGGTAATATCAGATTGACATTAAATTTATACACACTGTTTAGGGTCATGAGACGAAGAAGCCTATTGATTTTCAGCGATTTCCGATAATTACCAGCAGAGTTATGGTCCTTGATCACTTTGAAAAATCTTGTGAATGCTCTCCGGGCTAAAGTTAAATTTAACTCTAAATTAATACACAGTGATTAAGGTCATTCGATCAGGAAAACTGTTGATTTTCAACGATTTCCGATAATTACTGCCAGAGTTATAGCACTTGATCACTTTGAAATATCTTGTGGAAGCTCTAGAGGCAAAAGTTAATATCTGATGGACTTTATATTTATACAGTGTTCACGGTCATGAGTCAAAGAGGCCGATTGGTTTTCAACGATTTCCGATAATTACTGCCACAGTTATAGCCCTTGATATTAAATTTTTGTATACTAAATGTTAGCATAGGACAGAACTAGAAGCCAAATGGGTTAATCAGATTTAAGTGTGTTGTAAATATTCATTACTGACAAAAGAAAAGAATATGCAACAACCCTTGTTGTCTGATAGTAGGATGACTTAGCTGCTGTGGGCATATATCTTTAAATAATCTGGAATTGAGCTGAATTTCATGAACTCATGTGTGAACACTTTATCAATACCTCTTTACCACTATCAGCATTTTGGAGGTGTCTGTTAAGTTGTTCGGGACAATAGCTAGGCAAATCTAGATATTGATACCACCGGGTACACTTGGCTGAACAATACTGACAAGTTAGAAAAAAATAAATCAAGAATTTGTTACAGGTTTATATGATTTTTCACAGGGGCAGTAAAATGTCTGCAAGAATTGTGGACAGACTAAGGAAAATGTGGGTGGATAAGTTAATTATTGCACAGCGTGAACTGTGATCCGTGCCTGCTGTTGCCATTTCAGTATAAATCAGAATGTTGCCTGCTACTACCATTTCTCAACTATTCATCCCATTGAAATGGCACAAATAAAGGCAATAACTTACAGTGTAGCTTATTTGAACACTTTATGAATTATGATTGTGACTACAATTACAAATGTTTTTTCTCGTGGCTTGAATATATTTTCCATTGGTTATGTATTTAGAACATAAATTTTACTAACAATTTACCAGCGGCTGCCAGACAGGATACGCCCACATTTTGCAAGAGATGGATAGAGAACAAGCTAAAAACAAAGGGGATTTTTTGTACAATCAGGGGCAATAATCCAGAAAGTTATGGTCTGAAATGCGCAAATATCAAAAGGGATTGAGATCTTTGGGATATAAAGATATGTTTAAAGTTTCATCAGAATCGGATAAAAATTGTGACCTCTAGAGGGTCGACAACCTTCGTATTTCATAGTTTTACACAATTTGCGAACAAAGAGCAGCCATTTTGTTGGGCAGTTTCATTTAGATTTTCCCGAAATTCGAATTAAACCTTCATTATGGTGGGGCAATAATCCAGGAAGTTAAGTTTGGGTATCCGCGATTATCAAAAGGAACCAAGATCTTAGTGTGTAATGGTGATATATTAATTCACACGCTTTTTTTTAAATCGGATAAAAATTGCGACCTCTACTTACATGTAGACCACAAGCTAACCAGCGGCTGCCAGGCAGGATACGCCCACATTTTTGAGAGATGGATAGAGAACAAGCTAAAAAGAAAGTGATTTTTCCTACAATCAAGGGCCATAATTCATGAAGTTACAATTCGATATGCGCAAATATCGAAAGGAACCAAGATCTTTGGGTTATAAACATGCATTTCAAGTTTCATCAAAATCGGATTAAAATTGTAACCTCTACAGGGTCCACAACCTTGATATACCATATTTTTACACCTTTCGCGTACAAGCGGCGGCCACTTTGTCCGGCAGTTTTGGTTTGATTTTCAGGAAATTTGAACTCAACCTTTATTATGGTGTTACGGTGATATATTCAAACGATTTTTAAAATCAGATAATAAGTGTGACCTTCAGAGGGACCACAAGCTAAAAGAGGCGATTTTTCGTATAATCAGGGGCTATAATTCATGAAGTACGATCCGATATGTGACAATATCGAAAGGAACCAAGATCTTTAGGTTATAAACATGCATTTCAAGTTTCATCAAAATCGAATTAAAATTGCGACCTCTACAGGGTCCACAACCTTGACATATACCATATTTTTACACTATTCGCATACAAGCGGCGACCATTTTGTCAGGCAATTTTGGTCCTATTTTCACGAAATTCTAACTCAACCTTCATTACGGTGTAACGGTGATATAATCAAACGTTTTTTTAAATCGGATAATAATTGAGACCTCCAGAGGGACTAAAGCTAAAAAAAGGCGATCTTGCGTACAATCAGGGGCCATAATTCAGGAAGTTACGATCCGATATGTGACAATATCAAAAGGAACCAAGATCTTTAGGTTATAAACATGCTTTTCATCAAAATCAAATTAAAATTGTGACCCATACAGGGTCCACAACCTTGATTTACCCTATTTTTACACTATTCGCGTACAAACGGCGGCCATTTTGTCCGGCAATTTTGGTCAGATTTTCCCCAAATTCGAACTCAACCTTCCTTAAGGTGTAACGGTGATATAATAATACGGTTTTTTAAATCGGATAAAAATTATGACCTATATAGGGTCCACAAGCTAAAAACACAATTTTTCGTACATTCAGGGGCCATAATTCAGGAAGTTACGGTCCAATATGCATGAATATCGAAAGGAACTGAGATCTTTGGGTTATAAACTTACATGTCAAGTTTCAACAAAATCGGATAAAAATTGTTACCTGTATAGGTTCCACAAGCTAAAAACGTGATTTTTCGTACAAACAGGGGCCATAATCCATGAAGTTTCGATCCGATACATGCCAATATCGAAAGCAGCCAAGATCTTTTGGAGATAAACCTATATTTCAAGTTTCGTCAAAATCGAATAAGAATTGTGACCTCTAGAGTGTCCACAAACAAATTGTGGACGGAAGGACGTCCAGACGACCGGACGGACAGGGGCAACGGCATGATACGTCCACATGAAAATGTGGCCGTATAAAAACGTGATTTTTTGTTCAATCAAGGGCCATAATTCAGGAAGTTATGCTCGAATATCGAAAGGAACTAAAAAGTTTCATCGAAATCGGATCAAAATTGTGACCTCTAGAGGGTCCACAACCTTGATTTACCAGATGTTTACACTATTTACGTACGAGGGGCGTCCATTTTATCTGGCAGTTTTGGCCCGATTTTCACGAAATTCGAACTCAACAGCCATTACGGTGTAACGGTGATATATTCGAACTTTTTTTTTAAATCAGATAATAATTGTGACATCTAGGGTCCACAAGCTAAAAACGCGATTTTTCGTACAATCAGAGTTCATAATTCAGGAAGTTACGATTCGATATGCACGAATATCGAAAGGAACTGAGATCTTTGGGTTATAAACTTACATTTTAAGTTTCATCAAAATCAGAAGAACATTGTGACCTCTAGAAGGCCCACAACCTTGATATACCATATTTTTACGCTATTGAGAACGAGGGGCGACCATTTTGTCTGTCAGTTTTGGGCCGATTTTGACGAAAATCGAACTCAACCAGCCTTAGGGTATAACGGTGATATATTAAAAGTTTTTTTTTTTTAAATCGGATAAGAATTACAAGCTAAAAAAAAGCGAATTTTCGTACAATCAGGGGCCATAATTCAGGAAGTTACGGTCAGATATGCGCGAATATCGAAACGAACCAAGACCTTTGGGTTATAAACTTACATTTCAAGTTTCAACAAAATCGGATAAAAATTGTGACCTTTATAGGGTCCACAATCTTGATATACCATATTTTTACGCTATTTGAGAACGATGAGCAGCCATTTTGTCAGTCAGTTTTGGTCCGATTTTCACGAAATTGGAACTCGGCCATCCTTAGCATGTAACAGTGATATACTAAAACGTTTTTTTAAATCGGATAAAAATTATGACCTCTACAGTGTCCATGAAGTTACAGTCCGGGTATACAGACAACTCATCCCAATATAAGACAACTCATCCCAAGACAACTCATCCCAATATAAGACAACTCATCCCAACTTTAAAACATGGGTCGAGATATAAGACAACTCATCCCAACAAATATACATGCCAGTTATATTTGTTTTAATACAATTGCTTTTTTTCAAGACTACTCAGACCATTCTGATTTTGTTATAAAAATGTGTTATCTTAATAAAATTGATTTTGTTGCTTTAATAAAATAAATATTGTTATTTTAAATTATAAGTTATTTTAAGTTCTGGGTGCTCCGTATACTTATAGTGTACACGTTTCAATTCCATCTTTGAACCATACATGCGACTGGAAATGTTGGCCCCAGTCGTGCTGATTGTTTCCATATCATTGCCTGATAGAAATTCGTCAGAATATGACATTATATCCTTATCTTTATGTATGAGTTTCAGTACAGCTAATATCTTGGGATGAGTTGTCTTATTTTGGGATGAGTTGTCTTTGGGATGAGTTGTCAGGTATTCATTGAAAGGAACCGAGATCTTAGGGTGATAAACCAATATTTCAAGTTTCGTTGAAATCGGATAAAAATTGTGACCTCTAGAGTGTTCACAAACAATTGTGGACCAACGGACGAACAGGGGCGACGACAATATACGTCCACATGAAAATGTGGGCGTATAAAAATGCCTTTTGTTGCAGTAATTAAAATCAAAGACACAAGGTGTTTGTTTCATGCCTTTGCATCTCATGTGGTGTAATTAAAGTTGTTGGTACATGTGGGGAAGGACAATATTATTGCCCAGATAACAACATTCCTGTCGACTTTTTGTGAAATTCCAACTGTTAAGTTTTCTTTGAGGTACCGACTACTATTACAATCTGATTAAAATACAGATCGATATTTTGATTCGTTGTTTGTATACTTTCGATGGCCTCCACTACATGAAGATCTGAACAGTGTAGTGAGAGGTCGCATCAAGGCTCATACAAGCGGCTTTTGACCCTATGACATCAGGCATTCAATTAACCAATCAGCATTGATATTTCTAAGGAATAACCACAGTTCCGTGCACAACACGCTCAGAACTTGCTGTAACAGACCATTTCATTGGCTAATGCCTCACATCAACCAGAACGTGGGTTATATAAAAACTCTTCCGGATCCTTGTGTAGTAAAGACAAGTAAAACGAAATTTGTAACTATAAGAAAACGAAACGAAATAGAATTGACACTACTAGTACTACACACCAATGTGTACCTGTGTGAATCTCAGGATTTTTATGCCATCTAAATAACTAGGTACAATTTCACTGTCGTCAAGTCACGACAAGTCAGAACCATGTGTGAAATGTGCCTTGACCCAAGGTAGAATTCACAGCTGGGACAGTTTGGACTGTCTCAAGGAAAGTCTTTACCACTCGGCAAAAGAAGGGTAGGTAATTTGCGGCTAAAGGTGGGTTCTTTCTATATTACATCCACTGCCAAGTTTGAGATCCATATGTGCAATGGAAATAAATGCAAGATAGCCTGTTGCGATAGTAGTGAAGTTACCTCCCATTCAAAGATTTGGTCGACTAAGAAAAATAAAAATATTTATTAATAATAAAACAGTCCATATAATACATATATAATATATACAGTTAATGAAAGCATGCTAAAAAAAATATCAACAAATTTTATAATAACAGTTAAAAATAGCATGTTAAAAATGCAATTATGTAAAGATGAAAATATTTAACAGGATGACATAAAAAAACTTAAGGAATTGCCAGAATATTGTTAATGAAATAATGAAGTGGGTAGAAAACCAAGATGAACTTAGACCCACAAATCAAGTAAAAAAGGTTAATAACCTGAGCACTAGAGAGAGAGAAATGGGGTTTAACGTCCACTCAACACAAACTAGGTCATTTCGGGACTAACATATGGTTTAATTTTATTTCAATAATTCGCTTGCGCATAGGGGTCTTTAGCAGTGGGAGGAAACCGGAGGACCCGGAGAAAACCCACGAGGTTGGACAGGCGACCCTACTCCTTGTCACGTACAACCGGGGATTTGAAACCACGCCAGTCGACTCAATGACAGACTTTATGATACAGCGCGCGCACGCTAACCATTCAGCCATCCAACCCCCCCTGAGCACTAGACATTTAACAATAACAAACCTTTTCAATAAATATTTTCTCATTATGGTATTACAATAAAACATTGAAATGTACATAGCATGACAGTCTCTTTTTTTTAAAATGATCAATGATATATTTAAATGTGACAATACAAATGTATGATATAAATAACTTCATATTCAATATATTTTTATATTTTCTAAATTATAATTAATCAATTTCATTTATATATTTGATTAGGGTGAATTTAATTATAAGATATAAGTTTGTCTAGAAATAATAAATTATAGTTTAAATGAAGCAAATTCAAAAAAAATATAAGCTTATGTGATATATAAAATACACAATGCTACAATTTAGATAATAAAATATAAGATTATAAGATCTATTTTAAAATATCATGCAATGAATAAGGTAAATATTAATACATCATAAAGTTAAAATTTTGAATAGTAGCTGTATAGATAAAAATATTAACAGTATCTGTAAAACAAAAGGTCATGTTAAAACAAACAACAAGCAAACAAGGTTACCATTATTAATCTCATGTTAAAAACAATAAGTAAACATTACTATGAATCTTATTAAAAATTTTGTGTGTAGCAAATAACCAGCATAAAAAATTATAAGAATTAAGCATTTCCCAATGTAACATGAATTATGGTATAATTGTGTCATCAATCCCTATGTATGTATATCTATAAATATGAACATAATGTAAGACACAGTTTCCGCATAAATTAACACTAGTAGTATAATAATTAATTATATTGTGTATTTTTTTCTTTTCAATACTGGATGTATTTGAGACTGATATCCAAGTTGTTAATTAACACTGAAAAAAAAGGTGAATATTATTATTACATGTATCAGCGGGGTTTAAGTATGCAAATCAAACACCGAAATAATAAAGAAATGGCATATTCTGTCTTTTATCAGCTTATCACCATCGGCCGAAGCAGACATTAATCCTTACTTAATTAGTTTCCATGTCAAAAACTTTGAGTCATTGCTTGTAATGATCACAAAGATTGCTTAACAGGGTAAAGCAACTCCGATAATTGAGGACTATTGTTTTTTTTTTGTAATAAGTGAGCTGATAAAACACAATCATATTTGGTAGACATTCAAGATATCTGAAGAAAAAGCTGTAACATTTTTACCTTAAATTAGCTAGCTGTTCTTCAAGCTCTTCTCTCCTATTGATTTTTTTCAACTCCTCAGCATTTAATTTAATACCATTCTTCTGCTTTTCTTCTAATTTTGCAATGCCAGTTAGTTTTTTACGAATTCTTTTAGCTTTCTTAGCACTTTCTAATAACTGAAGAAAAAGAGAGAATGTATCATGAAATGCCTCATCAATACAATAATTCAATCATTTGGAGATTAAAGATAAGTCTATTTTTTTATTTGGTTGGATATTTGGTAAAACCTGCACAGATCTTATACATCTGAATAGGTTTGCTGTCATACAGTATTTCCTTATTAGTGATGGGTCACACTCATCATGATTACATTTTTATATTGGTAATGTAAGCGTAAACTGGTTTACAATTTTTTTTTCTTATAGTGTTTGATCTAAAGTGTTTGTAGTATAAGGAAAGTCAACACTTCAAAAATAAGATATACTAGATGGTCGAAGATACAATAACAGGGGCGGATCCAGAGGGGTTGGGGGGTGGGGGGTCGAACCCCCCCCCCCCCCCCCTGCTCAGCTACATAATTTTTTTTTTATAAATCAACACTTTTTATGAGAAAAGTTTCTCGGCCGTGTACTTTATCCTTTATCGTCAGATGTGGGACAGGATGGGCACTCAAAGCACGAGATAATGATATAGACATAATGTGATATCACAACTAATGCTTTGCATCCATGAAATTGAATCACAATGTCATTGTATTAATTTATAATAAAAATTGACGTCAAAGGCCCAATGTGTATGTATATACCACAAAATGACGATAGAGGCAATGCGGGCGGGGGGGGGGGGGGAGGAGATACATTGTCTCAGGAACCTGGCAAACCCCCTCCTGCAAAAATTCCTGAATCCGCCCCTGAATAAGTCTAAGATGTCTGTGGATTTAATGATCAAAAGCATGTAACTACCTCATTACTATCGGTGTTAGAACCATCAGTACTTACATCATCTGAAGATATAAAATAATGCCAAACATTATAAATAACATTATAATAACATTATAAAGTAATGCTTCATAACATTATGAAAAAACACATCACAACATCATAAAAAAAAACTTTATAACATTATGAAAAAACACAAAAATATTCTGAACAGGTTAAATTGAACTCGCATAGTATTTTAGAAAATTGCATGTTTTTCAACATGTTATTAATATGAAGATGGTGACCAAACTGTTAAACAGAACGATTCAATAAGAACTAAAAAATTATAACAGCTTTGTTAGTAGGGAAAGACATCTCAGTATGTCATTATATGAGAAAAAAAAAGAACCAAGTGTCCTATCTTGTAAGAAAACCTTATACCTGAATGAGCTGAATGGTGTCCTTTTGGTTTGGCACCAAGAGCTGGATAATCATTGACATTGAAACTAGAAGGAACTGTTGGCTCTGGCTGATATATAGGAAAAGTTGATGTATTCGAACCTGTAAGAGATGAAAACAAATCTCAGTAAATTCTTTAGTGTAACACAATAGACCATAGTTTAAAATTCAGCTATCATAACATGAGGTTGGGTTCATAACTATAACCAATATCTAACTTGCTTACCATTAACCTGTGATGCCCACGATTTACTGTTGGGCGGAATCACATTTGACATTGGATCACGATTTCCATTTTGTAGTCTTTCACCTCTTCCTAGACCTGAACTGGGCATATTAAATGTTGGTGAAGGTGTGTTAGTCCTGCCTCGACCTCTCGGTCTCGTGGAAGTTGCCACTGCAATGGTAGCCGATTGCACACCATTGCTTAAATTAGTTGTCACATGATCATTTCGTTCAAAGTCTTCTGTATCAATAACATCGCTAAAGTTTCCTGACTGGTTACTCATATTATTGACGCCTCGTCTCCGTGGCCTAGAGCTCAAAAGATAGCATTTAATACTATCTGGAGGATCATCCCGTCCAGCATTATTAGAGAATGTTTGTGGACTGGATGTAACTGGCTGGTTAACAGGGGCTCCTCTTCCTAATCCTTGATGTTGGTTATTACTAGCCACAACTGAAACATGGAAGTATTTAACATTAGTTAATTTTCATTTATCTTTCATTATTACTTCTACAACTTTGAGGTTATCCCATGGATTTTAATTGGCAGGTTATAGTCGGCCTCAGCTGCTTGATGCTTGAAAAAGCTGATTGATAAATCAATGGTATCTACTTTCAGCTCCATTACAAAAAGTTAATTTCTGGCTGATTAAGAAGTCAATCAACTTGTCAGCTACAATAATGGTCATACCTTCGGGAGAATCGACCATGGGGTTCATATGAGTAATTAGCCTGGTAATTTTGATAATCTCATAAAAACACTGAGGTTGCTAATTATCCACAACAGGTCCAGTAAGTTGCCTCTGTGAAAATAGGCTATGTGGTGAATGATTTAACATGCATTTAATGCTATGAAGCCAACAACACAGTCTGCTTCAACAAAATTCTGCTATGAACTATCAATCTGATTAAAACACAGATCCTATTTCGTTTCGTTTTTTTTATGGTTCAAAATTTCGTTTTACTTCTCTTTACTACACTAGGATCTGGAAGAGTTGTTATCATTGAGGTTTTCTGGATGATGTGAGGGATTAGCTAATGAAATGGTCTGTTACAGTGTGCTTTTGCACTAGAAACATCAATATCTAATCAAATAGTGTAGGCCATCGAAAGTATAAAAAACGAAACGAAATATAGATCTGTATTTTAATCAGATAGATGAACTAATATTTCATCATGAGATTGAATACTATGGGGATTTTATTGGAGTTATCTTTAAAACTGAAACCAAATAGACATGTTTTATCTGCCCTACCTCCTCTACCTCGACCAACACCAGCCATAGCAAGAGAATATTGAAATACAGTTGATGGCTGCTGTGGTATTCGTGTCTGTTGAGCTGCGTATAAAACTTCAGCTTGAGATTTTTCTTTCGGCAATCTAACTTTATTTTCCTTCTCTTTTACAGGTTGCATTCCTACTGGACGATATTGACCTTTCTGTTGCTGTGATCTATGTGTTAAAATATCATGTGTAATTACAAATATTTTAATTTAAACAGAATTTACTGGTAAAAAGGAGCCATAAAAATTTAGAACCATCCCTCAGACGTCATAAACAATTCTCTTAATTAAAAGTAATTACGTTGTTGGCAGGATACAAAAAGTACTTTAGCTGAGATGATTGTAAATGTGGCGTTTTCACACAGAATAAATAACACTGACACCAAACTAGTAGCCATCTTTTTAAAGTTCATTGGGATTTTCTGGTGTGGGGCCTGACAAGGACAGCTGTCTAGTCGTTCGGATTGTACGTAAAAGATCGCTTGGCAGTTGGAATTTGATATAAGAGTAGGCCTTAGAGCCGCTGTCCGGGCAAAATTTCCCTCATATCACACTATATGGCGTACGCCCGTCTTCATTAGCCCAGTTGCAGCAGAACAGTGGGCCGTTAAACCCCATTTTATTTCATTTCAGTAGTTATTTTGAACATGCTTCTTTTATTCACCTCTGAGTGGTACCATAATTAAATTGGCACAATGACATCATTACTGCAACAACGTCATATATGTATATACAATGTATATAACTTAGGGACATAATATAAAACTTACTTTAAATCCTTCACGTCTGGTGCTAGGGAACTGTGGAATTGTCGTTTTTCTAAAGGTGTCATTCTGTAACAATAACAAACTTTGATATAATCATATTTCTAAGATTCCTTTTGAAAGTAAAATATTCTATTCTCTGAAATTTACTAACTAATATATTTGTTTGTTCCTATAAACACCACTTGTCCATGATGATATTGATCTTATGTGTGTGTAAAAATGTAAATAAATACTTACCCAGATAAACTACGTCTTGTCTGTGTCAAGAAGAATTCAGGGTTAACCCCCATTCTTGGTTCTGCTGGAATTTCTGCAATATATAATTCAACAATTTTTATCATGTTAAACAGGCATTACGCAAGAGCTAAATCTGCCTAATGCAGGTCTTTCTTTAGGCCTTAAATGTTATATAAATTATTAATTAGATAAGACCATAATTAACTCTCGAAGCCATCGGATGGCTCCAATTTTTATGATTTAATTTAAAAATTGATAATCCAGACTTTGTTTATCATCTTAATAATGGTAGCAATGACAATCAAGGCTACACTGTTCTTCGAACGACGTTAACTCGGCTCAGATTGAAGTAATTTGACTGAAATTTTCAACATATTCTCTTTACATTATCTATTTTTAACTATTATAGCGAGAACTGTCATCTCTTTATCTAATCTTACATAATGCCATTTTAACATTTTTGGTGTAAATTATTCAGAAAAAAACCCAACAACAATGGCGGTAAGTAACTAAATTGGTCACGCTGCTATATGATCATTCTAAGAATATAATTTGGGGTAGATAACTTCTTGCTTCACAAACTCATTATCTTGTGATATTCAACAGCTTAGTATAATAGTATGAGTGTGATAAGAATTAATAACATACCAGTATCCCAGTCTTCAGTAGCAACTACTTCATATGAAATGTATGCTGGTACATCTGTATTGCCCTTTAATCTTGCAATGCCCTCTGTTCCTTTAGCTGCCTCTATAAAACGATCAATATAACATTTCAATTGTTTACAGAGATAATGTATACATGATTAAATTATGAAATCGAGGATAAAACTTTTTTTTAATGGAAAGTAACCTGCTGTAGTCAAGATGTTAGAATATCCTTAAATCAAGTAGAACAAGCCAACAATGAGACTGATGTCCCAGACCGAAATCTCAAAATAAACAGATGACACATTAATTAATTGCACATTTATTTTTCTCAAAAGTATCAAGCAATCAAGCTGATCATCAACTATACACTAAGTTTGATCACTCTCTATCAGATAGAATGAAAGTTATCTTGTCCCAAAGCATCAACCAATGAAATTGCTTAGCTCTTCTTAGCTTTAGCTCGAAATGTTAATCATTGAACTCAGTAATGAGCATCTACATCAAGTTTAAACATTCTATCTCAATTAAAAGCAGAGTTGTTATGTTCCAAAGTCTTGACCAATCAAATTGCTTATCGCTCCTTAGCCTAAGCAGAAAATTCTCATCGAACATAGTCAAGGTAATGATATAATGAATCTATGCTCGGAGTTTCATCACTCTCACTTAATTATAACCCAAATTATCGTGCCCCAAAGCATCAACCAATCAGATTGCCTATCTTTGCTTACGTTAAGCAGACAATGTTTATCATTGACCTCCATCAAGGCATTGACCTAATGGACATCTACACCAAGTTTGAACAGTCTACCTCAATTAGAAGTAGAGTTATTGTGTTACAAGTTTCGACCAATCAAATTTCTTATCTCTCTGCTTACCCTGAGCAGAAAATGCTCATTATCAAACTTACTTAAGGTATTGATGTAATGAAACTATACACCAAGTTTCCTCACTCTCACTTAATTAGAACTAAAGTTATCATGTCCCAAAGCATCAACCAATCAAATTGCTTATCTCTGCTTACCCTAAGCAGAAAATGCTCATCGCCGAACTTCGTCAAGGAATTGACCTAATAAACACCTACACCAAGTTTGAACATTCTAGCTCAATTAGAAGGAGAGTTATTGTGTCCCAAAAAGTGTGACGGACGGACGGACAGACAGGCGGACATACAGTCAGACAGACATACAGCCGGACGAACCCATTTTAAAGTTAATTGTGGTTACAATTCATGGAAACACGTGAGAAATATACATGTTGTCAGTAGTCGCTTAAACCTGTCAGTACTTGCAGTTTGCACCGTGCGTTAGTATTCCTATAAATGGTCAGTAATAATCATAAGATGATTATTTAAGTTAATTGGTTAGTTTTCCTTACTTTTGTCAGTATGTAAAAATAACCTGAGTAATTAAAGAAGCGTCAGTTAATCCAAACATCACTAGTCAGGCACGTTCGGGAGAAACTGGCAAACACGTGACTAATTAAGAAAGCGTCAAATTTGGGGCTACTGTTCACTATCTGGTTGAAACCGCCAGTTATCTTTGATCTGCCTCAGTAACTGGAACCAACGTCAGTAGAGCGTGAAATCACTAACTTTATGAATTTCTGGTGAGTTTTTTTAAATAAGCGATTAGTATCGGTTAAATTGTGACTTTTCCGTTAAATCGTCACTACATCCTGAATAAATGATTAATTATTTATTAATATTCTCGAATTGGGGGAAATGTTTTTAAAGGATGACAGTGAACAACAGGACTATTTGTTGGAGATTTTGATTACCACCGTAGTGTGCAAAAGACACTGAAGATGGACTAGACAGATCGTTTCATAAATACCTTCATATTTAAATATGCATTTAAATGCTCAGTGGCAAGGTTTGATTCATCACACTATTTGTACCCGTTCCAGGTGAAAGTAAAACTTCCGGAACGAACGAATGAACTTACAACGGTTGCCCCCAAGTAGAATACGGCACAATGTGTATTGTTATTTGATTTACAATTTATAATAAATCACGTTACATGCGGATTTGCACATGTTTTGGGGCAGGCGGGATTTTATATCTGTATGGATTGAATTTGGAACCACTATTAATGGTTGAAAAAAGATCAACAAATCTGTTTTCACTAAATTTATTGAAACAGATAATATATCAGTAGATAACAGAAATAATGAATTTAATACACATACACATACATGTACCAATGCATACATGCAAACTGAAATTCTAAGCACTGAACAATTGTGTGGATATCTATTTACATTATAATTGGTATCTTCAAATTTGCACCATATACACTCCTAGGACCAACTAGAAATCAGCCAGATTTCTTCAAGTTTAGGAATGTGACCTCAAAGATACATGTAATAGAGATCTGTTGAAGAGAATCTTGTCATCAACTTCTCAAAGATAAAAAATTGTTGCCCAATTATTATCTATTTAGATGGTGCAGTGTTTAAGTGTCATATTACACTGCTCTATATTTAGAACCTACAAGCTACATGTAGATGGGTTTGAGATTTTCAATTCAAATTGAAATTAAATAAAGGAATAAAAGAAAATAATCAAATTGGAAGTAGAAATAAACAAATTTAATAACAATTTAATATAATGAAAATAAAATTGATTCAAATTTTACATAAAGTAATAATAAGATATAATTAGATGTAATATCTACTGCATCTTGTTTTAGCCAGGGTATACAATTATCAGGTTCTATGAGATTTTCAATTCAAATTGAAATTGAATAAGAGAAATTAATCAAATTAAATATAGAAATAAACAAATATAATAACAATTTAGTATAATAATAAATAAATGGATTCAATATTACAAAAGTAATAATAAGCTTATATAATGAGATGTGATATCTACAGCAGCTTGTCTAAGCCGGGGTATAAAATATCTTACACTATTTTACTCATATACTTTGATATTGACCAATTTGATGTTAACCAATTAAATGATTTTGGACCTTTTTCCTCGGGAGATTAATATTCATAAGTAAAACAAGCGTTGTTGAGCACATTATCCTTGTATAACTCTTGCCAGTGGCACTTTACATTCACCTATGAATATTTATTTCCATAGAAAGGGCTCAATATCGAAATATTTACGGCCTATTGAGCCATCGTACATGTATATTATATGTGAACACAAGGTACAAATTTACAAACTTATCAATTATTATTTAAGAAAATTGGATCCAAAAATATCTTATGTTGGAGCATAAATATGAACATTTACTGATTTTTTTAAATAGAGGGAGAGGTTACCCAAAACATATTTAATATACAGCGTGAATATGAAATATATTTGGAAACAAGCGTTGCCAACCCGATTCCTGATAAAAAAACCACCATATCATTCAAACGTCAACCCGACCATTTCAGATGTCGCATCTTACCGTTTCACGAATTGTCCGTGCAGAGCACGGGGTCAGCAATCAAATAACGCCTTCTTGATCAAAGTAACCATTCTATTTATACATGTAAAAGCATGCACAAGCTTATTCAGGGTTCATATTGGAGAACTTTTGGTGTCAAGATGACTGCAGTTCGATTGCTTTATTTAAAAAGATAACTTATATTTTTATTAACTATAAAATTGACTGAGCTATATCCGTTTGAGGTTGCCCAAGTCAGAAAAGGTAGTTCTGAGTAAAAGCGGGTTAAAGATACTGTTATGTTCTAAAACAAAATCATGTAGCAACCACACTATGTATTTCTTAATTTTGGTTTAATATTTCTGTCGGTGTTAGAACGAAAGAGAATAGTCCATACATAGGTAATGTAGGTCTTGTGTATTTAATCTTTTATCGGAATAAATTCTGTTAATCTCACCACTTAATTAGCACCTTTGTGTTAGTGCTCAGGATATTAAGAATGTTGTTTGGGTAACCGAGTTGAGTTTCTCGGTTAACAAAGTTCTAAGGCGTCTCAGCTATACGTGTATTATGTTACCTTTGTAACACGACTCAATTAAAATAAGATTTTGCGTGTACGATAGGTCTACTGTTATTTTCAGGTACCGTAATGGTATCAGAATCTGAACCCCAGGTAGAATAATGAACGCAGCCATGATACCATAATGCACTGCACGGGGTGTTTGGTCTGAGAATTTTTACGTATTGTATGGGTTTTAAGACTCATTTGTATTCATTAAAATTGGGTTTATTGGTAATACTTTGGCTACATTTCTAAACTAGAGATTCATGGCTTCACAACGATGCCAAGTATTACAAAAGGAGACTGGCCGGCCGCCCCGCTGCATTATCTATTTTTAAAAGTTAGTCAGAATGGTCAGCTCTTTATCTAAATCTTACATAATGCCTTAAAATGATAGTATTGAACATCCTTTACGTTTCAATATTCCAGACCAAGTGGTTGATAGCTATCTTAAAATGTTGTGGTTTAGTTAACAGGAATGGAGAATGGAAGAATGGGAAAGAAAAGATACCGGTAGATGAGATAAAAAAAGCTTTTAATTGTTCCATTGATGATAATCTTTACGAGGAAAAGATTGTCATAATAATGGAAAAGCAAGAAATGAAATGGGGTTTAATGCCCCACTGTTGTACACGAACTGTAACAATGAAATGAAATAAAATGGCACTATGGCCTACTCTTATATCGAATTCCAACTGCCAACTGATCTTTTACGTGCTCGTCAATGTACATGTATACCCAGGATCTTGGTTTTTTGTCCCATTCGAATTAGTTTCCTGTCGGCTGTAAACAATTTTGCAACTCTTCCACAAAATAAATCACCGTTTTACTTCTACGTACACTAGTGAAGCCGGCTTATTCATAAATTCGCTTCTGTATGGGTCATTATCAAAATTGGTAGAAATTGCAAATCACAAATGACCAGATTTCAAATATGGTTAATTGTTTAGTTTTTATATTTATTTGATGAAGTATAGTTCAAAGTGTCAGTTCTGAATAAGTTGAGAACAATTTTACAGAATTTATATTATTTGTCGGCTTTTATCGGTCACCAGTTTCAAATATGAAATTTCACGTATCGATTATTAATTTTGTTGAAAATATATGAATATTACATAAAAACATTTTTTTAAAAAGCATATTATTTCTAATAATTGGTCTTTCAAGCATACTAAAGCATGTTTCCGTCAAATTGGCTCTTTTTTAAAAAAAAAAGAAGCAATGTTTAGTTACCTAGTTTATACTGAAATGAATTATTATGCATTATTTTCTAATTCATGTCTGTATGTGTACTCAAACAATAATTTCATCATGCTCTGTAGCGAGGCATCAATGAATCCATAAAGATAAGTAGAAAAACTGAAGATATGGGTATGCTATCATTTTTACTGACTTTTTATTCGCAGTGTTACAGACAGGAATACCATGTTGCAGTAAAGACACAATTGATGAAGTGTTTTTGGCCTGTGGTGTTTTTTACCATGAGTTCCACACAATATTTGACTTAGAAAACAAAATTCAAAAATTTCTTCTATGTCTATATCATGTGGACTCTTGTGGTGATAAATTCCACACAAAAAACCCCCAAACCTTGCCATAAATGATTGAAGTGGATCTATGATTCATACAAACAAACGTCTTTCATTTTCTTACGCCAATAAAAACAATTATTGGTTTTCTTTCCAACTTTGTGTAAACATTCGATTCGTAGTTCATTATGATCGCTATAAATAACAGCTCTCACATTCACATTTCCAAACTGAGCAAAACACACCTGAGATCAACCATATTACTATAAAAGATCTATTCTTTCTGATGTCATCTAAATAATTCTTTGATAAGATCTGCATTAATTGCATTGCTAATGTTACATGTGGACAGACATTCTGGCAGATTTGTAACATTAGCACTAAAGTTTGAAGAAAATTTCTATTTATAGTGTTGATGTAAGAAGTTACTGAGATTTTTTACATGCTAAATAAAGCATAATATTAAGAATTTAAGATTAATATAATAAAATATAATCATATATTTTAATAACCTAAAATTTAAACATTTATCGGGCATGCAACTGTTGCTAACGTTACATAAGGACAGACGTGGACATTTTATAAATAACTGTATTACTTGAATTATTGTTTTGATCTAAAACTAAAAATAGTCCGCAATGAAAGGTATCAATATATTGTATAGTATTTCTACCCTTGGGCGAGTTTTAAATTTAAAATCAGACAAAAAGTATTTCAAAAGCACGTGCTAACGTTACGTAAGGACAGACGGTTTATTTAATCGGTCTGACAATTGACACGTTAGCACTTTTTTGCGGGGGTCAAAGTCATTTTGATCGAGTGAATAAGGCGAGAATGCCCATATCTTCAGTTTTTCTACTTATCTTTATGGATTCATTGATGCCTCGCTACAGAGCATGATGAAATTATTGTTTGAGTACACATACAGACATGAATTAGAAAATAATGCATAATAATTCATTTCAGTATAAACTAGGTAACTAAACATTGCTTCTTTTTTTTTTAAAAAAGAGCCAATTTGACGGAAACATGCTTTAGTATGCTTGAAAGACCAATTATTAGAAATAATATGCTTTTTAAAAAAATGTTTTTATGTAATATTCATATATTTTCAACAAAATTAATAATCGATACGTGAAATTTCATATTTGAAACTGGTGACCGATAAAAGCCGACAAATAATATAAATTCTGTAAAATTGTTCTCAACTTATTCAGAACTGACACTTTGAACTATACTTCATCAAATAAATATAAAAACTAAACAATTAACCATATTTGAAATCTGGTCATTTGTGATTTGCAATTTCTACCAATTTTGATAATGACCCATACAGAAGCGAATTTATGAATAAGCCGGCTTCACTAGTGTACGTAGAAGTAAAACGGTGATTTATTTTGTGGAAGAGTTGCAAAATTGATTACAGCCGACAGGAAACTATATTTATGTAATGTGGATTGGGTTGGTAATCTTGTGCTGTGTGATAAATCGTTTTGCTATTATGTAAGAATATTAATAAATAATTTATAAATAATAATTCATTCGGGATGTAGTGACGATTTAACGGAAAAATCACAATTTAACTGATACTAATCACTTATCAAAAAACTTACCAGAAATTTATATAGTTAATGATTTCACGCTCTACTGACGTTGGTTCCAGTTACTGACACAGATCAAAGATAACTGGTGGTTTCACCCAGATAGTGAACGGTAGCCCAAATAGTGAAGCTTTCTTAATAAGTCACACGTTTGCCAGTTTCTCCCACACGCCTGACTAGGGATATTTGTTTAAATGAGCTAGTTGTTTAAATGAGACATGTAACTAAGTCAACATATGTTACACATCATATCGTGACTGTAGTGGCAATACCCAGCACTATTGCCAGTAAGTAAATTTAATGAAATGTTTGTCTCAAAATTGTACCATTTGTAATGACAACGACAGAGGGACAATGGCATCTAAAATTACTTTTGCTGTTGACTGTTACCTACCATAGCGTATTGTTTTTTCTACTACACTCCTATCTGGACAGGTACTCATGTGGAAGCGGAACTCTGGTCGTGGAATATCATGTGTTGCGTTGTATGGACAGGTTTTATAGTCTTTTGTTGATGCAAAATTCTGCAACAAAAGTAAACATAGATGATTTATTGTTCAAGACAATTGTGACGATAAAATCGACTGGATGATAAAATATTCCTTAGTTAAGAAAACCAGAATATAAATCACAATCCTAAAATGATCTGCAGCAACTAATCTGCATTTCTAGTTCAATTACTTAGTGCTCATAAGGTTGATTTCATTGTTGACAATGACAGTGCTGATTTTGACATCATCTGCTTATCAAAAACATGCAATAGTGAATGGGGAGATGAACACACTGTAACCCAGGTATCATTTAATCTTGTGTATCTAGCACTAATTTCTTTCACATTCGTTTAATATCCAATCTTTGTTTAAAAATTCATAAAAACTGTTTAAAATCACCATAAATCATTTAATTTGTACTTCTGTCCAGTTTAAAGCTGACCATTCAATTTTGATAATTTCTCAATCACTGTAGTGTTAAAAAATAAACAACCCAATTAATTAATGATGGTCAGGAAATTAAATACTTGGAAATTTGACACTCATTATCAGCTTTAAACTGAACACAAGTACAAATTAGATGATTTTTGGTGATTTTAAATATTTTTACGAATTTTTAAACAAAGATTTGATATTAAACGAATGTGAAAGTAATTAGTGCTAGATACACAAGATCAAATGACACCTGGGTTACAGTGACATGAACTAATATATCTATTACATGCTTTATTTCAGGGGGACTGCACCTCACACACAATTACATAAGAATAAGACAAACCTACTGAAAATGGGGAGCTAGACGTATTACTATTAGTGTCCACTGCTCTGTACAAGTCCCGGGCCAGTAATGATACAGAATCCACTCAAAATGTAAAACAAACTAACAAAAAGGTAAGCAACTCAAGAAAAAAGAAAAGGGAGAATATTTCCCAAACGCTGTATCATACTAGTGCGAGTCATTATCGGCTATCTAAGTACCTCTATAAAAAGCTCACACAAAGATGATTTCAAAGAGGGATAGTTGAGTACTGAGAATTTCTAAATCAAAGGAAGAAGGCCAACAATTCAAGTGATGCAAGATGCCAATCTTGAAAGATTTACCCGTTGACTGCCAAGTCACTGAACATTTTGTGGCATCTACACTGGGTTCCTGGGACCAGATGCCTAGAAGTACATGTAAACAAGTATTGTGGGCACTATGACACAGCTTTGATGGGTTATCTCCAATATTCTACAATGTGGGGCAAATCACAGAAACACATGTTGTCTTTATCGAAGGGTAACAACACAAATCGTGGGCTCTAAGGGTAATCCATCAGTGCCTGCTCAGCCTCATGGTACATGTACCACTGCTCGGTATATTGGATTTTTTAAAGATACATTATGCAAGAGGTAAATCTGCCTATTGCAGGTCTTTCTTTAGGCCTGAAATGTTATATAAACTACATGTATTAATCAGAATTTATTAACATGAAAAGACCATAATCAACTATCGATGCCATCTTATCTGTCCGATCTGCTGTTCAACATCTGTTGATGATTAAATGCAAAAATGGATAATCGAGACTTTGTTAATTATTATTGTGACAGCGCTAAAAATGACAATCGAGGCTACAACGATTTTAAAATAAGGTTTTCTTGGATTAGAGTGAAGCAATTTGCCTGAAATTTTCAGCATATCCCCTTTACATCATCTAGTTTTTATACACCCACATTTTCATGTGGACGTATTATGCAGACACCCCTGTCCATCTGGACATCCGTCCACAATTTGTTTGTGGACACTCTACAGGTCACAATTTTTATCCGATTTTGACAAAACTTGAAATACAGGTCTATCTCCCAACAATCTTGGTTCCTTTCGATATTGGCATGTACTAGGACTCCCGATTGTAGAAAAATCGCGTTTTTAGCTTGTGATCCCTCTCGATGTCACAATTATTATCCGATTAAAAAATATTTTAGAATATATATCACCGTTACACCGTAATGTTGGTTGAGTTCGAATTTCATGAAAATCAGATCAAAACTGCCGGACGAAATGGTTGTCCCTCGTACGCAAATAGTGTAAATAATTTTGATCCAGTTTTGATGAAACTTACAATACCTGCTTATAATTATAACCCAAAGATCTTGGTTTTGCTTTCAATATTCGAGCACATCAGATCGTAACTTCCTGAATTATGGCCCTCGATTGTATGAAAAATCGCTCAAGAGGTCACAATTTTTATCTAATTTTATCGAATATACTGTTACACCCTAATGATGGTTAAGTTCTAATTTTGTAAAAATCGGAACGGAAGTGCCGAACAAAATGGCTGCTCTTTGTATGCAAACAGTGCAAAAGTATGTAATACCAAGGTTTTGGATCCTCTAGAAGTCCCGATTTTTATCCGATTTTGATGAAACTTAAAATATATCTTTATATCCCAAATAGCTCAGTCCCTTTCGATATTCGCCTTTTTAGACCATAACTTCCTGGATAATGGCCCCTGATTGTATGAAAAATGGTTTGGTTTTTTTTAGTTTGTTCTCTACCCAATCACTTGCAAAATGTGGGCGTATCTTGCCTGGCAACCGCTGGTTAACTTTTGTAGCGAGAACTGCCAGCTCTTTATCTAATCTTCCATAATGTATCTTTAATTATACATTTATAATAATGGAAAATTTATATTTTCTTTCTACTTACCTTTCTACATTTCAGTAAATGATATTGCATCCTTCTCACTCGAACCATGTGACTTTTATCATATGGACATTCTACGGTGTCTTCTGGATCTAATATCTTATAGTCTGCCATTGTGTGTTATTCTCAACTAAAAAATCAAATAAAATTGCATACAACATATAGATGAACTATTAAAATAAACTTAAAAAGTTGTGTTTTCTAAGAAGTCAAACCTACAGACATAATAAACATATGTAGCTCAATTGATTATTTGTTTTGGTTGTAAAGAACACTGATTATGAAATAAATATTCACAAGGAGAGCTTGAACCATGTTTGTGTCATTTTCTTGCAGTCATTAAAAGATCCTTCAAATTTCCAAAAAATATCAAATATCTGCAGGGACCCATATTTTGCCTATAGCAAATGTTTCCGTCTTAGTAGATGCAGATCATTCTCTTATAATCAGAACTCAAACATGATTACCCTAAGACCTAAGTTACATAAAGTCAACACAAGGTACAATTTTATGGATATACAATTAATGAGTTTAAATACTAAGCGACGTTTTGACGAGGATACTCCCGTCTTTATCAAGCAAATGATAAAGACAAGAGTATCCTTGATAAAGACAAGAGTATCCTCGTCGAAACATCACTTAATATTAAACTCAATAATTGTATTGTATATCCATAAAATTGTACCTTCTGTTAATAAGTTCAATTACTAAATGCCAATCAAAGAAGTTATCAATGTCTCAGGTAAAACCTAAATTGAAGCCCAGTGGTGACAGCAGCCTAGTGATTTACAGTCACCCATATAAAAGCCTATTGTGACTGTCTGAGACACCAAGTTCACAGATAGACATTGTATTATTTTCATATTTACTGTTAAATAGGTACATAATAATCTTAGCAGTCAAAACAACAGGCAGTGCTCAATATAAGTACATGTAGCTACAGATTAACAGAAAGTTTCTTCCTTAAAAGTATAAAAGCCTTTCTGCTTTGGCAAATCTGCATCGAGGCAATTCGGGGATGAAACTTCTCGTGTGAATGAAGTAACCTATTTTTTGCAATATATTTTATTTGTTATCATAAAGTATCTGTAAAATGAGTATTGACCAAATGTGGCATCATTTTCTACCACAACTTCATAAGAGAGAGAGAGAGAGAGAGAAAGAGAGAGAAAGATGGGGTTTACCTCCACTTGACACAAACTAGGTCATTTTGGAACCACCCCATGGTTCAATTTTATTTCAATAAATCGCTGGGGGTATGGGTCTTTAGCAATGGGAGGAAACCGGAGGACCCAGAGAAAACCCATGAGGTTGGACAGGCGACCTTACTTCATGTCACGTACAACAGGGGAATCGAAACCAAGCCAGTTCACTCAATGACAGACCTTATACAGCGTGCGAATGCTAACCATTTGGCCATCCAACCCCCTTCATGATAACATATACTTCCGACTGCTGCAAATAAACAATCGTTGGACTGCAAAAGCATCAGTATCATTTCAGGACTAAAAGAAAGTTAAACAAGATACATGTATTGTTAAAGGAGTTTCTACTTTCTTCATTCTATTTGTATACATGCATACTTTATCTACGACCTAGTTATATGAAAAAATGGATTTTACATTCCCAATAAATGGTGTAGGTCTACCAACCTATTTTCTGAAATAAATTAAATACTTATCAGCTCTATAGGCTATAATACATGTACACTGACAACTAAGATAATTTTAGAAGGGGACTTTCCAATTAACTATAAATAAAATCTGAAAAATTCTATGTATATATTTGTAATGGATTTTACATTCCCAATAAATGGTGTAGGTCTACCAACCTATTTTCTGAAATAAATTAAATACTTATCAGCTCTATAGGCTATAATACATGTACACTGACAACTAAGATAATTTTAGAAGGGGACTTTCCAATTAACTATAAATAAAATCTGAAAAATTCTATGTATATATTTGTAATAACTGTTTTTTTCTTTCGTTTTAGGTGAGGCTAAAAACAGACCATTCACTATAATAAAGAAATTAAACATTGTTAGTTGTGTTTTATTTATCCCATACAGACCATACGCAATTGAACTTGAATAAAACCAATATTACTTGCCTTTTGTGTTTTATTTTATTTATAACTGATCGGCGCCCATCACAATAATAAAGAAATTAATACTTGCCTTTTGTGTTTTATTTATCCCATACAGACCATACGCAATTGAACTTGAAGTAAAACCAATATTATTGTTTTATTTAACTGATCAGTGATTATTGCATTTAATCTGTATTTTGATGGGTAAGTTTAGATTATTTACGATAATTGATCGCCAAATCACCGCTACTTACCTTTTGTTGATTAGTGAAACCAAGCCGAGATTCTTTAATCTGTATCTGTATTGATCGAATACTTATACCCAACTAGTACTAGGACAGATTTAGATGGGGATATCACAGACTTGGGTAAGCCGGTCACAATTCCAAAGATGAACTGATCTCAAAAATGATTTGCAACGTGATGACAGCTAACCGCGATGAGAAGAGATCCCCTTGATAGACTCAATCTACCAGTCTCAATTTTTATAGCGATGACTCCTTGTTACTTGTATTTCGCTGTTCTTTTTTTTATTATTATTTTCACCGACTGTAATGTAAAACAACAAAACGTCCAAATGCATTCAGCAAAAATGTATGAAGCATCTACTGTTTCCGCGTTAAATAAAATAAGTTCTGTAAATCACATTACTAAACATGAGTACTGGACAAGAGGAACCATATTTTGACAGAGACTGGATACTCGAGAGGACCGATTCCCTAAACGGAAATCCCAATAACTATATTTAGTCTTTACGTCGCAACCAATGACGTCTATACTAACTAGACCGCGCGCTCCCACTGAATGATGCAAGACGCCATGGCCAATCAGTGTTGACTTCCGGCAGTGGGTAAAAGTAAGTAGGTCAACTGGTTTCTAATGTCAACACATGGGAACGCTCTCGATAATAAGATCTAATTAGACTTGGTTTAAATTCGCAATAGGAAATTTTAATCAAGAATGAATATGTACGGTTCTTGAATCTTCAGTTTATTTAACAAATGATACAATTGTAGATGTCTAAATATGGATTCATAATAAAGTAATGAAAGACCGAAATGGACAACCTTTCACGTATGAAGACTGAAGTAAAATCTTGAAAATGTAAAAAAAATTTACCATTATTAATAAAAATAATAATTTTATTTATTCAGTATGCATATGATACGATGTATAAATACAGATGACACTTGAAAATATATGGAGAATGATTGTTCAAGCAATTATAAAGAATTTAATGAATAATGAAAAGATGGATAATTTTAACATAAGCCTAATAATAAATTAATTTTTGGATATAAATATGAAAGTGATTTTTCAAGCAATTAAAAATAATTTAGTTTATGATTTCTGGACTTATAATTTTAACATAATAAATTATTTGATTTTTGGATAAAAATATATAACTATGAGTGATTTTTCAAGCAATTAAAAAGAATTTAGTGTATAATATATGGACGGATAGTTTTAACATAATAAACTTTTGGATATAAAAATAAGAGTGATTTTTCAACTAATTAAAAATAATGATGTGTTTAAGGACGAATAATTTTAACATAATAAATTATTTAATTTATGGATATTCTAAGGGATTATAGAGAAATTAGTTCATAATAAATGGAAGGATAATTTTAACATAATAAATTATTTAATTTTTGGATAAAATAAATAAGAGTTATTTTTCAAGTAATTATAATGAATTTAGTGCAATATATATGGACGGATAATTTTTGTATCACCGAAATGTTATGAAGCGGGGATTTTTATACATCTATATTATACAAAATACATAAGATAGGTTGCCAGGCAATGAAACATACACCCACAGCAGCTAAATCGTCCGGGCAGTCACAAGAGTTGTCACAAATTCTTATATCAAAATTCATTGAAAATCAATATACTTGTTTGTCTCAAGACTTTAAACTCTGTGTATCAATCTGAAGTCAATCGGATGATAACTTTAGCCTCTAGAGCGTCACAAGATTTTTCAAAGTGATCAAGGGTCATAACTTTGGCAGTAATTATCAGAAATCATTGAAAATCAATATGATTCTTCGTCTCATGACCTCAAACACTGTGTATCAATTTGAAGTCAATTGGATGTTAACTTTATCCTATAGAGCATTTACAAGATTTCTTTCAAGTGATCAAGGGCCATAACTCTGGCGATAATCATTAAAAATCGCTGAAAATAAATAGGCTTCTACGTCTCATGAACTTAAACACTGTGTATAAATTTAAACTCAATCGGATATTAACTTTAGCCTCTAGATCGTCCACAAGATTTTTTCAAAGTGATCAAGGGCAATAACTCTAGCAGTAATTATCGGAAATCGCTGAAATTCAATAGGCTTCTTCGTCTCATGAAGTTAAACACTGTGTATAAATTTAAAGTCAATCGGATATTAACTTTGACCTCTAGAGCGTCCACAAGACTTTTTGATTTGATAAAGAGCCATAACTCTGGCAGTAATTATCGGAAATCAATGAAAATAAATAGGATTCTTCGTCTCATGAACTTCAACACTGTTTATAAATTTAAAGTCTATCGGATATTAAGTTTGACCTCTAAAGCGTCCACAAGATTTTTTAAAGTGATCAAGGGCCATAACTCTGGAAGTAATTATCGGAAATTGCTGAAAATCAATAGGCTTCTTCGTCGCATGACCTTAAACACTGTGTATAAATTTAAAGTCAATCGGATATTAACTTTGACCTCTAGAGCGTCCACAAGATTTTTTGAAGTGATAAAGGGCCATAACTCTGGAAGTAATTATCGGAAATTGCTGAAAATCAATAGGCTTCTTTGTCTCATGACCTTAAACACTGTGTATAAATTTAAAGTCAGTCGGATATTAACTTTAGCCTCTAGAGCATCCACAAGATTTTTTGAAGTGATAAAGGGCCATAACTCTGGCAGTAATTATCGGAAATCGCTGAAAATCAATAGGCTTCTTCGTCTCATGACCTTTAACACTATGTATAAATTTAAAGTCAATCGGATATTAACTTTAGACTCTAGAGCATTCACAAGCAATTGTGGACGCCGGACGGACGGGGGTGACGACAATATACGACCACATTTCACTGTGGGCGTATAAAAAATGTAGAACGATGAAATGAAATGGGGTTTAACGTCCTACTGTTCTGCTCCTATTCTGGACTAATGAAGATGGGCATATGCCATACAGTGTGCTATGAGGGAAATTTTGCCCGGGCAGCGGCGCTACGGCCTACTCTTATATCGAATTCCAACTGCCAAGGGAATACATGCACGCCAATGTGTACACGGGACCTCGGTTTTTCGTCCCATCCGAATGACTAGACAGCTGTCCTTGTCAGGCCCTCCGTCCTGCATCACTGACAAGGGAAACCACATCAGAAAATCAAGATGAACTGTCTCGGCCAATGCAGGGATCGAACACCCGACCTCCAGGCTAGCGAGCCAGTGTCTTACCCACTTAGCCACCGTTACAGTTTAATTGTCCGATATACCTGATATACATAGCTTTATTTATATATCAGTATAATTATATATCTAAACTATTACATAGATGATGGAATTTTGCTTTAATAGGTGAATGGGTTACATTGAGGTATATAAAATAATCGCAAATGTTTGAAATAATTACAGAGATAATATTTATGAGATAATAAAGACCTTGATTTATTTGTCTTATTTTCATTTCTAGTACTATTATTACCACATCCTCACTAGAGAGAGAGAGAGAGATGGAGTTTAAGGTCGACTGACACAAACTAGGTCATTTTGGGACTAACACATGGTTCAATTTCATTTCAATAATTCACTTGCGCGTAGGGGTCTTTAGCAGTGGGAGGAAACAGGAGGACCCGGAGAAAACCCACGAGGTTGGATCCTCACTAATGACAATAATAAAAGCAAATGAAATGAAAAGGGTTTTTTAACGTCCTACTGTTCTGCTCGATGGGCTAATGAAGACAGGCATACGCCTTACAGTGTGCCATTAGGGAAATTTTGCCCGGACAGTGGCTACGGCCTACTCTTATATCGAATTTCAACTGCCAAGGGATCTTTTACGTGCACACCAATTTGTACACGGAACCTCGGTTTTTCATCCCATCCGAATGACTAGATAGCTGTCCTTGTCCGACCTGCATCATTGACTAAAAGCAATTGAGACAAAATAATCATAAGTTAGAATCGTCCACAGAGGCTTACCTGTCAGACACTCAGATATCGAATTCCAACTATCAGCAGTTCTGTTATCTGCACACCAATGTGTACATGAGACCTCTGTTTTTGTCCCATCCGATCGATTAGACAGGCTCCCCGCCCAACACCACTGATAAGGGGGAACCATACCGGAAAATGCTGAACTATCTCAGCCAAACCAGGAACGAACCTCGAACCTTCTGGTTGGTTACAATTTAAAATTTTTATCAGAAGTGACACCATATTGTCCAAAACTGACCTTTTTGATAATTTTGATGTTTATCACAAGGTTTTTTGTGCATACATGTGTCAATTATCATTCAATTTTCATAAAATGTTTGCCATTTGATGCTGTATGTCATCTTTGATTTAATGAGGTATTATATGGAATTAATTAGAGTTTTTAATTTTTTCTAGAAATATTTTTAATGAATCAATTTGGCTTAAAAGAATGAAAAATGTGTATATTATAATCCTTATATCACAACTTTTTTTTCTTTTGAAATACTTTTAATGCTAATGCAACTACTGGGTTTAAAGAGCGCCCCCCCCCCCCCACACACACACACAAAAATAAAATATATTCATAACTTAAAAGTAGTTTTTTTGGTTTTGTTAATTTTAAAGAAAATCTGTCTTCAAGCCCTTAAATTTATATAAAAAAAAATACTGATTTAAAAAATACAGTCTTTGTAAAAAAAAACTTCATATATTTAATGGTTGTCTCAAAATTTCCAGTAGCTTTCCCACTATTGAAAAAAAATTAACAAAATATATACATCTATGTACCAACATTTATAACTTGGGCGTGGCACTTTCATAATTATATTTTAAAAATAAAAATGTGAACACTAAAATTTCCAATTAAGCCATTTTTATGAACCGTAGAATGAACTATTTTAGAGCGCAAGCTTTAAAGGAGCTAAGTCTCTAACTCAATATCATCCAAAATCTTCAACATTTAAAACACGAAATATTTGTCAATTTAAAACAACATTGATGCTGTGATCTTACCAGAAAAGGGTGGGCTTCTGATATCCAATATTTAAGACAAAATAGGCTACATATTTTACCATTGGTACACGAATCGTGTACCATAATGCGTTTCAGCCCCAGTTCTAGCAAGAGACTAGAGGAACGAGGCTAGACATATTGCCCCAAAAACGGCTTATGTAGACTGGAATAACCAGACCCTAGGAATTTGCACTCGATTGAGACTGCTGGCTTATTTCACGGAACATAACTGATTTGAAATTAGAGTAAAAACGGAAACGATTGTGTCAATTTCTAGGTCCCAAATATTAGCGATTTAGCTCCTTTAAAGCATTGGAATTCTTTTTTTGTTTTTGTTAAATAACTGGTTTATTTTTTTTTTAGGCTACAGGCTACTGAAATTACTAACTATTCATTAGTATTACGCAGTGCTGAATCGAGTCTATATTATACTATGAAAAAAATGTTCAACTCTTTATTATTCTAGTAAAACTATAGAAATATAAAGCCACGGTATGAATCAAAAAAACTGATAAACTGGGCTTGTTGACAAGGCCCTGGTTCACCATTCGCATGCCTTTTGTTTACATTGGTTTTCGCTGATTTTGTTCTACGCTTTGACGTTACAACCACCACCGGATGTCAGACGCCGTTCTCCACCAATTTAGCGTCTGCGCGCGGTCTAGTTAGTATAGACGTCATTGGTCGCAACCAGCAACAGTCAACAACACCGGCCTACAGTGATTGGATAACATTGTAATCGTGTAGTTTCAATAGTCAATAACGTGTCCGCAATAATGTTGATCGATTGGTTAAATAACATTTCAGTACAAATACTGTTGTCTTGTTTTTAAGCCCACATCGAGATTGTCAGATTTCTCAAAAATTGTATAAGAGAGAGAGAGAGAGAGAGATGGGTTTAACGTCCATTCAACACAAACTAGGTTATTTCGGGGCTAACAAATGGTTCAATTTTATTTCAATAATTCGCTTCCGCGCGTATGGGTCTTTAGCGTATGGGTCTTTAGCAGTGTGTGTGTGTGTGTGTTGGGGGGGGGGGGGGGTCACGGTGGCTAAGTGGGTTATAAGACGCTGGCTCGCTAGCCTAGGGAGGTCGGGTGTTCGATTCCTGCATTGACCGAGAAGGTCATCCAGATTTTCCGGCGTGGTTTCCCCTTGTCAGTGATGCAGGGCGGAGGGCCTGGCAAGGACAGCTAGCTGTCTAGTCGTTTGGATGGTACTAAAAACCGAGGTCCCGTGTACACATTGGCGTGCACGTAAAAGGTCCCTTGGCAGTTGGAATTCGATACAAGAGTAGGCCATAGCGCCGCTGCCCGGGCAAAATTTCCCTCATCGCACACTGTATGGCGTATGCCCGTCTTCATTAGCCCAGTTTAGGAGCAGAACAGTAGGACGTTAAACCCCATTTCATTTCATTTCATTTCTTTAGCAGTGGGAGGAAACCGGAGGACCAGAAAAAAACCTACTCATTGTTACGTACATTTAACCGGGGAATCGAAACCACACCTTATGATGCAGCGCACACGTGCAATCATTCGGCCATCCACTCCCACAATTATATTATACAGAAATTCAGAAGAGCTAGACCTATATAGTACCGAATACAAAACGGAACTTCATTTTCTGCTTGCCCTTCAACCTTTTAGAAAAGGAAATCATTTCATTATCTCGTTGAGTGGAAAATGCTATGCATAACAACATCCTTGTTAAATTAAGCCTCAAATCTCCACTTGGAAATTATTTTAATTGTTATAGGTTAAAGACACATGACTTTCATTTAACAACTGGTTGCCATGCAAGATACACCCACATTCTGCAAGAGATGGACGGAGAACAGGGAAAATCAATAGGACTCACCCTCTCACTGTCCCAATGCTTCACACTGAATTTGAAAAAAAGAAAAGGAAAAACAGGTAAAAACTGAATCAAGATTTACCATTATAAATTTGTCTTTCATACACATGCCGACAAAGGGTCGGTTTTAAAAATAGTGTCCTTATTGGTCAAGACTATTGCATAGGTTTAGGGTACTAGCTCAAATTGGGGACAAGGAACAATGATCAATATGTTGATTATAAGATATTAAAATTCTCCAGACTGAAATAAGTCACAGTGAATATACATGATAAAGTCCACTTCCCCATTGTATAAAGACACAATGTTTCAAGTGTGAATTAGCTGAGTGATTTTGTGTTCACCATTGTTTTTTGGCCAATGCTACCTAGAAAACCTAAACTGACTAATGATTATCTTCTTATTGTCTTTTGTATAATGAGTTAACATCATGGTGTGATATCTTATGAACTCACTCTCCTATAACCGCTTAATGATGACAAACTGAAACCTATATGGTGTTCTATTTCGGCCACGTCGCGCGTCGCAAGTTGCCTTTGAAAAAAGCGACGCGCGACGCAAACTTCATATGCATCATGAAATTCATATGCATCATTTAAATTAGTGAAATGAAGAAGCCTATTCAATGTCAGCAATTTCTGTCAATTACTTCTAGAGTTATGGCCCTTGTTTTACTTTGTTGAACCTTGAGAACGTTCGAACGACAAAAGTTATCATCCGATCTGTATGAAATTGATATGCATTATTTGAATTAGTAAAACGAAAAAGCCTGTCGAATTTCAACAATTTCTGTGTATTACTTCCAGAGTTACAGCCCTTGTTTTAGTTTTTAGAACCTTGTGAACCCTCAAACGACGAAAATTATAATGTCATCTGTATGAAATTGTCTATTGATTTAACACATATCCCAAGGAAAAGATTCTGGCCGCGGAAGAGCCGTTCTGTACAAAGAGCCCTTGTCTTTATCTTTCCCGAAAAATCAACTCTGAATGTTTCTTTTGAACTGGGGGGGGGGGGGGCGGGGGGGTCCGAATGGTTAGCTCCTTCGCGCTGTATTATAAGGCCTGTCATTGGGTCTACTGGCGTGGTTTCCAATTCCCGGTTGTACGTGACAAGGAGTAGGGTCGCCTGTACAACCTCGTGGGGTTTCTCCGGGACCGCCGGTTTCCTCCCACTGCTAAAGACCCCTACGCGCAAGCGAATTATTGAAATAAAATTAAAAACCATATGTTAGTCCCGAAATGACCTAGTTTGTGTTGAGTGGACGTTAAACTCTATTTCTTTGCAACCCCCCCCCCCCACACCGCCTTCAAAAGCATACTAAACTTGAGAAAGGGAAATTACTTATAACCGGCGATTTCAATTTGCATTTTGACTGTCCTGACAAATCTGACGTAAAGTGGATAACCAGTCTATTGCAGAGCTATAACCCAAACCAACATGTGTCTTGTGCTACTCAAAAATCTGGTCAAATTTTGGATTGGAGTAACATAAAATGTCATAAATCTTTAGAAGTTGTGGATCTTCAAATCTCTGATCATTACTGGATACTTCTGTCTTTAAATTTCCAGAAAGCATCAGATGCTTTTAAAACCGTTGTTTGTCGAAATGTCAAAAACGTAGATTTAAAATCGTTTGCTACAAACTTTAAAAATTCTGAAATTTTCACAAACAGACCAAATGACATTGATAATCTGACTGATTTGTTTCATGAGATTATCAACCTTCTCGATCGACATGATCCTGCTGTCACTAAACAAATACGCCAGAAACCGAAGTGCCTGTGGTACTCAACAGACAATCTTGACGCTAAAACAAAAGACGAGTTGCTGAAAGACGATGGCCTAAGACGCTCATTGAAGTACATCGACAAATCTATAAAAGCGCCCGAAACGAGGTCAATGTTCTAATTAATTATACCAAATCTAAATATTGTAATGAAAAGATTGAAAAAAACTCCAGAAACTCCAAGGCCCTGTTTTCTTTCATCTATTTCTTACTTGGAAAAGGTTTAGATGTTGTTCTTGCAGTTTCGAAAGATGATGTAGTGCTCGAAAATGACTTGAGTAATTTCTTCATTAATTCCTTTGCAACAGTCCGAGAACATCAACATCTAATTACTCCTTCTGCCACGGCTGCCCTAGTCCGTTCTGTTGTATTTTCCTTTTTGGACTACTGCAATAGTTTACTTGCCGGAATCAATAAAACATCGATATAAAAACTGTAGCGCATACAAAACAAGGCAGTGCGGATCATAACACGAACTCCGTTTGAGACACCGTATCATCCCTGTAGGTCACTTCACTGGCTTCCAGTGCAAGCGAGAATTCACTTCAATTTGATGTCTCTTACATATCAATGACCGTGAAATGTCATCTTATCTGAGAGATTGAAAACATACTTGTTTGAAAAATTGTAAAAGTGATTATGTATTTTTTTTTTTTTTTTTTTGTTTTGGTAACGCTATGAGCACAACTATATGTGGAATTAGCGCGATATAAATTTTAACTTGAAGTATCGGTTCGATTTTCACGAAATTCGAACTCAACCGCAATTACGGTGTAACGGTGATCGGTTGGATCGGTTTTTAAAATCAAATAAAGATTGTGACTTCTAGATGGTGCATAAGCTAATACTGCGATTTTTCCGTAAACTCAGCCATAATCCAGGAAGTTGCGGTCCGTTATGCGCCAATAAAATTTTTACCCAATACTAACTACCAAATACCATTATACTAACACATTATTGTAAATTAGTAGAAATCTTGCAAAAATGTACAACAAAAGGGATGAACAATGTTTCCATGCTCCAGTTACCCCCCCTTGATCACCCAGTACTAAATTAATATTAACCCATACTATCAGAAATCAATCCATTTCTGTAAAATAATGGGTCAATATTACCCCAAAATGAGATAAAGTACAGTTATTCGAATAACAACACATTTATTTGTGAAAAAAACCCTATTTATTCAATGTTTAGCTGTTGCAATTATCACTGTTAGTACTATGAATAGATATTTCAAACGTTGTACCTATTATAGGAATGAACCCATTGATATTAAAGTAAATGCAGAATTCTGTCAGTTTTGGGTACTATAATGAGGTAGCAAGTGAGTGAATTTTGTATTATTGGGCTAGAGTTGAGAGATGTTATGGTGTAACGGTGATATAATTATTTGAACGGTTTTTAAAATCAAATAACATTAATTTGTGATCAGTAGAGGAATAAAACTGGCGATTTTACTTCTTCGGTTGCAGAATTCATATAGGCGCTTGAACAACTACGGCTAAAGTTGGGCCTGTTGTTAGAGTTAGTCACACTTAAGCTAGTATATGGGAGACAAAACAGCTCTTTATTCAAAGTGATGACTTATTGTATGCCAGGTTGACTTCGGCTCACCACTCGCATCTTCTATCGTCATAATGTTCCGGTTCCATGAATTTAGAGAAATATTTTTGGAGAAATGTTTTGCAAGATTGGTATTTGGAAATTTGTTGTTCGAATGAGAATTAAAGACTACGAAAAAAACTACGAATTAAGAACACTGAATAAAGAGGTCTTCAATAGCCATACATATGGACTAGATATATTTCCCGTCTTCATTAGCCCAGTTTGGAGCAAAACAGTAGGACGTTAAACCCCATTTCATTTCATTTCCTTTTAGAAATCAGCGTTCCATTGGTTGTGTCACGAGTGTCGTGTACGAGGCACGAATAGTGACGACACGCAAAAATCGAATTGTGGAATATTAATGGGTAACTTTTATTCAAAAGGTGAGAAGCGACTATAATAGCTCACGAAATTTAGCAATTAATATCACCAAATTATTGTGTCCGCGACCACGAGAGCGACCTTGCTTCAATGTTAGGTGATTTGGTTCAGATTACAGAAATCACGTTTTGGACGGGATATATTATTGATAACATTGACATAGTGTATTAGCAAGTTATTGAATGCAATTAGGCAATGTATATTTCCAGTTTGTCTGTACAGTTCCGCCTTTTCTTCACACTTTATTTCAACGTAATCTAAATATTAACTTTCGTCAAGTGATTCGGAATTCACCGTCATTTTTCCACTTCCAAAAGGATGACGCTTGCTTCTAGTTTTTCCTGATCTTGTATTTCCGGTTGCGTTCGATCTTGACTTTAATTGGTCTGTCTCGTTCTCATACGTCGTACTTTTTGAACTATTAATTCTAGGCAGTAAGCGAACTGTAGACGCAGACTGTGGGACATTTCTGAATAAATTGTTTATGGAGCTTTGCCGACTTAGCAGATTCATACCAGTGGAAGATGGCGATTGCAAACCCATGTCACCTTGACGACCATATGAAGCTGATCCGTATAAATTATATACACTTGGAGAAAATGCAACAGTCGTGTGTGCGTTTACAGTTACGTCAGATTGCAAGATTCGTTTTCTTTCATCACGTTTACGCTTTTCCATCATTTCCTGTCGATGATCTTCCCGATGTCCTTCTCGTATATGGTGACGTACTGCAGCAGTCAATGCTCTATAAATAAAGAAAATACGGAATTGAATACATTGGAACATGAATTTAAATACCCGGCCTTGCAGAATACTATTAATACTTCGCAGCCAAATTACCAAACAAAGGACACTGCAAAACAGTGCAACCAATTTTAACTTCTCGAAGTAACGAGGATTCCTTTATTTGTGCGGTTCTATTCTAATATATATGTATTTATGAGTTTAATTACTTAAAGCTTATCTGTCCGTCGTGTTCCAGCCGATTGGCTATTGCTTGCATGTCGTCATCATCTAAAGGAACACCAATACGCTGAAATTAAACATGAGATTGTGTTATTCGCGTGAAATGCATGTAGTAGCATATTATACCAAAGCATAAAGTGATGATTCGGAAAATAAAGGCCTGCTTAATTGTCACTAATCAAAATTTGTATTTTTAATTTATCCAGAGTTGCATGTGTGTAGTAGTAAATACCTTCAGTCCATGTATAAATTTATCCTTTGACACATATAGTTTATCTTCAGTATCAAACATCCTGAACAGATCGACCACACGAATTCCCATAGAGTTCAAATGAGTCACAAGTTGTGACAGAGGGTCTTCTTTATGAGCTGAAGCAAAAACAAAGTTCTATGTCAGAAACAAGATTTAGTTATAAGCTAAACCAGATTATTTCTCTAAAGACATACTAAGAAATTAAGATACTTTGTCCATTGCATTCTGCACACAAAGATCCGTCTACTTTATACTTCGAGAATAGATCTATATCATGAATAGTCGCCATATCCAAAAAAAAATATACTATTTTGTACGTAAAATGTCGGTCAACTAGCTTAGCGCTTATTCTCAGGTGGAGCTAACTGTAGACAGAGAGCCTAAGTATGTGACCATTGATGCTGAGTGAAAGGGAAGTATCATAATTAGAAGTTAACAGCGTAGCTATAGATTAGCTAATACAATATTTATTCTGTCATTGTAGTTCCTATATCTATAAAAATAAAACCAAAGATGTGTGTATGTACGTATATGTGTGTATGTTGGCCCATCACACTTCGTCGCCACGATCCCTATATACGATCCACCCCAACATATAACATATTGTGTTGTATCAAATTAACCAGCATGACCCTGTGAATGTTTTAGGCCATCGAATTTGGACCCCGGGTGAACCGGGCCTGGGCCAAGGGCAAATAACGCTCTCCGCCTCCACATAATTATGTGGTATCAAAGCCAGGTATCGAGCTAGTCTGATATAAATTCTGGTATTCGTGCAAAGCGGTTGATAAATATAGTATAGGGTCCATGTAATTACTAATGCCAACGTTGGCATCTCTTTTACCATTTATTTGTTATTTTCAGTATTTAAATTTTACCTCTTTGAATGCCAAGGACGTCACCAGTAGCTAACAGACCACCATGATGAAGAACAAACTTCCGGTAATGTGATATTTTGGCTGCTAGATATGCGATCTTTGAATTGATAGGAATGGCCTGAAATGGTATATATTTGGCATTTTGAATTCTCATTTCGAAATGATAATGTCTCTGGGCAAAATAATTAGTTAATGTAATTGAAACTCACAGCTAAACTCAGAACTTGAATACCAGACCTGGTGTGGGAAATGAACTCCAACAGCTCAGCACAGCCTTCTAGAGACAGTGGATTATAGCCAATCTGTAACAAAATATTATAATTAAATCGACTTTTTTTGCTTTGTTTTATTCATTCCATATAAACCCATATATCTTGAGGTATTAGTAGCAACCTGTTACCTTTCCTGGGTTCTTATTTTAGTACCGCTAATTTATAGAACATAGAACGACTAATTACAAAAGGCTACGTGGGTTTTTTTTTCTGTTGATGTCAGTCACTGAGGACATCAACTTGATTTCTAGTTCACTGATTGATTATAGTTTAGTGTCATTTTTATTCTCACTGCCATCCCATTTTTTGTCAATGATGAGTATGTTTTAGTGCGAACAGAGCTTATGATGATTATAGAACCATAGAATTACTTACCTCAAGTATATTAAGGGTTCTGTTTCCTTTCAATCCCCGGCCAATATACGGGACACAGTCCCAGTTGATTCGGTTATTGTTGATATTCAACTTTCTCAGAGATCTATTTTCTTTGATTGATTCACCCAGAGCTAAACTACCTTCAAATGCTAAACCATTCCACGATAAGTCTAATTCTATGAGACAAGTGTTCTTCTGATATAGAAAAGTCAAACATAGGGTTGTTAGTTATAAAAAAAAACAAATTTGAACATTATAAAGGAAAAAGAAAATGTGATTTCACCTCTAGGCTACTCAGTATATTGACTCAGCGGAATTAATTCATGGTTGGGGGGTGGGGGTACCATCCTAGGGCTGTAGGCGAAGGTCCAGGGGCTGCCTAGGCCCCCGAAGCTCCTAGGGTCTATAACGTCGGAGATGCTTTCTGAGCGCTCCTGGGGGTCTAGATCGTCGGAGATGCTCTCTGAGGGATTTCTGGCTAATGAAATTACTCAGCAGGGAAGTTTTAATTCTTTTCTAAATCCCTTACCACAAAAACGCAGTCGATGGTAGTTTCCTGTGATGCTGAACTGAAAAAATATATGCATAATAATACCAAGGTTGTGGACCACTCGAGATCACAATTTGTATCCGATTTTGTTTTTAACCCAAAGATCTCGGTTCCTGTCGATATTTTTGGATTATAGCCCCCGATTGTACGAAAAATCACATTTTGAGCTTCGGGACTCTCTAGAGGTCACAATTTTCATTTGATTGTAAAAACCGTTCAAATATCACCGTTACATCATAATTACGGTGTAGTTTAAATTTCGTGAAAATCGGATCGAAACTCCACGACAAAATGGCCGCTCCCATTTATGCAAGTAGTGTAAAAGCATTTTATACCAAGGTTGTGGACCATCTAGAGATCAAAATTTTCATCCGATTTTGATGAAATTTTAAAAATATGTTTATATCCCAAAGATCTGGATTTCTTTCGATGTTGGCCCGTATTGGACCGTAACTTTCTGGATTATGACCCCTGATTGTACCCTCTAGAGGTCACATTTTTTAAAAACTCTTCAAATATATAACCGTTACACCATTATTTCCTGAAAATCTGACCGAAACTTCCCGTCAAATTGCCGATCTCCATCCCCTTTACGCAAATTGTGTAAAAGCATGTAATACCAAGATTTGGATGAAACTTAAACGACTGTCACTAGTTCTTGGGTGAGTTCAATTTTGGTGCCCATCAGCCCCCTGCCTTTTACGCAAATTGTCCAATATGAATAAAGTTTGTGGACGTTCCTGAGGCGACATTTTTTGTCCGATTCATAAGATGAAACTTAAACTATGCGTCAAGGATCAAATGTTCTTGGATGAGTTCGACTTTGGTACGCATCAGATCTTTCATTCTAGTGCTATAGGCAATGCTTTTTTCGCAAAATCTGAAATATGTATGAAGTTTGTAGGCTCTCCAGAGAGACTAGTAGACTACAATCCATTCAAATGAAACTTAACAAATGTTAAGGATCAACGTTGGTTTTACCTCTACCCCATCCATTTCTTCCAAATGTGGGCGTATCTTGCATGACAGCCGCTTGTTTTAACTGGCCATAAGCAGTGAATTATTGGGTTATGGGACACACGGAAAGAGTGTGAGAAAAACTCTATCCTGTTTTTTTTATTTACCTAATCTGCCATAAATACAACGGAATTGAAATGGGCTTGAAATAAAGATCGATTGTTCAGTTAACAATCGCACCTGGGGGATCAGTATAGAGTATAGCAGGGGTTTTTTTTTTGAAAGTTTACATTCTAGAAGTATCACTACTATGTTAAAATGGGGCCCCTACCAGTTATGTCATTTTGTCTAACCAAATAGTTACTTGCGTGCAATAACCTAGAGAAAGGAGTGCTTGCGGCCAAATTATTAGGCGGGTGTGTGTGTGTGTGTGTGGGGGGGGGGCTAAAGTCTCCCCATGCTCCCCTCCTCCCCCCACACCCCGCCGGGCCTGCTCATCTGTGAACAAACAAATCTATGGGTCCTTCTACCATGAGACACTTTAAAGCGCTTCAACAAAAAGAGCCAGTGACTTGGAACCTTGCAAGATCTGATGGTAAAATTGAGTCACATAAGTTAAAATGAAATCTACCTGCAAACTCTTAGCAATGGCAACACCACCAGCAGCACGGATATGATTCCAACTTAAATTTAAAGACTTAAGAGACGTTTGGACATCTGAAAATATAAAACGAAGGTCACTAATCATATTATGTAGATTTACGAATATATCTATTTTAATTTTGACAATCCCCTTTTCAGACAAATATATATTTTTATGGTTCCAACTAACAAATAAGATAACTAACATGCAAACACAATCTTCTCGTGAAAGGCATCCAAAAATCTACTCTCTTTCGTGGAAATTGTGATACGTTCGAATACAAAGAAGAAATTACTTACTTAGAGATTTAGCGAACCTCAAAGCACCACTAATGCCGATATCGTTATGACTGAGATCTAAGTGGGTTAATATATCTGTATCCTAGAAAAAATAGAAACACTATTGTAAGATACTGGCAAATTAAGAAAGACATGTTTATTGTTAATTTATAATAAAACACGGCGGTACCCTTGTAATCAGTGCCGAATGTACATAATTATAAGCTTGACAAACAGTAATAATATAACATTTATACAAATTACCTGAAGTCCCGAAACTATTAAAGTTATTTCTTTATCACCGATTTTATTTCCTGAAATAATGAATTATTTTAGGTTAATATTGTGAAAAAACGACCAAAATCAGTATTAATCTGTGGTCTGATTCAAGGACAAAATGCAATACACGATATGGTTAAAATTAAATTTGGCTTAGCAATGGAAAATAAAGATTGGTAACCTACAGTTTCTTCAAGAACGGGTAATCAGTCAGAAGTTCCCCCTGTTCAAAGAAACCGTCCCAATAATATGCTATATAGTGAATGTGCTAATCCTAATACAGTCTTACGTGACAAGGAGTAGGGTCGCCAGTCCAACCTCGTGGGTTTTCTCCGGGTCCTGGTTTTCTCCCACACTGCTGAAGACCCCTACGCGCAAGCGAATTATTGAAATAAAATTGAATCATGTTAGTCCCGAAATGACCTATTTTGTGTCGAGCGGACGTTAAATCCCATATCTTCTAATATCTCTGTAAAAAATGACTGCCTTCAACACCTGACGTCATATCACGCGGCGTCAATCATTGGCTCAATGACGCGTGCATTGTTTACACAAGACTTTACTGATTCGAGCACAATGACACCTTTTTATACGCCCACATTTTCATGTGGACGTATATTGTCGTCGCCCCTGTCCGTCCGTCCACAATTTGTTTGTGGACACTACAGGTCACAATTCTTATCCGATTTTGACGAAACTTGAAATATAGGTTTATCTCCAAAAGATCTCGGTTCCTTTCGATATTGGCATGTATCGGATCGAAACTTCATGGATTATGGCCCCTGTTTGTACGAAAAATCACGTTTTTAGCTTTTGGACACTATAGAGGTCACAATTTTTATCCGATTTTGTTGAAACTTAAAATGTAAGTTGTTAATCCAAAGATCTCGGTTCCTTTCGATATTCGCGCATATCGCACCGTAACTTCCTGAATTATGGCCCCTGATTGTACGAAAAATCGCGTTTTTTAGCCTGTGGACCCTATAGAGGTCATAATTTTTATCCGATTTAAAAAACCGTATTATTATATCACCGTCACACCCTAAGGACGGCTGAGTTCGAATTTCGTGAAAATCAGACCCAAAATTGACAGACAAAATGGCCGCCGTTCGTTCTCAAATAGCGTAAAAATATGGTATATCAAGGTTGTGGACCCTATAGAGGTCACAATTGTTATCCGATTTTGTTGAAACTTAAAATGTAAGTTTATAACCCAAAGATCTCGGTTCCTTTCGATATTCGCGCATATCGGACCGTAACTTCCTGAATTATGGCCCCTGATTGTACGAAAAATCGCGTTTTTAGCTTGTGGACCCTATAGAGGTCATAATTTTTATCCGATTTAAAAAAAACGTATTATTATATCACCGTTACACCCTAAGGACGGCTGAGTTCGAATTTCGTGAAAATCGGCCCAAAATTGACAGACAAAATGGCCGCCGTTCGTTCTCAAATAGCGTAAAAATATGGTATATCAAGGTTGTGGACCCTATAGAAGTCACAAATTTTATCCGATTTTGTTGAAACTTGAAATGTAAGTTTATAACCCAAAGATCTCGGTTCCTTTCGATATTTGCGCATATCGAATTGTAATTTCCTGAATTATGGCCCTTGATTGTAGGAAAAATCACTTTCTTTTTAGCTTGTTCTCTATCCATCTCTCGAAAATGTGGGCGTATCCTGCCTGGCAGCCGCTGGTACTCATTTTAATACCCATTTACACTAAAATAGGAAATAATTTTTACCTACAAATACGCCAAACGTCTTTATTTATTTTTCTAATACATAAAAAAAAAATGTTTTAGAATTTAATTTGTCGGAGGAAAAAAGTTAATATTTGTGGCTCATTAAGTCGCATCGATGTCATCCTTATCAGTGATTGTCGCGCCCTAGCGAATATTCACTGCTGATCAATGTGATTATAGTCTTGTGCGACTATCCTAAGCTGCGTGTTAGTCTTTTCCGAAGAAACACAAACTTTTTTTTGTTTCTGCACCAACTAAGCTTGTAAAGACGGGTATACGCATTGCAGTGCACATGAGAAAATTTGACCCGGACAGCGGCGTTTCCACCTACTCTAAATCAAATTTCAACAGTCAAAGGTTATTTTACATCTTCATTTTTTGCAGTAATGAAATGACACGATCCAAAAACAGTGTGTATAAGTGTCTATGTTGGTACTGAAATATTTATTCGTCTTTTAATATTTTTTTTTAAAAATAATAACCAACTAATCATAATGATAATCATCATATATATACTTCCGTAATAGACATAATATCATAGAACTTTGGATGCGCAAAGTCACACTGATCAGCAGTGAATATACGCTAGGCCTCTACAATCACTGATAAGGATGACATCAATGCGACTTAATGAGTCTCAAATATTAACTTTTTTCCACCGACAAATTAAATTCAAAAACATTTTTTTGATGTATTAGAAAAATAAATAAAGACGTTTCACGTGCTTGTAGGTAAAAATTATTTCCTATTTAGTGTAAATAGGTATTAAAATGACTAAAAGGCAGCATTCTGCCCGAAGCAGTAACGTTTTATGTAAACAATGCACGCGCCATTCAGCCAATGATTGACGCCACGTGCTGTGATGGCACGTGTTAAAGGCAGTCATCCTTTACAGAGATATTAGAAGACTCGTAATTCTCTGTGAAACAGATTGGCGCAATGTGTGAAGAAACTGATTTCTCTTATTTTTTACTCTGACTGGTAGGGATTGCTGTGTATACAACAGATCGTAATAAAGTACACGAACAAGCCAGGACATAAGAAATTATTTCGTGTATGTGCCTGAGGTGGGGTATACTGTTACACATGAAATTAAAATTGACGAAATTGAAATGGAAATACCCACGTTTATCTGTATTTAGCACACCAAGTTTCCGGTTTTTGACAAATTCTAGAAGGAAATCCGAATAGGATGAAACTCTGATAATAATGCCATTATTCATCATCAGTCACGATACTGAATTGTATTTCTGTACCTGCATACTTATTGTGACTCCTTTTCTGGCTTAAATACGGCATCTTGGAATTTTTTTTCAGAATCATGATTAAAATCTCAAATCTGGATAAGCTCTGTATGTTTTCGTATTATCAAAGGTATACATATTCATGCAAACCACATTTGTTTTTCGGAGGTCATATTATCAGGGTTTCAATGCGATTTACCCATAGACGTAGTATGTCTATGCATTTACCCCGTAAAACAAGTCATTGCGAAAAGTACAGAGGGTGTTTTACATTTTTCATTGTGTGTATGTGAACTTGGGTGTTGTACTTTTGAGTACTTTAATATTTGTTAGTTTTTTTTCTCCAAAACAATAATTACCTGCTAGTGATAGATGTGTTAACCAAGTATTGACAGCCAACATGTCAGCTACAAGAATGGCGGCCGCTTCATTCACTCGATTGTTACTTACATTCTTCAAAAGAAAACGTATAAAATAATATTTATTTATTATATTTTATGACACTAACGATGTTTAAATTTTATATTGACTGTATACACTTACCAGATGCGTTATGTAGATGTTAGATTTTAGAATTTCGAAGAAATATGCCACTTGATCGCCATCTAAACCATTATCTGTTAAATCAAGTCTCTCTACCTTAGAATTTTGCTGTAAACAAATCATACAATTTATAATTTTTTGACAAAAATAAGTCTAATGTGGTGTGGTTGAACCAGTGTCATAACTTTTGTGTAGAAAAACGGAAGGAAAAGAGGTCTATATTACTTCCTCTTCTGTCTAGTGCCATAGAACCCGGAAATTCCATTCTAATATATTTTATAGGCGTGCATAATTTTCAAATATTTAGATGCGCTGACGAATAATCATAGCTCACCATTAGTGCCACACCCAAGGCTTTAGCTTGCCCTGGATTTAATCCAACATGGCGTAATTGCATAACACTGGTCCATAATTGGGTAATAACCTTCCTTAAAGGTATGACATTTAAACTGGAACACGCCTCTTCATAGGTATGGTGACCAATATCAGTATTTTGTCGGGATACCATTTCCCGCCGTTCACGCTCCTTATCAACTGTACCACTCTCTGTTGAATGTAAAAACGGTGAAAAAAAACCGAGGCAGTTGAAATGAAAATACATGAAGTGTTACATCCCACCAACCTAGATTGTTCGTCTATTTTATCTGTTCGTCCGTCTAAAGTTAATCCTTGGCAAGTTGCGAACTACAATATTCAATTCCGTTAAGTATTTACAAAGATATGATGAACTGAAAATGTGTCAACCTTCAGCATCCTCTGTCGAGATATGGCCAAAGGCCAGTGCCACATATAGTATTTCCTAAAAATCTTTTTAATCCGATTGAATCCAAGTCGGGATAATATATCTAGCTTTGATATTTTGATATTGTTTTCTTTATAAAATGTTGAATAATCAATCTGAGAACATTTGACAGTGGATTAAGCCGTAGAAAATATGATATTTACAGAAGATAAAGTGAGACGGTCATGCACTGTATAATTTGAATCTTCTCTGTGTTTGGTTTGAATTTTAATTGACAATGCCAATATACTTCAGTGTCTAGATTCTTTTTGTCACGTGACATTATGGCCACGTGAATAAAATTACTTTCTCATCTTTTTAAACTTTTCATATATATACTGTACATTAAAATGTTATTATTGTCAGCATGCGATTAATAATTAATAATTAGATAAGAAATTAATCAAATAAATAATATTGTTAATTAAGTCTAAAATATTAATTATTTAAGACAGTGCCACAAAATCCACGTGGAGATTGCATGCATGTATTCACACTTATAAGGATAAGGGTTTTTCTTCATAATTTATCCAGTTTCGTATTCTGTTGAACCGGAATTGCTTTATAGGCTTCTACATACAGGAATGTGTGTGATCCAGTAAGGATGTTAATATCAACGTGCAGGAATTGACAAGCCATTAGTTTACATAATATGCACGGTTCTTGTAGATTGTGAACATGTGGATACCACCGGAGGCAACGTACTTTCTTCTTCCAGATCAGTGTCAAAATCAGCATCATCGTCTAGGCTGTCCACGGTAACACCCGTTGTAGGACTGGTTGGCAGGGCTAGTTCATCCTCAACTTCATCCACAGTTTCCATTTATTCACAATACAAGTTTAAAATTAGTTCATATATTTCTCTTCAACTTCCGTAACTTTCACACCTTCAAAATAGAAATTATTAATGAGGAATACAGGGAGTCACAATGATCTGGGATTTCTGTAGAATATTAAATTTGACAATCTAATATAACTGGCGAATTCTTACAGTTGTTTTCAACTAAAAGTGATATTGTTACTTGAAATTGACATGTGTCCTTTTGTGCATCTTCCATTTTGTAAAATGTTAAACAGAACTGAAGATGTAAGGATGTCGCAGTGAATACTCCGTTAAAGACACAAGCTTTATATACGATTTACGTTACTGAAAAACATAAGTGGATAAACTCTTATAAACGAGGCACCGCCAGAAAACCAAACGCAAGAAATTTAAAACTACTAGAACAGACAAAGTAAAATCCAAGGTATATGAGATCGATCTTATGCTGGAATGCGCTTATATATTGTACTCAACTGAACTCAGAAGGCATATGGACGTCGCACTTCAACTGTGAAACTGTAAAACAGCCTCAATTGAATCAGATACCGTATAATAATAAGGTTTGTAGGCGTTAAAGAAGGTAATGGGGGTTTAATGTCTCTCCAACATAATACTTCGCTTATTTTAAGACAAACATGGTAATGTGAGGTAAGGGATTTTGGCTTGGACGGTGCCATTTCCGCGTACTCGTATTCCATTTCAAATTGTCAAGGGTTCTTTTAAGTGCGCACCGAGGTGTACACGCCCTTGTGATTTCTAGGCGAATTACGAAACCCACGTGATATAAGGCCTACGGGCCACAAAGATAGGGGTAACCTCGTGCTATAAAGACTTACTTTGTCAGAAAACATGGGCCCCTACTGTAAAACATACAGAGAGAGAAACACTATACTCTATTGTCCAGAACAGCTAGGTTGGAAGCAACGTCTTGGGCCATTGAATATAAATGCCGTATAATTATTGCTATATGGATGTTAGATAAAGAGCTGCCGGAAGAGCTAAGCAACTGGCAGTAATGACTAGCTCACATTATAAATATTAAGAAGAGTGCAATGTATGCGGTTCAAGTCGGTATATTTAATCTTTCAAGAACACCTGATACCACTGTACTTATTAATCATGTGAGGCTATATGCACGAGATTTTTTTATATGCCCACATTTTCATGTGGATGTAAATTGTCGTCGCTCCTGTTAGACTGGACACCCGGACGTACGTCCACAATTTGTTTGTGGATACTCTACAGGTTAATATTTTTATACGATTTTGACGGAACTTGAAATATAGGTCTATCTCCCAAAGATCTCGGTTCCTTTCGAAATTGGCATGTGTTGGATGGTAACTTCATAAATTATGTCCCCCCCCCCCCTACTTGTACGAAAATCACGTGTTTAGCTTGTGGACACTCTAGAGGTAACATTTTTCATTCGATTTTGATGAAACTTGAAATGTATGTTTATATCCCAAAGATCTTAATTCCTTTCAATATTCGGGCATATCGGATGGTAACTTCCTGGGTTACGACCCCTGACTGTACGAAAAATCGCGTTGTAGCTTGTGGTCACTCTAGGGATCACAATTTTTATCCGATTAAAAAAAAAAACGTTCGAATTATCACCGTTACATCATAATGGCGGTTAAGTTTGAATTTCTTGAAAATCGGACCGACACTGTCAGCCAAAATGGCCGCATTTCGTACGCAAATAGTGAAAAAGTATTATATATATAAAGGTTGTGAACCTTGAGGTCACAAGTTTGATCCGATTTTGATGAAACTTTAAATTTATGTTTATATCACAAAAATCTCGGCTCCTTTTGATAATCACGCATATCGGTTAAGTTTGAATTTCTTGAAAATCGGACCGACACTGTCTGCCAAAATGGCCGCATTTCGTACGCAAATAGTGAAAAAGTATTATATATATAAAGGTTGTGAACCTTGAGGTCACAAGTTTGATCCGATTTTGATGAAACTTTAAATTTATGTTTATATCACAAAAATCTCGGCTCCTTTTGATAATCACGCATATCGGATCGTAACCTCCTGGATTACGGCTCCCATTGTTTGAAAAATCGTTTAAATATATCATCGTTAGACCTTAATGATGTTGAGTTCGAATTTCGTAAAAATCGGACCGAAACTGTCCTACAAAATGACTGCTACTAGTACGCAAATAATAGTGTAGGCTACAAGTACATCTATACCAAGACTGTGGACACTCTAGAAGTCACAATTTTTATCCGATCTTGATGAAACTCAAAATATATGTTATATCCAAAAGATCTCGGTTGTTTCGATATTCGTGCATATCGGACCGTAACTTCCTGGATTATGGTAAAATCGCATATTTTTTTTTTTAGCTTGCAAAATGTTGGCGTATCTTGCATGGCATCCGCTGGTTATATTAATAAAAGCAACTTGTTCGGAAGTGCCATATCGTCTCTGTACACTCTCAGATGTTGTTACCCAGATCGGCTCTGTGTGTGTGTGTGTGTGAGAGAGAGAGAGAGAGAGAGAGAGAGAGAGAGAGACACACACACACACACACACACAAACCAGGTCATTTCGGACTTACATATGGTTCAATTTTATTTCAATAATTCGTATACGCGTAGGGGTCTTTAGCAATGGGAGGAAACCAGAGAACCCGTAGAAAACCCAAGAGGTTCGCCGGGTGACCCTACTCCTTGTCACGTACAACCGGGGAATTGAAACCACGCCATTTGACTCAATGACATACCTTATGATGCAACGCGCACGCGCTACTCCCCCCCCCCCCCCAACCACACACCTGTTATTCTCAGATGGATTCGTCATGTCGTATTAAGCATTCCGTTCGGGGATAATTTTTATTACGTACCGTTAATTTTATGAGATAAGCTTTTTGTTTCTGAATTTAATTTGTCAATACCCAGACAACGTTAAGCACAAATTCAAACTAAATGGTAACGAAGAAGTAAAGTTTTCATTTGAGAACACAACTCACCTTAATTCCCTTCTTTCCGCCATTGCAGTCTTTGATGCACTTTGAAGGTATGTCTGACGTCTTGAAAGGGGAGCGTATTGTCCATCTATTATTCATTCTATCTCTCACGCTATCTTATTCCTCCAGTGTTATTGGTATATGTATCCATAATTAATTTCTCTCCTTCACGCTGATGAGATTAAATAATAATGTGCTTTTAGGACTAACATATGGTTCAATTTTATTTCAATAAATCGTCTGTATAGTAAAGTCTTTAGCAGGATCAGGAGAAGTCCCACGAGGTTGGGCAGGCGACTCGCTTGGAATCGAAACCATGTACGCCAATGACAGTCCTTATGACATGTGCATCGGGTGTTTGTACAGGCCCTCCCGGAAAAAAAGCATTTCTTACAATCCACTCCATGGAATATGATGCCCCCACCCCCCTCTCCCAAGTCCGAGGTCCCATGGCCCCCTTCCAGAATATAATTATTGGGGATCAATAAATTGCATATAGAGGTTGAAAGTACATCTTTCGAAAGACAAAGTATTCGGCTTTTTAGCATTATATTCGGGGTCAGAATATGTGTAAATATTCACAATTAATGCCGGACCTTGCCAAAGAAACCGGTCCTTAAATTTGTATGACTTTCCCCTATGGCGGTTATCTATAGATAGCATTACTCAACTGATTTTATCACGCCCATTCACCGGTCGACGTCGGATGATACACCAGTATGAATTTTTCATTGTGAAAACTGAAAAACAAGATCGATTATCAGCTCAGTTATCACTTCTTGATGTTTTTTAAGGTATAGCGGACGGGATAATTTGCTAGTCATTTATGTAGTAGTAGTACTACCATTAAAATGATGGGGGAGGTATATTACTAAATCAGGAAGGGAAATTCATATTGGTTCTTGCTTTTTATTTATAAAGTTTGTTAGCAGACACAATAAACCTTACATTAATTGCAAACAAGTCAGATTTCTATACTTAAACGCCTTGGCTACTGGGGTTATGTAAATGTCACACTGTGTTGTTAATGAACGTGTATAGTATATATCACTTATTATAACATTAATGCGTTATTGGTATTAACTACCGGGTGCAATTATTATTTTCGAATTCCCTTTCAATAGGCGAGATATAAACGTGTTACAACAGCCCGTATACTCTAGAATAAAATACCTACTGGTTATAACAAGTTAAGTTGGAGATAAGAATACATGTTTAATCACCTCATATTGCTTATTTATTCCTATTATTTATTGTTTTTTTCATATTTTGTTATGGTTTACATTTGTTTAACATCATCTATTTCCTGGATTGCTTAATTAGTACGCATATATTTTTCATGTTTATTTAGACAATGGATGTAGGGTTATGTTGTGTTTGTATTTCTTGGTGAATGGTCTCATCTTGATCACCTCATTAACTGCAATATGGTTTCACCCAATGGCTCCCTTTGAAGGCATTCATTGTTAGTCAACATTATCCTTTGGTTGGACCGTGGGTCTATTATATTGTGTTGTTTTTGCTTAATCTTTTACTTCTTAATGTTATTATTATTTAATTTTTGTAAATGGCTTCATCATGAACTCTTATATATTAAATCCAAGTTTACTAAATGTGTGTGTTTTTGTCTACGATATCACCTTAGGTGGAAGTGGACGTAAAACCCCAGAAACGAACGAACGAACTAAATGTCATTGTGCTTGATAACGATAAGAGGATACTTGTCGAAACGTCGTGCTATTAGAATAAAACCAGTGATTGTTTCCCATAAAAATTGTGTTCTGTTAAGAATATTATAACAAACAAATTTATAATGATACATTCAGTTTACAGTTACTCCCGTCAAAAGTCAAAACCTATAAGTAACTCACTTTTTTTTTTTTTTTTTTTTTATCAAAATTGAGTTAGGACCTAATTTGTAGTTACTATAGGGTATGTGCTTCCTGTTGTTGTCCTAGATATTCCAATCTTTTGATTTTGTAAGCAGTTACATCCTTGACACAACCTAGCAACTTCCTTCATTTGCCTAGTATGCCACAGAAAAACCTAGTAACTCAATAGTTAAATCAATGGATAAGCCGGGGTTTAATATTCATTCATTACGTTTTCCTTTGTTTTCTCAAAATAAGAAAAACGTGAGTTACAGGTGTTGCGAACTCTCCAGTCTATTTATATTCGGTTAAAAATAGACATCATAAGAAAGCTATGACCACACCTCGACTCAGTGCGCATCACTTAGAAATAGAGAGGGGCCGATACAAAAAAAAAAAAAAAAAAAAAAATCCCGCAAATTTTGCGACTTAAACCCGATCGAAAACGAGCGACAACTTTTGTTAAACTGCAGCAAGTATGAAGAAAAAGAAAAAATAGTAAAGCCAGTTTATACCCAGCCTCCTCGGTAAATTCTGCCCCCCCCCCTCACCCCACCCCCACGTCAAATTCCTGGACGCGCCCTGAAATTACCTTTAAAGTTGCTTGGTGGAGCTGAAATTCCAGTTTGAAATGATCAATTTTAACAATTATTCAAAATTATCAATTAAATTTATAGTAAGTTGAGGTTTAGAGCAATAGTTTCTGTTCAATCTTTTTTTCAGTTCATAAAATAACAATATTTAATATTCCAACAAAAGAAAGTCCATAGGCTACTGGTATACTTTTCCTCCTTGCATTTAATTATATTAGAGTGATATGCTGAGATTCAATTAATGTGGAATGTTTCAATTTACAGTTGAACTAATTAGCTACTCTATTCTCTCTATTCACTTCCTGGTGCGGTAGGTATGTTTTATCTTGTAGAACATACATGTGTGTAATCGCATTTAAAGGACAATATTGGTGCCAGTCGAATTTCTGCTCATTAATAATTCCTTCGAAGACCAAAAGTTGTTATATGGGACTGTAAGAGGATACCTGACAATTCAATAAAGTAATTGAATGTCATTAGATAAGAGAACACGAAAAAGATAGAAACAGTCCGTACATTCCCTTGTTTATATTCATTCTATACCTTATAAAAACATGGTAATGCACTGACGTTTTCTGTTTTTCTTTCGTGTTCTCTTATCTAGTGGTAGTCAATTCTTTTTATGAATTGTCAGATATCCTCTCACAGTCTCACACAACAACTTTTGGTCTTGGAAGGAATTATTAGCAGAAATTCGTCCGTGTATCTGTTATCCCTCGTCATCAGTCAGTTATATAGAGGTATGACTCGTGTTTTCCTTTGGCGTTCGTCACTTCCGATTCAGGAAACTTGTATTACTCAGCTATCGTAGCAATGATCTCTGTGTTAAAATTATATTTGGAACGTGTTTAATTAGTTCTGTCACATATGTGATAACTGATAATGACTGACACCAATATTGTCCTTTAATTTTAATTGTGTAAGGGTTTATTGCTTTCCGCCTTATTGTTCTCGGCTACTGTCAGGTGACAGCAGCAAGGGGAGATAAAAACAGTGTTTAGTCAACATGGCGGCTGTTCAAGCCAAGGGATTGTATCAGTTTGATGGAGATTCAACAAATGGCGAGATTTCTTTTGAACCTGACGAAATATTGACGATAGTCAGGCAGGATATAGGCGAAGGGTGGTGGGAGGCGAGGAGAGAAAATGGGGATCAGGGATTAATCCCAGAAACTTATGTAGAACTTCTTTCAATACCCGAGCCCCAATTTCCGCCGCCCCCTCCCCCTAATCTACCGTCAATACCGAATAACTTGCCGCTGGGAGTAACAGCACATAATCCAGTAAACAACGCCAATCATGGACTTGGCAATAGAGAAGCAAGTTACGACGAATGGGACGATGAATGGGAGGACGATGATGACCAGTCTAGCAATAGCACAGGTAAATAAAAAAACAACGTAACTTGATTGCGCAATTAAACTTTTGACATCGTCGTATAAACTTTGTTGGTCCTTTCCACTTCATTTTGATAACTGACACGGTCAAAAGGGTGGGTTCATTTGTTGGATACCAACTGTGTTAGTATTGATGGACAAAGCGTAAAACGAATGTTTCATAGTTTTGTTTTGACCTTTTAGTTCACTCAGGACACTCCTTAAAAGAGGCAAGAAACAATTTAACGGACAATTGAAAATTGAATGTGAATTTTGGGTCCAGTTACACAATTGGTATTCTTTGGCATTCGATAAACTATAGCTACTTAGTCTATCTTATAGTTTTTGTTCTACTGTCTGAACCATCGTAAATTTTGAATGGATTTCTTCGATTATGAAGAAACTACCGGTACTTATAAACTTACCTGTGTGTTTGAAATCGCCTACTGTTAAATAAAATCCATTGCACAAGTTAATATCCCAACAAGTAAAAAAGTTTCCTCTTGAAAAATTGAATTTCCACCAACTTCTGACATCGAAAAATACTAAAATGGAAGCTGATTACATCACTCTTCGGGAGAGATCATTTTCGTATAAAGGGGTTACAAAAGCTTCACTGGTTTTGTCCAATACGTGACGAAAGTTATGTTGTCTCGAACTCGGTCAAAAATACAAGTAAATACGTCAAATTTTTTATTCTTTGAAAGAATTAATTGTAGAATGGATTTTATTTAACGGGGAGGGGGCAGGGGATTTCAAACACACAGGTAAGTTTATAATAACCATCGTTAAAGATACATTATGGGATATTAGATATAAAGATGGCAGTTCCCACTATAATAGTTAAAATAGATAATGTAAAGGGTTTTGACCATTTTCGAATACATTATCATGTTAAAATTCAGCCTGACACACTTTACTAGGAAAAAAAAACATCGATAAAGGTAGAAATAGAGCAATTAGTAAGGAGTAGTTTACTCAAAGTATGTCAACTTACTTGTAACAAAGCCATAATTGACCAATTTTGCCCGAAAATGTACTCATTTTGCCAAAGGAAGCCCCCCGCGTAATCAATACCAAAGCAACCAGCGAAATCCCCTCTTTCTATTTATAGTACTCATTATAATATTCAACACCACTACTCAGCCAATAGCATCGTTTAAAATTGTAAACAAACTCGCCTTGTTGCTATGTGACTTTGTGGAGGCCGTGACCCACTTATGGCTATGACGTGACCCGTCTATCGCGACATCTGATTGGTTAAACTTTAGTGATGTCATCGTAACCAAGATGACGGCTGCCTTTCGAGTTATCGTCAACAGGCAGTAAATTATAAAGTTATGAATTAAAACTGTAGTTAATTTTAAAAAAATGTGTAGTTTTAGTAAACAAACATCCCTTGTTTAAATTGCACTTTTTTCGAAAGAGCAAACCGTGGCGAAATGTATGAACAGCTTAACAGCTTCTAATTTGTCTGCATCGGCCTGTGTTCAAAAATGGAACGATCTTGTTTTGGATTATTTTTGTGACAACATTAAACAGGAACATTCCAAAAGGCATGATTTTATTGAAATTATGTGTTTTATGTTGAATCTGATGTTCTTAACAATTGTGCCAAGTTTAGTGTCAGTTTGGCATTTTTAACCATCTGGTTGGTTACTAAGGACTTTTGTCATGCATAGCAGAAATTTTGACCGTAATCTTTAAAAAAGTTTTCTCGAAATAGGCATTTCTGGTTTCCCGGACTGTGATGAACTTGAATATGTTGATGATGGAGTAAGGTAGAGCAATGATTTTTGTACCATTAGACAGCTTATGACATTAAGATGACACATATAACTCATTTTTAAGTTTTTGGTCATTAAGACTCATTTTGTTGTCACCGGTAGGATCAGATCACAAAGCACACAGAAAATTGATGCAGGATGCACTTAATTAAAGCGACCATTCTACTCAACTGTACAATTCATTGAACTTATGAACATACCTTTACTTGCTTCTTGTACAGTAAAGCCAAATGTAGATACGGGTTCTATCATTTACACATGTAGTCAATGATTCAGATTAGTTAATTAATTTTCTCTCTCTAAATCATGGAGGGTTGGATGGCCGAATGGTTAGCAGTTAGCACGCTGTATGATAAGGTCTGTCATTGAGTCTACTGGCAGGGTTTTGATTCCCTGGTTGTACATGTACGTGACAAGTCTGTCCAACTTCGTGGGATTTCTCTGCGCAAGCCAATTATTGAAATAAAAATGAACCATCTGTTAGTCCCAAAATGACCTAGTTTGTGTTGAGTGGACATTAAACCCCATTTCTCTCTCTCTCTCTAAATCATAAAAAAGTTAAATGTATTTAAATGATTCAATAAATTTCAGTGCAGTACCGTTATAAAAGTACATCTAGCAGCTCATATGATCAGCAGTGGTTGGGTACGATTTTTTTCCATTGAAGCTTATAGTTAGGCATAGAAGAAGCCATTTGTTAATTAAAGAATTTTAAAAAAACCCTTAAAGTACATGCAGTTTATAGCTTTATTCTACTAAAAATCCTTTCTACTGGGAACAATTTTATCACTTTTAATTTTAATGAAAATTGTAGATACATTTAGAAATGAAATGAAATGAAATGGGGTTTAACGTCCTACTGTTCTGCTCCTAACCTGGGCTAATGAAGACGGGCATACGCCATACAGTGTGCTATGAGGGAAATTTTGCCCGGACAGCGGCACTACGGCCTACTCTTATATCGAATTCCAACTGCCAAGGGATCTTTTATTTGCACGCCAATGTGTACACGGGACCTCGGTTTTTCGTCCCATCCGAACGACTAGACAGCTTTCCTTGTCAGCCCCTCCGTCCTGCATCACTGACAAGGGAGAACCACGCCGGAAAATCTGGATGAACTTTCTCGGCCAATGCAGGGATCGAACACCCGACCTCAAGGCTAGCGAGCTAGCGTCTTACCCACTTAGCCACGTGATCCCCCAGATACATTTAGAAAGAAGTTGTTTAATTAGTCATCCAAAGTAGGTAGGAATATTTAATTAAACTTGTTTTATAATATGTTCATTTATAACCTAATTACTTAGTGATACAGTAGTTCAATGTCATGACACATAAATTAGATTATCAGTATGGTAATATCACCATGACATAAATAAACTTAATACAATGTATACAGTGGCGTATAATTGCATTCATATTTTGTAAGTTTTTTTACATTCTCAATTAAATAGATTTTAGTTTTTACAATACTTATTTTAAGATAGCTTTCTAATTAATACTTATATTAAATTACAGACTAGTAATAGTATAGAAAGCTGTCTGAGTTTCATAAGATAGCATTTTTAGTAGATTTTTTTTTCTATTTTCTAGAGACAAATTTGAGTTAAATTCTATATTTTCCTACTGAAATTGATCAGTGCCATTCATTGGCCTTGCTGTGTAACTTGACTCGGAAATCAAAATCAGGAAATGACACACAAGTCATGGACAGCAGAGAAAGTCATTTTTCGGTTCAGTCAAGTGCCCTGGTGTATTTGTATCAATGTGGATATTGTTTGGTTTTAATTGCTAGTCCGACTGTTGACTGACTCAACAAGTACTTAAATGCTTTTACATAGCTTAATATATTGACCTGTTAAATGTACTTCCCCCAGTTGATGACTGACTTGTCATTAGTTAGCAGTTCATACAGTAGCAATAGTTCTACTGAACATACATGTAGGTGTTGCCTACTCATCATTTATAATTTTGTCTTATACATGTACATGTACATCCAATAGTTCAAGTATATATTCAGTGCTCCATTATTTGATTTAAGACACTTTAAAAACTGAAAATGGTCAGGGTCGGCATTCCTTTGACTATATATATTGTACGTCACAATTTGATAAAGCCAAATATGTGTTTGCGTGGATGTAAAAAAAAATATTTGAACACTCCATTTTGTTATTGTTGACCCTTATGTCCAATATTTGGATTCTTTATATTTATCCACAGGGTAATCAATTTGAATGACTCCAGTCTTAATCTAGCATGATATGATTGAACTTTAATATTGGTGGTGCATTACAAAAATGTATATAGATTTGGTAGGATGGTAATCTGTATCTGAAAAATTCTGTTGGTGCCTTAAGATAGTGTAAATGGAGCAAGTCCCTGTGTCACAATTGTTGGTTTTATAGAAAATGTACACAAACTGTATTCACTGGTTGCTACAACTGTATTCTTTATCGTTTCTAGCACACTTAAATTGGTACATGTGCCTTATCCTTCCTCATGGATGTAAAATAGGTGTTTTATTAAGGACGAATTGTTTCAATCACATTTAGTAATTGTCCCCCGCCTTTCGAAGAAAGCAGGGGACTATTAAAATGGGTTCGTCCGTCTGTCCGTCTGTCTGTCTGTCTGTCTGTCTGTCTGTCTGTCTGTCTGTCCGTCCGTCTGTCTGTCCGTCTGTCTGTCCGTCCGTCTGTCTGTCCGTCACACTTTTTGGGACACAATAACTCTCTTCCTAATTGAGCTAGAATGTTCAAACTTGGTGTATGTGTTTATTAGGTCAATGCCTTGATGGAGTTCGAAGATGAGCATTTTCCGCTTAGGGTAAGCAGAGATAAGCAATTTGATTGGTTGATGCTTTGGGACACGATAACTCTCTTCCTAATTGGGCTAGAATGTTCAAACTTGGTGTATGTGTTGATTAGGTCAATGCCTTGATGGAGTTCGAAGATGAGCATTTTCCGCTTAGGGTAAGCAGAGATAAGCAATTTGATTGGTTGATGCTTTGGGACACGATAACTTTTAATTGAGCTAGAATGTTCAAACTTGGTGTATGTGTTTATTAGGTCAATGCCTTGATGGAGTTCGAAGATGAGCATTTTCCGCTTAGGGTAAGCAGAGATAAGCAATTTGATTGGTTGATACTTTGGGGCACGATAACTCTCTTCCTAATTGAGCTAGAATGTTCAAACTTGGTGTATGTGTTGATTAGGTCAATGCCTTGATGGAGTTCGAAGATGAGCATTTTCCGCTTAGGGTAAGCAGAGATAAGCAATTTGATTGGTTGATGCTTTGGGACACGATAACTTTAGTTCTAATTAAGTGAGATTGATGAAACTTGGTGTATAGTTTCATTACAGTAATACCTTGACTAAGTTTGATAATGAGCATTTTCTGCTCAGGGTAAGCAGAGCGATACGCAATTTGATTGGTCGAGACTTTGGAAAACAGTAACTCTCCTACTTTGATTGTTAGACTATAAGTAAAGATATACTGTTTGATTGTTCAATACTTTGTAAAAGATAATTTGTGATAAATTTATATGTGTCCTCTAATTATTTTCCTATTTCGGCGGGGGACATCAGCCTCACTGTTGGCTTGTTGAACTAGAAATACACGGATCTACAATTATTGTTTATTACCCAGAGAAGGTTGAAGTAGGCCATTTGATCTGAACTCGTTCGTGCTTGAACAAATTGAATAGACTAGATCATACGTACATATGGAAATATGGAAGTATTTTTCATTTTCATTTACTTATCTTGGAAAAAACAATACACTAATTAGATTAATAAACAGACTTTTGATAAGTATTTATTTGAATTATTTATTACTACGGTTAATCATCCTCTGGACCAAATTAAAATGTAAGAAGTACATGTAATATACAAGGATAGACCCTGGTATTAAAGAGACATGACTTGAAGTATATGTATATAGTCTTGAAATATTTGCTTGGTTTTGATTTGTACTAAAATCACTATCCCTCTTAGATGTTATTTTTGATTTCATTGAATTTTACATGTTGAGAATATACTTGAATTGTTTCGAAGAATGACAATCTGTGTTGAAAACTTTACAGATAAAGTCATTTTTTGAAACATAACCAATTTTTTGTCCTGCTTTCGACACATTAAGCCAAAATGGAACTAGAACTAGTAGACAATCAGACTTTCATTTAATCTTTAGAAACTACTACTAAATCGTGAGATACATGATACATGCATAAATGATGGTACATGTATGTTCTGCATTATGCACCTCAGTCAGTTGAATGGCCAGTCTGAAAGCTCGTTGTGAGAGAGAGAGACAGGGTTTGCTTGAAAATATGTTAGTCTATGAGGTGAACCATTTTTATACGCCCACATTGAAATGTGGACGTATATATTGCCGTCGTGTCGCATCCGTCAGTCCGTCCGTCAATCGTCAACAATTTCTTGTGTACGCTCTAATGCCGAAAGTTATCATCCAATTGTTTTAAAATTGATGTATGTTGTTTACATCCTTAGTGAGATGAAGAAGTCTATTTAATTTCAATAATTTCCATGTATTACGTCTAGAGTTATGGCCCTTGTTTCACTTTGTTGAACCTTGTGAACGCTCTAATGCCAAAAGTTAACATCCAATCTTTGTGAAATTTATATGCAATATTTAAGTTAGTGAAACGGAGAATCCTATTGAATTTCAGCAATATCTGTTTATTACGTCTAGAGTTGTGGCCCTTGTTTCACTTTATTGAACCTTGTGAACGCTTTAACGGCAAAAGTTATCATCCGATCTTTCTGAAATTTATATGCATTATTTAAATTAGTGAAACAAAGAAGCCTATTTAATTTCAGCATTTTCTGTTTATTACGTCAGAATTATGGCTTGTTTCACTTTATTAAACCTTGTGAACGCTCTAACGCCGAAAGTTATCATCGGATCATTGTGAAATTATGCATTATTTAAACTAGTAAAAACCACAAAGCCTATTGAATTTAAACAATTTACAATAATACAAATTAAACGATTTATGGTGATTTTGAACACTTTTTGCGAATTTTTGAACAGGGATTGGTTGTTGAGCGGGTGTGAGGGAGGTTGGTGCTGGATACACAATATAGAATGATACCTGGGTTACAGTGATTGCTGTCGCCCTCGTCCGTGGTTTCACTAATTTAAATAATTTCACAAAGATCGGATGATAACTTTCGGCGTTAGAGCGTTCACAAGGTTCAATAAAGTGAAACGAGCCATAATTCTAGACATAACAAACGGAAATTGCTGATACGATTGTTCTTTTTACTAACTTAAATGGCACATATAAATTTCATGCAGATCGACAGATAACTTTAGAAGTTAGAGCGTTCACAAAGTGCAACAAAGTGAAACAAGGGCCATAACTCTAGAAGTAATAAATGGAAATTGCTGAAATGCAATAGGATTGTTCTCTTTACTAATTTAAATGACACACATGTAAATTTTATACAGATCGACAGATAACTTTTGATGTTAGAGCGTTCCTAAGGTGCAACAAAGTGAAACAAGGGCCATAACTCTAGAAGTAATTGACGGAAATTGCTGAAATTCAAAAGGCTTTTTCACTTCACTAATATAAATCATGCACATAAATTTCACAAAGATTGGATGTGAAACAAGGGCCATAACTCTAGACATAATGAACAGAAATTATTGAAATAAATATCCTTCTTCATCTCACTAATGTAAACCACATACATGTATATCAATTTTAAAACAATCAGATAACAACTTTTGGAGTTAGACCGGACGGGGGTGACGGCAATATACGTCCACATTTCCATGTGGGCGTATAAAAATTGGGTGTGGCTCTGCCCCAAGAGGTTGGATATGGAACAATATAAATAGGTACCACATCATTTCAATAACAGGGTGGTAGAACGTTGTGAACCTGCAAACGACAAAATTTATAATCTGTATGGAACTGTCTTGTAACCCTGTCTTACCTACAAAGGAATAAATATGCGACAACCCTTGTCGACTGCTTGGTCGATTTAGCTGCTGTGGGCGTATGTTTCGTTGCCTGGCAACCTATCTTTATATTAGTGGGTATAGCTGATGGGTAGTAAACAATCAAATGGATACAAAATTTACATGTCCATCAATTCTCTAAGTTCTCGAAAATGAACGCTAGTCCATTAACCGATTGCCTGGAGAGCAGGGTTAGTCTGAAATGTGACGTGTAATTCACTGCATCTTTTGAAATTATGTAAGGTTATCGTAATTGGAGGTAAAAAAAATGTGCATTGCCATTGGTATTCAGTAATTCAGGTCACTCACTGACTCAAGTCATCGGCCAATATCCCTTGGGCTTGGAGTCCTTTGCGTAACATCTATATGTAATCCATTCTGTAAAAATATAACATTTTTTTCTTGGTGGAATTTCTCATTGATTAATATTACTACTAGAAACAGATGTTGTATTTTGATTAGTTTAATGTCTGTTTTTATTGATGTTATTTAATGTTATAGTCTTATACATGTACGTTACAGTGGAAATATGAAATTAATCTAGTAGATTTAGACATTATACAATATTCTCTTCTGTGTTTTGTTTCGAGTCTGAGAATGGGACTACATGATTTATTATTTATGCATCACAGAACAAAACAAGAGCACCAATGTTGAATTTTGATTCAAATATATCTGGCATATTATGATTGAATATGGGCTATTTTTACAAAAATGTACAAATAACGATAAAGACAAATTTTAAAAAGTAATTATGAATTTTTAAGGAAATTTTCACTGCATTCTAGAGATAGATTTATAACTCGAGAGGAAGTATGCAATAGCCATGCAGGACTCTTCTGAGATTGATGAAATTTGGTGTATAGTTTTATTACATCAATACCTTGACTAAGTTCGATAATGATCATTTTCTGCCCAGGGTAAGCAGAGTGATAAGCAATTTGATTGTTCGAGACTTTGGAACACAAAAACTCTCATTCTAATTGAGCTAGAATGTTCACACTTGGCATAGGTGTTTATTGGGTGTATGCCTTGATGGAGTTCGATGATAAACATTGTCTGCTTATGGTAAGCAGAGATAAGCAATCTGATTGGTTAATGCTTTGGGGCACAATAACTTTGGTTATAATTAAGTGAGAGTGATGAAACTCTGAGTATAGATTCATTATATCATTACCATGAGTCCATGACTACGTTCGATGATGAGATAAGCAATTTAATTGGTCAAGACTTTGGTACATAACAACTCTGCTTTTAATTTAGGTAGAATGCTTAAACTTGATGTAGATGTTCATTAGGTGAATGTCTTGACTGAGTTCAATGATTAACATTTCGAGCTAACGCTATTATAGCAGAACTAAGCAATTTCATTGGTCAGTGCTTTAGGACAAGATAACTTTGATTCTATCTGATAGAGCAGTGATTCTCAACCAGTGTGCTGCAAGATCTTCCTAAGTGTGCCGCAAAATTTTGAACGGTACACTAAGAAAATGCGAAAAACCATGTGATCCCAATTGAGTATTCAGTGGTGTCTACTGGTAACTTCATAGCTGCGTTTTTCTTTATTTAGTTTGAGTCATTCTATGTTTCCGTGTCTACAGTTGTATGCTGTCTATGACTTGTCATGTTTTTATTTTGCGAAATTCAGATATTTTTCATATATATTTAGCTAGGTGTTCTGCTATTTTTTCATATGTTCCAAGGTGTGCCGTTGGCAAAAAAAGGTTGAAAACCACTGTGATAGAGAGTGATGAAACTTAATGTATAGTTGATAATCAGTTTGATTGCTCTATACTTTTGAAAAAAATAAATGTGCGATAAATTAAAATGTGTCATCTATTTATTTTAGGATTTCGGCAGGGGACATCAGCCTCAATGTTGGTTTGTTTTTCATGGTTGCGTAAATTTTAAATCACTTGAATATACAATGTACCATTTTTTTTCTATCATTTGTACTGTTTTGTGAAAATAGCCCACATAAGCACGTCCATGAATAATTTATTTAATTCTTATGTACAAGGCTTACTTGATTACATGTATTTACATGTACATGTAGAATCAATTGTTTTAAAAAGTTTATCTTAAAATTGCAATATCTTTCTTCCGAAATCGTGCATTATCTTTTACTACTACATACATGTATATGTACTTTAGGTCCATTTAATTGAGAGTATCTACATGTATTATTTAGTGAAGAGTTATAATTTATTAAAGAGCTAGGTGTGGACATCGTTCATATTATATATGGTATTTTTGTAATTTCCAGAAGGATTCTTGTATAGAATTACATGGACATACAGTTCATGTAAACATGTTCTGGTGGTTAGAGATTCAGTGTTGATTTTACTATTTGAATGTTCTCAATGATTATTCAAATGGTTTTCAGAGATTTGCATCGGTTCAAATGTTCAGGGTTTATTCTATTGTTTTGATGCATTTTCAAAGTTCTAAAAAATATTGAATATTTAAAATAAAACATTCCTTTAATTGCTGAATTGAGTATTTACTTGAACTAATATTATTAAATATTTCCTATAGGAGACAAAACACTGACAAAATTCCGCAAGTTGTCAGTAACATCGAATAACAAATACCAAAAAAACAGTTTAAATAACCTAGAAAAATTATTGTAATGTGAATAGTCAAATATATGTGTTAGCACCAATGTATATGGTCTATATATAATACAGAACATATTATGTGCATTTATAATCAATCCATTGAACTAAATGTGTATTGTGTATACATTGTGTTGTACTGTACCCCGAGGGGTTGCATGGCCGAATGGTTAGCATGTGCGCGTTGTATCATAAGGCCTGTCATTGAGTCAACTGGCGTGGTTTCGAATCCCTAGTTGTACGTGACAAGAAGTAGGGTCGCCTGTCCATCCTCGTGGGTTTTCTCTGGGTCCTCTGGTTTCCTCCCACTGCTAAAGACCCCTACGCGCAAGCGAATTATTAAAATAAAATTAAACCATATGTTAGTCCCAAAATGACCTAGTTTGTGTCGAGTGGACGTTAAACCCCATCTCTCTCTCTCTCTCTTTCTCTGTACTGTAACCCACAATAGTACATTATGACTCCATGAGACTCGAGAGCTGAAAGGTATGAGTAAATTAGTTTAATAGTGTGTACAATACACATGTAAGTTACAACAACAAAGTTAAAAAAAAAAAATTAATGTAGTGTTTTTTCATAGTCTGTAAATTTTCTTTTGTTTTATTTTCAGACAATCAGAGTGGTGCACCAACTTCAACAGGAAGTCAGAATGAGTCACACGGTCAAGGAAACTTTGGCCTCTCTGTGCCGAAGAGGGAGCGCAAACAGGTGTCACCAACTTCAGACATGTCCAAATATGGCACGGTTAAAAGTAGCTTCAACAGATTTTCACATTTTGCAAAACTTGGAGGTGAGGCATTTATGATGGGTCAAGTTAACGCAGATGTCCCGGAGAGTGATTTGATTAAAATTATTGAAACAGAAAATGGCCCTGATTGGACACCTTTGCAGAGTCCATATACCTGCACTATTTCATCCCCGAAAAAGGCAACTAAAATGAAAGGTTTAAAAAGTTTTATTACGTATCATTTAACCCCATCTTTCAGCAATATTCAAGTTAGTCGCAGATACAAACATTTTGATTGGCTACATCTAAGATTGATGGAGAAATTTGTTTGCATACCAGTCCCTCCATTACCATGTAAACAAATTTCTGGACGCTACGAAGAGGATTTCATTCAAGAAAGAATGCGGCATCTACAACAATGGCTGGACAGAATGGTCAGACATCCTGTGATCGCTCATTCAGAGGTCATGCTACATTTTCTGACATGCACAAATGAGAAGAAATGGACCGAGGGCAAGAGAAAAGCTGAAAAAGATCCATATGTAGGTGGAAAATTTTTCTTGGTTTTGCAGATACCACCTCACGCCTGTGACATGAAAGATGTGGAAAGCCAGATGGAAGTGTTCTGTCGTTTTGTGATGAACATGAATGAAAATTGTAAAACTTTAGTTGCAACTAATAATGACTTTAGTAAAAAGCACATGGGGCCTTTTAAACGGGAGTTTCAGAAGATCGGCAGTAGTTATCGGGGGTTAGCTAGAACCTTCAATGACGACAACGTTCCATATTCACGAGATTTAACAGCAGCTATTGATTATATGGGTGAAGCTTACATGATGATTGGAGACATGTTCGAAAAACAACCACCTAAAGATCTACACCCTTTGATCGACTCAATAATTGAATATAGAGGAATATTGCAGACGTACCCGGATGTGCTAAAAGTCCATGAAGGTGCTGTAGGTAAAGCTAAGGAGTGTTTAAAATCCCAGGAAGAAGGCAAATTAAGCGAGTCAGAAGTACAAAGTGTTTTACAACGCGCTGATACAATATCATATGGAACACTTGCTGAAATGCATAATTTTCATCATGAACGTGTGAAAGATTTCAAAGACATGATGCAAAAATATTTGAAAGAGCAAATTGAATTCTATAAAGGAATAACCAGTAAACTAGAGGCATCGTTGGCCATGTTTGAAAAAGCATAAATCATAAGCAAGGCTTGCCACACTTACTCATAAAATTGGCCGCTCATTCAAACAGCACTGACATTATTTCAGTGTAGAATCCATGTAGGTCTACATCGAAATTGGTTGTACTTTCTACTGATTGACGTTTACAGTGAATGGGTGTCGGATTTTATTCTGTGTCTGAAATATATAAACATATTTACATCATACAACCAATACACATGGTAAACCCTGGCAACCCTCTGGATATGCACCTTTTTGTAGGCCTTGAAAGTTCAACAACAATTTGTTATGTTTTCAAACAATTTGTTTACCTTGGCTATGTTTTGTTGTGTTTGTTATTTTTTATACATTATTATATAATTATATACATTGTAATTTATAATAATCATGTATGTAGATTGAAATATACATGGCAGTTAACTATGTCATATGCTCTGAAAAATTCACGCTAAAAGTAAAGTTTTATATCTAAATAATAATGTATGTATGTACAAATAATTTACCGGTAATTCATTTTCTAATCTGCTCTAGTTTCATTTACTTTGCTTTGCCAATCATGTTATATTATACATGTACCCTCTTCTCATGTTACTGTGAAATGACCAAAAAAATAAGAATGTAAAAGCACCCTTTAATTTCAAACATTTCTTGACACATTAATGCATTATCTTAACAGAATTACGCACTATTACCTATTAGTGCCCGGTACAGCATTTGCTCACATTCACACATCAAAGCATGAGTTAATATATTTATGTAGAATATTACATTTGATTTCTACATGTACTTGTGTAAATAATATTTTGCAACACTTCTAAAGGTTATCAGAATGCACTCAGATGCTAAAAATAGAACTTGTTGTTTCACAATAATGTGGGCCTATGATGTGAAGTGGGTTATTATATTACATGTGTAAATTATATCAATATGATTGTTGTTATTTTCAAGATACATGTATATTATCATACCATCTGTAGATAATATTATTTAAACAAAGATCTATTCCTTTTTAGCCTGAAGTCCTAATTTTGTGACCATTGACAATGGCATTGAGCTATCAGGATCACCATACTTGTTGCTCAAAACAATGCATCTTAGGAAGTTATTTTGCGGGGAATAATTGTCTTAAAAATGTAATTAGTCTACTCATTATGAGTTGGTGTGAAATGGAATAGACCAGTAATATTCTAGACTATAGCTAAATATATATCAGTATGTTACTAAAAAGGTTATTTATTGTGGGCTTTGGCCCGGTTCTTGTATTCTATTACCGGTATATTATTTGCCTTTTGATAAGAAATACATGGTAGCTTCAAATAAGAAGTTTGGGTGTGCAATAGATAATATATTTATTCTAGAAAAAATATATCTTTAGATAAAATAAGTTTTTTAAAACATGGAAAACTGTATGGATTGTTTCTGTATAACTGATATTATATTTGATATTGATTAATAATCTATCACATGTTAATAAGATTAAATGTTAATCAATTAACTTCTGGCATCAAGGTTTAACAGGAAATGCAGCATACATGCAATTAAGGTAGCTATAACGATGAATTTTCACTCTTTTATTTTACATGGTCATTGTTATGCAAGATGATCGAGACAGTCCATTCAGAAAGTTGGATATCTTGTCATTGTGATATGCTGTTAAGTACAATTGTCAGTAACACACGGTTTGTGTACATTATGATTTATATTCATTACACAAAATCTGAATCAACAGAACCAAGAGTAGTTTTTTATACGCCCACAGGGAAATGTGGTCGTATATTTTGCCGTCACCCCCCCCTGCTCCGTCCGTCCTTTAGATAAGATAAGATAAGATTTTATTGTATCATTGCATCCACCAAGGTCAGCATACACAGTTTAAACAAAAGTTGATCATATAATTATAACATAACATCTGGGGTGATCCTTTATGGATGTACAACGTGATATAACAAGTCTATAAGCATTAAAAGATGGTCGGTATAATGAGAATCAGTATAGAGCTGAAACGAAAATTATCTAAACTAGCCTGAAAAATAAACAAACTACTTCTACCGTAAGTATTATGTCGGTCCGTTGTCCCCAATTCTTGTGAACACTCTACAGACTACATTTATCATCTGATTGTTTTGAAATTGATATATGTTGTTTGCATTAGTGAGATAAAGAAGCCTATTTAATTTCAATAACTTCTGTTAATTTCTTCTGGAGTTATGGCCCTTGTTTCACTTTGTTGCACCTTGTGAATGCTCTAACGACAAAAGTTATCAACCGATCTGTATGAAATTTATATGCATCATTTAAATTAGTAAAACAAAAAATCCTATTGAATTTCAGAAATATTCGTTAATTAAATCTAGAGTTATGGCCCTTGTTTCACTTTGTTGCACCTTGTGAACGCTCTAACAGCATAAGTTATCAACCGATCTGTATGAAATTTATTTATGCATCATTTAAATTAGTAAAACAAAGAATCCTATTGAATTTCAGCAATTTCCGTTAATTACATCGACAGTTCATCGCGTGCATTTTGCATACCGATAGTTCATTGACCAATCACGCTATTTAACCGACATTTCTCCTAATAGTTTGGATGCATCTATGGCGGGTGTGGCGCCAGGCAGGGTAAGCTTACTCTTCCGGACACCTGTTACCACTGTTTGTCGTGTAATTTATACACAAGGAGCAGTCCATTTGCTGATTACACTATTTTGCTTGAATACACTATTTTGCCTATAACGTTTTTTAGGACTTCGAATTCTGTCTTATGGTTTGGATTGTTCGTACTTGGTTTCATTTTATTTATATCGAGAGTTATGGCCCTTGTTTCACTTTGTTGTACCTTGTGAATGCTCTGACGACAAAAGTTATTATCCGATTTGTATGAAATTTATATGTATGGTTTAAGTTAGTAAAACGAACAAGCATACAGTTTCAGAAAATTTTCGTTAATTACATCTAGAGTTATGGCCCTTGTTTCATTTTGTTGTGTTTTACTTTGTTGAACCTTGTGAATGTCCAAACGACAAAAGTTATCATCCAATCTGTATGGAATTTATATGCATTATTTGGATTGGTAAAATGAAAAAGCCTGTCGAATTTCAACAATTTCGGTAGATTACTTCCAGTGTTATGGCCCTTATTTTAGTTTTTAGAACCTTGTGACCCCTCAAATGATGAAAATTATAATGTCATCTGTATGAAATTGTCTATTAAATGCCCTTAATTACCTACAAAAGAATAAATATGAGACAACCCTTGTCGACCGTTCGGACGATTTAGCTGCTGTGGACGTATGTTTTGTTGCCTGGCAACCTATCTTTAAAATAAGCTTAACCTGTGGAAGATCTGATTTTGACATTATATTATTATGAAACAAAAAATATAATCAACCAAATTAGTAAGTCTGCATAGTATGTGTGATATTTTTAAAGATTAGATTAAAAGTTAAACCTCAGAAAGCTATGACTGCACACTAAAGGTGTATTTATTAGAGAATTTAAAGTCCAAAATGTCAGAATAAAGGTTAAATACTGAGTTAGTGACTACACACAGTCAAAAGTACATGTACTTTTATTACAAAACCTTTTGGTCCAAAAATTATCCGGATGGTCAGTTTACGTTTTCATTGCTTTCATTTTAATTTCCTACCCCATCTTTATCTCTCTTCAACAAATAAAGTACAGGTACTAATAATTGTTCTATTGGTTCTTTATGAAGGTCTGTATATACTCAGATGTGGTTAATTACATATAACAACAGTCTTTACATGGAATGGTGCAGATTTTTGCCTTTTGAAATATATATATGATTTGTTTTGCAAGTTTGCTATTAGTTTCGTTGGATTATTAATATGTATATTTCATCTTCTGTGATACTGTTACAAAACAAATGGCTTTGTATAAAAGCAGCTCTATACTATTATGGATATATACATTTACATTGTTCTATTTTAATTAGTTTAAATTAAAGTAATAACTAATTATTTGTCCTTATTAGTTAAAGTATTCTGTAATTAGTTTGTAATTAGTTTACCTTTTTCAAGAAAGAAAATGTATTCCATGTAATTAGTAGAAATATTATGTAAAATATAAAAATTAATTAATTGTCACTCATTTTAATTTACATGTTAATAATTATTGTGTAGTTAGTGCAAATTATTTATAAACTATTTTATAATTTGTGAAATATTAAATGGTTCTGATTTAAATGGTCATATTAGAATCTTTGTGTATAAATATATATATATTATATATATAACATTTTATACCTATAAAATATAAATCAAACACATACATGTGCATGAAATATTACAACAATTACATTCACTTTAAGTCCATATTGTAATTTGGGTGTATTGTCCTTGCCACACTCTCTGAACACTTATGAGACCTCATTTCTTATTCAGTCAAGGATCTTATTTAATATATAACTCATTGTTAACCATACTTTTATAACAATCACAAATCCTATTGATATATTTATTCTTGCAAATGTTACTGGTGGGTTTAGGTTTTCTAACCAGGCAGCTTATAGTTATGTAACAATTTAGTGTGTATGAATTTTTCTTTTTTTGTTAAATAAATTCAATCTTATCAAATTCAAATTGTTACAAAAACTTTTTTCAGTGGTCATAGATTTCATAGGCCCCAAAACTACAGACAAAATTAAAAAAAAAAATTGAATTAACATTGATTTCAAATAGACTATACATGTAGTTTTGTTTCTGTAATACTATAAAGATGTTTCCATTATTATATTACCATTTATCTTTTGTATGATGGTATCACCATAAATAACCAAAGCCACAGTATGTCAAAATAGATATTAATTATATTTTGTAAAGATAATTAATTATTATCATTATTAAATATTTTTATATTATCCAATATTAACCTTAAAAGCATGACTAATTATATAAAAACATCTTTAGTACATGTAGCATAGGATTAGGAAGGTCAGAACTACCCACAGCCTTCCACAATTATTTAAAGATATACATGTACATGTATTCTTGTTTGGTGAATAAATTTAAGGCAAAGTTCTACTTGTACCCCTCAATGTCTTCACATATTACTAATGATGCATGTGTCAGTGTATTATAAGTGTAATTGTATTTAATGTGCACTATCAAATGAATTAATTATTCTTAATTCACTCCGCCTTTCAAGCTAGGTGTATTGTTCAGGTGTATTGACTAATTTAAATTCAATAATGAACATTTTCTGGTTAGGTTAAAGGCCCAATACCACTCTTGTTGTAACTGAATAATATGTCCCAATCTTTATTCTGGTCAACAAATTGTACTATTTTAGAATATTTCAATTAATTGATAATACAGATTTCATCTTAACACACCTTATTTAAAAATTTTGAAAAATTCAACATAATGGTTTGAAACGTCTTAACGTAAACCTTTTCAAATGAAACTTCGATTTAAAAATATTTTCGAACCCTGTGGACAAGTAAAATAGGATGTAATGGATAATTTACACAACAGGTAGGACACTTAAACATCTAGTACTTAGATAGAGATATTATTTATTTTCTGGAGCTTTCAAGCCAGCAAGAGTGTTATTGTCCCTTTAAGCTCAATTTTAAACAAAAGATAAATGTGCAAGTAATTAAAGAGTGTCATCTAACTAATTTGTGGTGTGTATTGGGGGGGGGGGGGGAGGGCATGGTGACATCAGTCTCACTGTTGGTTTGAAATACACAAAGTTGGACATCATTATGGTTATTTGTAATTAATTATGGACATGGACTTTTGATTTTACATGCCGGTCTACCTCAGGCAAAAGTACAAGTATTTAATATTGACAAATTTCACAGCTGAACTGTTTTCTAAGTGAAAATACTTCAGATGTACTAGTATAGACATTCTGTCATCATGTTTGGATGGGAATTCTGTGCATATGATCACATCAAAATCAAATTTTATATAGCTACATTTATTTGTGGTCAATTATTGTCGTCATGTCTTGTCTGTTGTCCACATTCAGGAGGCTAAATCTATCATCTGATTAAAGTTTATACCAATAAGATGTATAAGTCTTTTAATTTTATCAATGACCGATAATTACTTGCAGAGTCGTGTCCCTTGATCACTTTTAAGTAAAGTATTGTTGACAGTCTAGAGGCGAAAGTTATCAATTGATTGAGTTTTATACTGGTTATATCCAGAGAAGCTTATGGATTTCATCGATTTTTAAAACTTATTATCCAAGTTATTACGCTTAATCATTTTGACAAATCCTGTGGGTGCTCTACAGGCTATGTCATCTGATGGACATTATCATCTGTTGTTGATATCAGTATCCAGAAGGAACCTATCAAAATCTAATGCTTTCCCATAATTACTTTATGAGTTGTTGCTCTATCTTATAAATGGTCTAGTTAGCTATGAATCAACCATCAGGTGACAGTGGTGACACCCTTTGTGAACTTTAGTACAACCTGGCTGCTGTGGATGGTGTACCTTTTGTTGAATGGCAACCGATCGTTTGTTTATAAATTATCCATATGCATGTATTGCAATGTGCATGCTTTACTATTAATGGAATATAACTAATTATAAAATAAATTTACATTAATGCATAGATTCTCTAATATATGACATTAGAGGAGACACCTTTATATTTATTAGAGGTCAGCATTGTTGGAATTACTAATATAATATTTAGTTATGATAGTTATCTTAGTAAAATAATTATGAGAATAAAATTACACTTTTTTATATACTATGTAAAATTTTTCTGGCTTTTATAAATATTTATCTTTGAACTGGGACTGTTTTCATACACAATTCATTAAAGTTATGGGCTCTCTTTTTCATTTATTGTATACATCTGGAAGTATAAAATAATAAATTAATAATGTGTATGTTAATCTGTTATGAGTATCAAAATGAAGTCACAAAAATCCTGTAACAAGATAAGTAGATGGATAATGAATTATGACTGGTTTTGACTTCCGGGCTACCTGTACCACAAGAGAGATTTATCTCCAGTATAATGCCAGGCCAGATTCGGGGTATGTGGTTGTGTGTCTTGGGGATAGCTTCAGGAACTCTTTGTATTCACATAACACATTGATAAAGACAGCCCAATGCTTTTAGAGTCCCAGTATCAACACAAGTTGCATGTTATAAAAATATTGTGAATTATATAAAAGTGCTTTTATTTATAAAAAAATTTAAAATGCACCTATTAATATTATTATAAAATGACATTATTATAAATTGTTGAAATATTATAAATATTAAAGTTAGTTTGATAAATGAAGTTATCGGTTGTTGGTTATTTTTAAAGGGTCATTGTTGTCACTGGTCAAGTTGTCTAAATAGAAGTAAGATTTTATCTAAAAGATTAAGAAAAGGGTTAAGAGTTACCGAAACCCTTAAATAACCCTTAAATAATCGTTTAGACAAGTAAAATTTGAATCCCTTAAATAATCGTTTAGACAAGTAAAATTTGAATCTAAACAAATTTAGCATCTAAACATAACATTTGAAAGTATGCTGGTTTACTATAAGAATGTTATATTTAGAGACAGTCCCCTAATTATGAAAAATAGGTTGCCAGGCAACGAAACATGGGTCATCACAGCAGGTAAGTTGTCTAGGCAGTCAACAAGTGTTGTCACATATTTATTTTTCTTTTGTCAGTAATGAGAACATTTACAACACATGAAAATCTGATTACGAGTAATAAGCATGAAGTCAGAAAACATTAGAATTTGATTCGATTGTTTGTCTTATGACCTTAAACAATATATATCAAATCGTTGAAAATCAATAGGTTCCTTCATCTCATGACCTTAAACTCTGTCTATAAATTTAAAATCAATCAGATATTAACTTTAGCCTCTAGAGTGTCAACAACATATTTCAAAGTTAATATCTGATTGACTTTAAATTTATACAGTTTTTTTGCATTGTGAATTCATGGGTAAATAAAAGCAAATTCTGTATAGTCAAGTAAAGTGTATAATATTATTGGCACGAAAAAAATCAATGACAGCATTAACTCCATAAGTAATCAGGAATTTGATAGGATTGTCCATTCCACTGGTCTGAACAAAGCCTATCAAAATATCAGATGATAAATTGTATCATTATTAGAGGTTACACAAGATTCTGCAAAGTAACAAGGGCCATAACTCTAAATGTACTAATCAGAAATTGTTGAAATTAGATAGGCATTCACATCTTACTAATCTGAATAATGCATATAAATGTCAAACATATCTGGGCGACCACATTTCAGTGTTGGTATGTAAAAATGATACTTGCATTTCAACCAAGATGTAAAGATAGGTTGCCAGGCAACGAAACATACGCCCACAGCAGCTAAATCGTCTGGGCAGTCAACAAGAGTTGTCGCATATTTTTACTTTCTTTTGGTGATGAAAAATTTATAATACACTAAAATCTGATTAAGAGTAGCATCTCATGAAGTAATTATCAGAAAATCATTAGAATTTGTCTGGTTTTTATAAAGTTCTGTCCCATGCTAATGTTTAGTATACGAAACATTTAATATCATGGAATATAGCTGTTAAAGTTATCAAAATTCATTGAAAATCAGTATACTTGTTTGTCTCAAGACCTTAAACACTGTATAAATTTAAAGTCAATCGTATATTAACTTTGTCCTCTAGAGCATCCACATGATATTTTGAAGTGATCAAGTACCATAACTCTGGCAGTAATTATAGGAAATCACTGAAAATCAATAGGATTCGTCTCATGACTTTAAACACAGTGTATGAATTTAAAGTCAATCAGATATTAACTTTGGCCTCTAGAGCGTCCACAAGATTTTTTGAAGTGATCAAGGGCCATAACTCTGGCATTAATTATCGGAAATCGCTGAAAATCTATAGGCTTCTTCGTCTCATGACCTTAAACACTGTGTATAAATTTAAAGTCAACTGGATATTAACTTTGGCCTCTAGAGTGTCCACAAGATTTTTTGAAGTGATCAAGGGCCATAACTCTGGCAGTATTTATTGGAAATCGCTGAAAATCAATAGGCTTCTTCGTCTCATGACCTTAAACCCTGTGTATAAATCTAAAGTCAATCGGATATTAACTTTGGCCTAAAGAGCGTCCACAAGATTTTTTAAAGTGATAAAGGACCATAACTCTGGCAGTAATTGTCGGAAACTGCTGAAAATCAATAGGCTTCCTCGTCTTATGACATTAAACACTGTGTATAAATGTAAAGTCAATTGGATATTAACTTTGGCCTCTAGAGCGTCCACAAGATTTTTTGAAGTGATCAAGGGCCATAACTCTGGCAGTATTTATTGGAAATCGCTGAAAATCAATAGGCTTCTTCGTCTCATGACCTTAAACCCTGTGTATAAATCTAAAGTCAATCGGATATTAACTTTGACCTTAAGAGCGTCCACAAGATTTTTTGAAGTGATAAAGGGCCATAACTCTGGCAGTAATTGCCGGAAACTGCTGAAAATCAATAGGCTTCCTCGTCTTATGACATTAAACACTGTGTATAAACGTAAAGTCAATTGGATATTAACTTTGGCCTCTAGAGCGTCCACAAGATTTTTTGAAGTGATCAAGAGCCATAACTCTGGCAGTAATTATCGGAAATTGCTGAAAATCAATAGGCTCCTGTGTCTCATGACCTTAAACACTATGTATAAATTTAAAGTCAATCGGATATTAACTTTGGCCTCTAGAGCGTCCACAAGATATTATCAGAAATCGCTGAAAATCAATAGGCTTCTTCGTCTCATGACCTTAAACATTGTGTATAAATTTAAAGTCAATCGGATATTAACTTTAGCCTCTAGACAATGTGGGCGTATAAAAAACATTGAGACTATGTCAAGGGATTTAAAAACCTTTTCTCACTTTTTTGTTTGGATATCATTGGACCTTTTGTTCAGAAAATATGTTTTCAAATACATCCTCATTTGGGTATTTTTTAGTGTAAGGTTAAAATCAATGAGAATTTAGTTTAACCTGTGGGTTCATGGAATCTGTACATGTATTTGATTGGGTGAATCAAGGGTCATGTGAGTTACACTCACAGTAGATCACAAGGCCTGTTATCTATGCAAGTCATGGGACCGATCCCAGTCTTGATCCCCTCACAGCACCTTGTAACTGTTTGTCGTCATTAGATAAGTTGGTGCAGAAAAGTAGGACAATAAACCCCATTTCATTTTCCTTCTTGAATTTATTCTGTTAAAATATTGGTAATGCACCAGAAAAGGAATTTACGACACAAGAATGGAAAGTGCATGCTATGGTATAAATGTTTATTAAGCAAAACTTACAATCCAAATTTTAAAAGCAATATTTTTATTTCTAATTCTAACCTTAAAATATCCCAAAACAATAACAAAATTTGATATAAATTTACTTTTTAAATATAACATAAGGCAATTACATTGTGTTAATTATGAAGAAAGCTAAAGATTAGCATAAGTGACAACCATAAGTGCTTGTAGAATCTCTTTCAAAAATAACATTAAGCTGAGGCTACATAAGTATTAGGCCTAATGTCTTTTATGTTTCTATAGGCGAGATAATCAAATTCAGGGACAATAATTACTAATGGTAGGAAACAAGATAATACCATCTCCATTTTTCTTTAATTTTCTACAATATCATCTCCACCTGAACAAATAAGTTTTACTCTAGGATCATTGACATTGTACTTAATTCCATGGTTTTAGCTGTAAAGGCATCATTTTTAGGTTTAACAAAGAAGGGATCAATGGTCACGACTGGTACATTGAACCACCTTCATAGAACAGATGATTTCATTGGCAGAAAGTGCTTTACTTTCCGTCAACCAGTCTTAATATCCACTAATAGCTATTGTTTGAAAATCAATCCATCATATTTTTATGACCGTTGTAGACTGAATTGCCTAACAATATCGCAAATATGAATCTGAACCTACCGGTAATAGACTTTGGGCCCAATAATTATCCTCAACTTAATGTTGTTTTTTTTTTAAAATACATTTTCCATCTTACAAACATCTGTGGTGCTAACTTGATCATTAGTCAACAAGATAATCTGTCTAATAAGTTTTTACACTAAATATTAAGTAAAACTATATTGTAAGTGAAATATTCAACCCACAACTTACAATATTCAATTCTACATGCATATCACCAGGGGTACTTAAAGGAGAACCTTAGCCATTGTAAATATTTTATTTATTATATTTACAGTATTGAAATAGTTTCAGACATTGTAAATATTTCATTTATTATATGGTATTGAAATAGTTTCAGTCATGCGACTCATGCCCAAACTGAAGTACCGGTAATATCCATTTCATTTAACAAGCCGACTGTGAGGGTATGAGGGAAACAGTCATCAACACTAGTCCTTGATACAATACCGTTAATGATTTATACGTAAGGACAGGTTAAACATTGTGGAAACTATTTTAATACTAATCTTCAACTTCCAACATTCAATTTAGGTGAAAATTTGTTTCTTATGATTTTCATAATATAGAGCACATCTGTGACTTCTGTCAGTGCAGTGCTAAGAATGTCTGGGTGGTTTCAAACTTTCTAAATGAGTAACTTGGTTAAATAAATAATTTTACCATCAATATGGTATGCAACAACATTACACCCTTGTATATATACTTCTTACAGATGACATTAACAAATATACTAACAACATTAATAAATACTAACAGCATACACGTACATGTATACATGTAAGCACACCAATGAATTATGTCTTAATTTGCTGAGTTTTAATTAAGATATCCATAACTAATTACAGACTGTATTAGTTACGGTTGATTAATTGAACATGAGTAATAAAACCACACCCTTTAGTTAGCTATAAATATATTCATTAAATGATTGGGTCACATAATGCAGTTGTTACATATATAATTGCATGTATATATGTCTTGAACAATGTCAACCCAGAAATTTAACTTTGCGGCATGATAATTAATTATGATTACATAAAATAAATAATAATTACTACCTTCTACTAATGTCATTTTGTGAATATTTATTATGAAAATATACCAAAAAAATCCAACACCAATGACGAAATTATAAATAAATCAACCACTCTAAATATGATCTTTAGTAAAAGTGTTCAAATAAATTTGTTATTGATGCCATGTTCTCTGCACCTGATCAGCTAAGCCTTGAAGAGTATCAAATCTCTGCAACAAGTTTTAGGGATACAAATCATCAAAACACTGAAATATATTTGATTGGTTTTACATACACTGTTATATTTTCTATTTAAATTAAGATAACATTACACGAATAATTACCAATCAGATGAAAGGCCGAACATGTCTAAAACATGGGCATGTAGAATATATTCTGTAGTTAAATGGGTTTTTTTTTCCAACTATTTTAAGTGGGGAAATTTCTTGAGACCCATTTTCAAATGTTTTTAAGTGGGGAAATTTCTCGTTCTCTGGGTCTCAACTTGAGACCCATTTTCAAGTGTTTTTAAGAGGGGACATTTCTGGGTCTCGACTTGAGACTCTCAAGACCAATTTTCATGTGATTTTAAGTGGGGAAATTTCTATGAATGGAAAAAATGGAAAATAATCCAAATGTGATGACATAATCCTTGGGGTTGTTGGCCCATATGGCTAAAAATGATACATGTACATTATATTTCTAAAAGCCATAGGAAAAAAAAAATTGTGGTCCTAAATTCACAAAAGGTAGGATGGGGCAGCATTAGTCATAGCTATACCCTCCATGTAATTTTTCTGGAGCTCCTATATCCTAAAATAATATTGCAAGTATGGCACATAGTTATAATATACAGTACAATAATAAAATATATCATAAGCTAAAAAATATACTCTTTTTATATAAATTTTAAAAATATTACAAATGAATTATTATGCCCTTTCAATCAGCACTTTGAAACAATAAAAATTTATCATAAAATAGTTAATAATAATAATATACATGTGCAGTAACTCATTTTATTTCAAATAGTATGTGTACATGTATATTTAAATAACAGAAAACAAAGCACTGTTAGTGACAATATATGATGATTTTATAAAATTATAAGAATAAAACAAAATATACAATGTACAAAACAAATTACAGTACCTCAGTTATGTATTGTAATATTCCAAAGTGAACAAACATATATACCATACTGTGATTATTTTGTATATAGAAAAACAAAAATTCTAAATATACACGTACTTCATTAATTAGTAATGTTATTTTACAGCATATCATTTTTTTTGTAAGCACAAATGAATATTAACTTAGCAGTATATTTATTATATAGCCCATTCATTTACATTTAGGCCGTACAAAATAAATATTTTGGTTCTCAGACAATCCTTACCAAAAATCTAATGCGAGAGGGAGGTATTTATTTTTGTGTTTTTATTTTGTCAAGGCTACATGTACATAACTTCTCATCAACATCAAATTTCAAGGTACTACATATACATGTATCTTATCATGTTGCTTAGAGGAATGTATGATTATCCAGTATCATTTAAGTTTGTCAGTACTTAATATTTATCAGTGTTGAGTACTTGATAAATGAGCCTATGCCACATTTCTGGACTCATTCAAATTTTTTACAGAGCTATTTCCTATAATCAGGATAAAAGATTACTGTACGTTAATTAATGAGATTATTTTATTTTTTGGAAAAATAAAAAGATTTTGATGTATTGTTTATGACACAGGATTATCTGAGAACCATATTTTTTTTTTAATATGGCCTTAATTATTACATGATACATGTACATGTAGATCCTGTAATAATTTAATTATAATCAATACCAGGCATGAAATGATCTGGATTTATATCAACGTCGTTACTTTCATCCATACGATGGACATCTGACATGATTCGCATAATATGCTCCAAACTCTCGTTTCCATTAGCAATTGTACTACCTGAGATGTCGCTTACAGATCGCGAATAAATCACAGGATTACTGTGAGTACTAGATAATGTTCCACTATCTGGTAATGCAAGCCCATTTCTCCGTAAAAAATCTTCGAATTGTGGATAATTATCTGAAGGAATAAATGGACTCATTTCAGAAAGAAGATATTTTCTCTCTGGTCCATAAAGTTCTAAAACTTTCTCACAAAATTCTCCAAAATGAGTTTTTGATGAAAGTTCTGGTAGCAGCGAAGCAAAAGTCCTCAGTTCTTCTGCATTTAGCTTCTGATGCAGTTTGATCATGTAGTCACGGCAAAGTTCCTCATTAGAAATACTCCCATCGCTATCCCTTGTACTCGGTTCGCTAGGAATTCGACGCCCAACTCGTCTAATAGATGATTGACGACTTGAAATGTTTAATTCCTGTAGTGAGGTTGTGATAAATGAAGGTTGAAGTTGATTGGCAGAACCCGTTGAATCACTGTGGGAACTATCCCCAGCGTTCGATGTATCGATAATATTAAACACAGCATCCATGTAAATCAGTTGAAAGCACTGGTCAACCAAGGCACAAATCTCCTCTGCAGCAGGTTTAGATTCACAATACAAAACAGCCAAGTGGCATAACTCTGTCGACCCATGTTTTATTGCAAGGATATGCTGTCCATCATCCTTGATGTAACAAATAGCAGCAATTTCTTGCATTGGAATCCGTAAATAAATTGGTAGGTCTTCACTACTGCAAGGAATAAGTTTAACATTATTTACACTGAGACTAAACACAGCAAGTTTATCTCTTGTGCTATGCAACACGATACTGCCTTGTTGTTTTCCTTTGTCAATTATGCGTAAGACGTCTGTTCTGTTTGTGATATCTGTGTGAGGAGCGATATCATTAATCACTCCCGCAAAGTAGACATATTTTTCCACATTATCATCTATTAAGTACTGAGGTTTAATATTATAATCAGGTTGTTTTAAATCATAAGCTTTTAATTGCCGTCTGTCTCTGTCATACATTCTGGAATCTGAGTGCGGTCCACGACCAGCTGAAAGAAAAGGATACAACCTTTGGTTATCGTGATCAAATGAAATTGAATACTTTAAGAACCCACTTGAGTTAGTTAATGATTAGTGTAGAGTGGATACACAGAATGTAACTGTAAAGCATGTCACTAGAGTATGTGTTCTGACGATTACTCAGAGACAAAAAAATAATTGAAATATATTTCAAAATTCAAATAATCCCTCTTCAATTATGTTTATTTATTAAAATTGTATGACATAAAAATAAAAGAGAACTTCTTATTAACTTTGATGAACAACTGTACATGTAGATGCCTAGAACCTTTAGGAACGATCTCTGACCTTTAGGAACGACTCTTCACATATTTCGCTGAACATAACTGGTTAGAAATTACAGTAAAAACAGAAACGATTGTATGTAAATCAGTTTGTATACATTCATATTACAATAGTATAGTATTCATTTCTAGGTGCCAAAGAATAGAGATTTAGCTGCTTTTAAAGATTAGTTATTTTATGGGGTTTTTTTTATACAGTTGGCATACTTTTCAACAATTCCAAGTGATTATTATATTAAAATGTTTCATTTTGTTTTGTATATAATTTAATTCATTTATAAAATTTTATCAGTTATTATCATTTTTTAAATTAATATAATCACTACCGGTAGGCTATCAATCAGCAGTCCAACACTGAGTAAACTTGACTTGAAATGTACAACTTTCTACTCTCAGTAACAGTTACATGTAGGCGATCCACAGTACTCCTTATCATATCATCTCAGACCAAGTAAATGTGAAATTTTGTATTATCATTTGGGTAACCTAAGCCTGGGAGGCACGGACGGTTGCTAGGCGGAGAAAGTCCATCAAGATTTGTCAGTGGTAAAGAACAGAGGGTCTAGCAAGGGCCAAAATATAGTCGTTCGGATGGGACGAAAAACTGAAGTCCCCTGTAGGCCTACACATTGGCGTGCACATAAAAGATCCCTTGGCAGCTGGAATTCGATATAAGAGTAGGACATATACCTACTAATTATTATTATTGTGCCGCTGTCCAGGAAAAATTCCCCTCATAGCACACTGCATGGCGTATGCCAGTCTTCAGTTGCCCGGTCAGGAGCAGAACAGTAGGACGTTAAATCCCATTTCATTTCATTTCATTTCATTTCATAAACTAACTCTCTAAGCCTATTTTAAATTTGAGATATTCCAGAAAATAATACCCGATTTCAATGCTCCGTAAAATGGCTTCTTTTTACTTCTAGAATCGTCATCCATTTCTCCAAATCCAACATCATTTAATCCGTCTTCTTGCCAAATTATTATCTACGTATTAAATCCCCAAATCAACCATTTTCTTAATTAATAATCAACATTTATATGAAAATACAAAAATATTTATTTTCGACAGGTAAGCACTTCCTGTTTCTATATGAGAGTTATTTCCCTTAGACCAATGTTCATCTCGACTTCGCCCACCCCGCCCACCATGGCGTCATTTATTTGTGAGTCAGAGAGAGAGATATGGGGTTTAACGTCCAATCGATACAAACTAGGTCATTTCGGGACTAACATCGACATGGTTCAATTTTATTTCAATACATCGCTTGTACGTAGGGGCCTTTAGCAGTGGGAGGAAACTGCTGGACCCTGAGAAAACCCACGAGGTTGGACAGAAGGGTCGGACAAAAAATGAAAAAAATAATTTTGTCGAATTCGTCTAAAAAAAAACTTTTTTCTGCTGAACATTATATGGGTGGGGGGGGGGGTATTGGACTCGCCATGGAGCGATGATGATCATGTTGTATATGGCCGGTGGCTTTAACGAGCCGCCACGCCATCAAGTGGAGTCTGGAATGGGCTGGTATAATAGACTTGCTGGGCCGGGTGTGGTGGGTGCGGGCCGGAATTCGAAATCCTGCAATGGGGATTCCGAATTTCATCCGAAAATTTCATCGGATTCACCCGACACTGTCGCCCGCAAATTTACTAATTATTAAGTCACCTGCACCCTGTTTATGGGGATACGCCAGAAACGTCTGCCAATGGTTCGAAACTCCAATATTTGGCAGAGATTATAATCAGGTATGCCACCAAATTGCATATTTGGGGTTCATTTTTCAAAATTTTCCAGGGGGAGAGCCCCCGGCCCCCCGTCCGGGCTCCGCGGTCAGTAAAAGTGGCCGCTCCGACACGGGAGCCCGAACCGGCCCCAATCCGCCCCTGTTGGACAGACCACCCTACTTCTTGTCACGTACAAACAGGAAATCGAAACCACGCCCGTTGACACAATAACAGACCTTATGATACAGAAAACCCACGAGGTTGGACAGGCAACCCTACTCCTTGTCACGTAAAATCGGGGAATCAAAACCACGCCCGTTGACTCAATGACAGACCTTATGATACAGCGCGCACGTGCTAACCAATCGGTCATCCAACCTCCCGAGAGAGAAGAGAGAAATGAGTTTTAACGTCCACTCGACACAAACTAGGTCAATTTTTTTATCTATATACTAATATTTGTGACTGTCGTTTGTCTGTCTGTCTGTCTGTCTGTCTGTTCGGGGTTGGCAGCTACACTAGGTCTGCCCCGAGTCTGAAATTTGGGGTATAGGGGTAGCTCGGACCGGGGAGTAACATAGGCCAGGTGGCGTTAGTCTACCACTTCCGGTTTCGGAGTTATGACCCCCCGAGCGAAGCCGGGTATCCTGCTAGTACTTCAATAATTAACTTGCGTGTAGGGGTCTTTAGCAATGGGAGGAAACCGGAGGACCCGAAGAAAACCCACGAGGTTGGGCAGGCGATCGAATACCTGACAACTCATCTCAAAGACAACTCATACCAAGACAACTCATTCCATCACAGCTCATCCCATCACGTACAATCGGGGAATCAAAACCACGTCAGTTGACTCAATGACAGACCTTATACGATACAATGCGCACGCGCTAACCAAACCGGGTAAATTTAAACTACTGTCATAGGGTCTACGCAATGTGAAATTTTATTGCAGGCCTAAATGATTTATAAAAACGGGATTATGGAAGATTAGATAAAGAGCTGACAGTTCTCGCTATAATAGTTAAAAATAGATAATGTAAAGGGAATATGGGCAAATTACTCCACTAAAAGCAGAGAAATTATCATTTTTAATAACACTGTAGTCTCGATTGTCATTGTTACCGCTGTTGTGATAATAAACACTGTTACGGTTAATCATCAACCGTAGTTGAACCGCAGATCGGATTCAAATCTGTTGAAAATCGGACCTATCAGATGGCATCGAGTGTTGATTATGGTCTTGTCATGTTAATAAATGTCTAATTAATAGTTTATATAACATTTTTGAATGGCCTAGAGAAAGACCTGCAATAGACAGATTTAGCTCTTACATAATGCATGTTTAACTTTCTAAACATTTTCCTTCTGCCAAATTTGCCCTATTTTCTAGCAAGTAATGGAATGGGCCCCTTTACTCTAGAAATTCAACTTGGTTGTAAAATCAGTTTTAACTTTCTAAACATTATGAGTCTGCCAAATTCATCCGCTGTTTTCTAGACCCCCCCCCCTCCACCCCCCCCCCCCAAAAAAAAAACAACACCCCAACAACAACTGTAATGGACCACGTATTGATTTAGAAATTGAGTTTGGTTGGTTAATTCATTCATTCTTTTGTTTGCCCTTTAGATCGGCAATTTATTTAATATAATATACTGATTTGAATGGAAATGCTGGTGAGATAATAATATAATGCCGCTGAAATGTGACTTGTAGATTGGACACCAGAAAATTAATTAATATACAGTAATATTAATAAAACAACAAAAAAATGTTTGTCCTTGGATGAATAAGACAGGTTACTTTCTGAAGTTTGAAAACAACATACGTATAGAATTTTGAAAAAGTAAAGGTTACGAAAAGAGACAAAAATCAATACGATTTTGTGGTCTGTATCCGTTTTTAAATAAAAGTTAATTCCCTTAGACCACAGTTAAGCCAGGGGACCTTCGTTCTCGATGAGTTGTAGGACTTTAACAGTCCACACCAAATGCTACCTGTTTTGGATTATAGAAACGATACTCGATTATATAGGAAACATGTTTATTAAAGGCTGTTGCCTTTCTATACTCAGTACTCACATCTTGACTATACAAGATTTTACAAAGAAAAACACATGGTTTCAAAATATGGCTGCCAACTCAACTTCTTACAACATTTTTTAACTCCAAAAAAAAGAGAGTCAAAAGAAAACAAGAGTTGTCTCCCTTCAATCATTAATCATTTCAGAACACACTCCCCCCTTATTGACGCGAGGTCAATAAAATACACTAAAATTTAACATAATTCTTGAGATTTGAACTCTTAATAACAAAACTCTATATCTTGGATACTATTCTTTAAGATGCATTACTCTATAAGATTCTATACTCAAATACTAAGATTCTAAACTCGTTACATGTACTAAGATTCTAAACTCGTAAATACATATATAACACTGATTTCTAACTGTGTACTCCAATACTTATCAATAATAAGATACATTCTCTACTAATCTCTAACCAACTCTATTGGATACAATTTCTGTATAGGTCGATTCATAAATATTATTTTGCCCTGTTTGTTCTGAACTCTTACAACAGCGGATCGCACGTTATTATCACGACCTGGTAAAATTCTATCAACTCTACCCATTTCCCAATTTAAGCGCGATACTTTATCATCAAATACTAGCACAATATCACCCTCACGTATGATAGGACCTGTTTTAACTCTGGAACGATGATGCTCGCGTAATTGAGTAACATAGTCATTCCGCCATCTTGACCAATAATGATTTATAACAGTCTGCAAGTATTTCTTGCGCTTGCAGAATTCTGAAGAGGTATTACCAACTACTTTAGGATTTGGAGTAAACAGCGGTTCAGACAATATCCTTCTCCCCAATACTAAATGCGAAGGGGTTAGGGGTTCTATACAATCATCGCTAAGATATGTAAGAGGACGCGAGTTTAAAACGCCTTCAATGTCCACTAATAAAGTCAGTAGCTCCTCATACGACAAATGAGCATTACCTAAAGCTTTTTTCAGGCATCGTTTAGTTGAACGCACCATACGCTCAAAAAATCCGCCCCACCATGGGGATCGTTCAATATTATAACACCATTTAATGTTCCTACTATTTGTAAAGGCTCGAAGTTCAGCACTCTTGAAAACCAATCCATTGTCTGAATTCACTAAAGTTGGTACTCCACGCCTTCCAATAAAACGTCGAAAACTCCTAATAAAAGAGGAAGAACTAGCGTCCGTTGCTAAATCTAAATGAACCGCGCGACTACTCGCACAAGTATACAACACTATGAACACCTTGTTCATCTCTCCACTCTTAGAATAAATGTCTTTAACGTATAATGGTCCAGCATAGTCCACTCCAATATTTGTAAAAGCGAAATCGTCAGAAAGTCGAAATTCTGGTAAAGGAGGCGCTAACGGAACTCCATAAGATTTACCTTCCATTTTACGACAAGGAATACATTTAGTAATCACAGCTTTAACAACTTGTCGTCCGCGACAAACCCAAAACTTTTGGCGCAACTGAACTAAAGTCTCTGCTGTCCCATTATGATGCACATCTCGGTGACACTTTTCAATAATCAAACTCGTAAAACGATGAGAATCTGGTAGGAAAATAGGAAATTTGGCATCAAACGGCAAATTAGAATTATCTATACGACCATAACATCTCAAAATACCATTGTCATCAGGTTTTAAATTAAGCGATAGCCTCTGTTGCTCAAATTTACGGCCACTCAAACTATGTTGAATATCTCTGCACCAGATATTTTCGGCACAATTAATTTCTTCCTTGGACAATTGATCTGTTTGGACTTGTACATTGTCTCTTTTATTCTTCACGAAACGCAAAACATAAGCAGTCACTCTTAGTAGGCTATTAAAGTTGCTATAGCGGGAAACGTCTAGTATATTTTCGATATTGTGATTAGTTTCGACATTTGCGACACAAACAGTTGCTTTCTTAACTTCAGAATAAAATGGTTCACTCAAAGTTTCTTCAACGTTCCTCGGCCAATTCTCTGTCGAACTTAGCAAGTATGGTGGTCCATGCCACCATAGATCATTGTTTACCAATTCTACTGCCTTGCATCCACGTGAAGCAACATCTGCAGGATTTTCTTTAGTTGAGCAGTAAGACCATTTACTAACGTCAGAAGAATCACGAATTTCAACCACACGATTATTCACGAACTGCTTAAACTCACGAGTAGTATTTTTAATCCAAGATAACGCGACTTGAGAATCAGACCAAAAATATACAGGCGCATCTACGATGTCCTTTAAAGCTTCTTTTACACATGCAGCTAGTCTAACAGATATTAAGCATGCTAGTAGCTCAAG